TTGAATTGGTTCAGTATTGAGTGACAGCAGCAGCCAGTTTGCAATGTAAACACTCAAGGCATGGTCACACCGTCAATTTACATCCACTGTAAGTGCTAGTTTTTGCCACTGACAGGCTCAGATAGTTATTATTAGTGCCTGACAAGACTAATAAAAGGATCCCTACAGAGACAGACATTTTTTCAAAGAGTAAGATCCTTTTAGTTTAACCAGAAACAGCCCTGAAACCACTGCTAAAGTATAGGCTAATGGCATTTAGTAACGTCAGCACCACTATACTGTCTCGAAACATGTGGAATTAAATGTAACAGTGTCTCTTGTGTGAATTTAAAAAGCACTTTCCTGGCATTTGTAGGCTGTTTTCGCCCTCACCAAGCCACCTTACTGTGACCGGACACCAACTATATCTACACAGAAGCAGGAAGATCAGTTTAAAATATTAATACACACCAAATGCTTTGGCAGCCTGGATGGTCTCTCTGGAGCCTCGTATGGTCATGATCTGAGTGAGGGCGATCAGGTCATCGCTGGCTTTGAAGAATGGGTAACGACCACTGAGCAGTGAGAGCAGGATCACACCAGCTGACCACACGTCTATGGCTGCAGTACAGGAAGATAAGACAGGAGAGTGTTGCATTAGTAACAATTAGAGAGGGTAAGAAAGTCAAGGTTTAAGATTAACAGTCAGGTTTACATAGCCGTCATTATATCTGTGTGGCTGACAATCATTTATAATAGTCATTGTTTAGGGAACCAACCTGTTCCTTGGTTGGGACACTTTGTGAGGACTTCTGGTGCTCTGAAACCTGGAGTTCCAGCCCTGGGAGCCACCTGCTGCTTCCTTTATTAAAAACAACATGAAGCAGCGGTTTAAAAAGTGCAACACACAAATCATTGAGAGAAGGTTAAGGTTCACATTCATTAAGGAGGACTTATTATGTTACATATGGTGTGAAAAATTGTGAGTTTTCTTTCTAAGATGGTGAAGCCATGACCTGCCAAACTCCTTGTAAACCTAACCAACAAAGGTGATGAGCACCAGCCAATAAGAGGAATAGTCAGGCAGGTTATGCCTTTGCCATCCTAGAAAAAAAGTGGCGTGTAAAATTGGCCTTTAATGACGATTTTCGCCTCTTTCTTCAGTTACCTGGACAGGCAGATGTTGCAGACACGGTCGGTCATGTAGCAGTTACAGGTGAGGCCCTGCTGCACGGCCTTCTGAGGTTTCTGACTGGCGTTCTGGGTCCTGACAGGAAGCGGGCCCCGGCTGGCTGAAGAGTACCTTCGGCTGGCTGGGTCCTCTGTTTTGCTCGGCTTTACCAACTGAATACAAAGTTTTTATGAAGAAAAATAAATGACTGCACTGAGACATTAACACCCATAATACCCTTTAAAAGCACCTCTTTAACCTCTTCTACCCCCTGGTCTCATTTTGAAGCGTTACTTAACCCCCCTTCCTGACAAGCATGCATCCAAAAGACAGTAATGTCAGCTGGGAACGCCTGTCTCCCAGGGGCCTTAATTTGTCATAACCTTAACTCATTTGTCAACATTAAAAATACACACATGCACAGTCATATACCATTTTTTCAGTCCCCTTGTGTGTTTTAAATGTGATGTGTGTTTTAAATGTGAATTTGAGCCTTGCCAAAGGAGAATTTCTGTCACCTTTGGGACAGACAATAAAGCTTATCTTACCTTATCCTGAATGGTTTGAGATATGATAAAGAGAGAAACCTCTTAGTCTTCCAAAACTTAAATTCCCACCTTGCTTACCTCGGTCTTAATGGCAGCTTGTTTGGTGGTGGATGGAGCTGCAGTGCAGCTGTTCAGGTTCCTCTCTCCAAACACAGGCCGTGGCACTTTGCGTAGTCCTGTCAAATCCTAGAGAAAACAAACATGGAATTTAGCTAAAGCCAACACATTTTTGCACAGAGACGAAGACAAACAGATGCACTGATGACCAGAGATACTTCAACATATCCATACAGGAATTTCTTAACCTAACCTCAGGAGAGTGACACCCAAAAAACCCACTGTGCACTAATCAACAACTCTGCTTTTACAGGACAAAGAAAAGACTCAGAAACACCAGTGAAGGTAAAAGTGTGGACACCTTTGTGTGCTTTGTGCGAGAGGTGGAGGTGGTGATGGTGGTGGTGGCAGTGGTGGTGACAGAACGTGCTTTTTTAACCAGCGCCTTTTGAGTGGCCGAGGAGGATGTGGTGGTGGTGGTGGAGGAAGAGGAGGAGGAAGGTGGCAAGGTTGTGGTTCTCGGAGGTAGTGAGGTCGAAGCTGTGGTAGTTTTGGGAGGGAGTTTAGGTTGTGGTTTACTCCGCTGTGTGGTGTCTTGTTTCCCTGTGGACCCGCCACCTTTCTGTGATGTCCTCTGCCTCACCACCTTCAGCAGCTCAATCTGGGTGTCTGCTGTCCCCTGAGCCAGGCCGAAGTCCACCAGCGCATACCTACACACACACACACATTTTAAACATTTGAAATTAACAGATATATGTGCCCACTGATTCAGCATTTCTAAAGTTGGAAAAAAACTAAACTATGCAGCAATATGTTAACTCATAAAATGTCAACTCACGTTTTGCTGCTCCTGTTATAGAGGAAGTTGTTTGGTTTGATGTCTCTATGAATGATACCAAACTGGTGGATGTGTCTCAGAGCCTTCAACAGGTGATAGATGTACAGACGGACCTCTTCAAAGCTCAGTGAGCCAATAATGTCCTGATAAACACATTTGTATTAGATCAGAAGTTTTAAAGACATTTCTGCAAACATAGAAACAAGAACTACATCAAGGCACCTAGTGAATGATTTATTTTTGAGGATTACATTACTGATTGTGTCCCAGCAAAAATCAGTATGTCACTGAAACACAGTAACCATATACTGCTTGACAATGTACATACCACAATAGCTTGATGCTCCATATAGGGCATGACAATCACCACGTGGTCCTCCTTCCTGAAGCAATAAGTCACCCCCATCACACTTTCTCTGCCTCTGCAAAGGGAGAAAAAATGAAATGTGGTGATGATGTGGTGAGACATCAAAACTTATTTCGATGTCTTGTACAGCTGAAACAATTCCTCAAGAGACTCAAGTAACTCAATCTTGAAAAGCATTGATGCAAAGTATTTGCATCATGACATACACAGACTCACAAAGTCAAAACAATACTAGCCCTCATGAATCAACAGATCAATAGAACAGCTTTATGATTATTTTTAATATTACCAATATTAACCAGTCATTATTTAGTTGTCATTTAAAGGTCCTATAGAAACAATGCATAAAGCAAAATCTATAAATGTATTTTAAAATGCCACCTAAAATAATTTGCATTATCTGGTCAGTTCTACAAAAGGTTGTCTGGTAGTCTGGGGGCATAGTAAAGGATCCTGTATATCCCTTTATGAACACACAACACTCACCCAGCAACAGTAAGACATTGAAGCTCAGCCGCGATGCGTGTAGGATGGCTGGTTGGGATGAGGTGCTTCAGGGCAAACAGCTCTCTTTTCCCATTCCGCATCTGAGCCTCACCCAGATACACCGAACTGAACGTCCCTGGTGCACAGATACACTTGTCATAAACACGTCACCTCTTGTTCTCCAACAAATAAAATGAGATCAACAATCTTAAACAGGAGTTTCTCTTAAGAAAATAGTATATGCTTGTAAACTCCACAGGTGGAGTACGTACCTTCTCCGATTTTGTCTATGATGCGGAAAACCTTGGCCAGCTGAGGGACGGCTTTGTAGAGCAAGTCAATATCTATTTCCACATCCCCTGGAAGAAAACAGGAAAAAATACTGTTACAGATACACAACACTTATCTCAATTAGTTGTAAATTTAAGTAAGTATCTTGTACATCTTTAACAATACTGTAATACTTTGTCGTGGGAACTCTTATTCAATTATGTAATCTTCATTTTTATCTTTTTCTTTTTATGTATGGTGGTTGTTATTTAATAAGGGAGGTATCTTCTTCATGAGCCATTTTTGGCTTCTAACCTCTCCTGCACAATGTTTTAACTGTATTTTTATTCGTGTATGCAAATAATCTAAACTGCCATAGAACAACTGCCATATTTTCTCATCACTTACATCAATAGATATGTGCAACAGATTGTTGTGCACCTGAAAGGTGCGAGAGTGACAGCTTTACAGGCATGCCTATGTTACAGGCTTTCACTTAAGACAATGATAATTTTATTCTATCACTATTTTAACATTTGTACAAAGTTATAAAGCAAAATACACAAAAATATTGACCTGCAAATACTACTTCTTCAGTTTAATATTATCCCTAGACCATAAAATGCTAATATAATGGTGCATCTGTACTCAAAGATTGTGTTTTTAAGTCATGAAGAACTTACTTGAGACTTTGCTTCTCCTGTGACCTCTGTCAGATTTAATAACGTTACATCCATCTGTGCTGATGCCGTCAGTGCAGACAGGAGACAACTCCATCTGAGAGAGAAAGGAAGAAACTTAAGAGGCTGGTAACTGAAATATTTTTATTATAAACGTTTCCAACTGGTAAGTAATGTAAAGGTGGACAGTGTACGAAGAGCTGTATTCACATAACAGAGCGACAGATGGATAGGAAATGTGTACAGCTTATTTCAGTCTAAGCGCTGCTGTCTTCCTCATTACAACAACTAGCATGCTACTGTTAGCTCGTCTGTCAAGCTAGCTAACAACCACAGTTTATCTGATAAAACAAGAAGAAACTTACCGCTTTAGTTGGTCGTTAAGTGCAATAATTCTTTAAATGAACATTCCCTGAAACCACCGTACAGTCATGAGCTAATGTTTCACCGGTTAACACTTACATATATCACTATAACTCAGTCTGCGGCTGTGTGAAATAGTTTGTTGTTCTGACTTCGGAGCTTTTCCGCCAACAACAAACTCCGCGCTAAAAGTTACGTCACACAAATCTCGCGATATCAAGGGATCTCCGGGGGGAAGACGGGACTGTGAATGGGAAGCCATTAAAATCTGTGATGAAAGGCGTACTATGATGAAAAGCTGATGGGAAGCGACATCCCAGACCTAACAAAGGTGCAAAGACTGCTTTCTATGGTCCACGCATGCTGCAGTGTGGACCTTAACCTGCATAAAACTAAAAATGTGCTCTTTAGATCCACATTTGTTTGACAAATCACTAAATGTACATTATAGGCCAGGAGTCAGGTCCAGCTCGCATGTTTTAAACTACCTTTTCATTATTTCTTGTTAGCCTAAACCATGGGGCATCAAAAGGTGATAACAAGCAGCCCCAGCTCAGAGCCGTTTGATCTCAGGGGGCCCAAAACCCCTTTTTTGGGGCATGTTTCTGAGGAAATAATGTAAATGCAAATATTAGTGCACTACGATGGTAGAGACATACAAGTATGCAATAAGGTAAAAAGTATCCTGAGACAAAGGGGAAAGTAGCAAAATAAGATTCTGGGACATGCTACCATTTTATTTTAACGTATTACACACAACATCCACCCAGATAAACAAAAAAATGAGTCTGTTTGACATATTCTCCTCAAATATGATTATTTTTCGTCACTTTGTGTTTAATATCGCTGCTTCACTTGTACATAGAAAACTTGCCAAGTTAGTAAGCTTCAATCTGAGCCTTAAATCAGAGAAAACAGAATTTTTAGTCACCAGCCTTCCAGAGAGTCTTCTTAACAGCATGTTAGAAATGTACAGAACGGGTGCCCAATATTTAGAAACTGTCAGATGTTGACTTGAATATGTTGGAAAATTTGCATAACTAGTATTAAATGGCATAATCATATATATAGACTATATTTCAGCAGCTGCTTGGCCGATTTGGACAGTACTGGAGCGGTTTTGGGTGTTACTGAGGATGCTGGATCCATTTCTGATATTTTCAAAATAGCTGTTTAAAGCAGATGCAGCCATATTTCAACTCCTGTGTGCTGATTTTAAACACCAGATTAAATAAATGAAACTGATTTCATGACCACTGAGAAATTACCTGAAGAATAGGTGCTAAATGTTTAACTTGCCCCATCAAAGGATAAATATGTGTTCGGTTAAACAATGAGGGTAGATCTCTCATCTATTTACTTTAAAGCTTTGAGGATTTGTCGAAAGACTGCACTGAATCATCCAATAAACACAGAATTTATTAAATAAATAAATAAATAAACACATAAATAAATAAATAACATTACTAACAATTAGAATCAGAACATTAGAAACTATTTGTTTCATTTATAATATGAACATATAGTAACATGACGTCAACAACTGTTCATGTAAAGCTCACCAGTAACAATATATGAACATAAACATAAAAAAACACTTTATGTTAACAACATATTTTTGTCAGTAGGACAAGTAGCACCTCTAAAATATACCATCAAATATCCCAAGGAAAGCTTCTTCTTCTTTGTAGCTGGTGCTGAATACACAAGGTTTAAAAGAAAGGGAAGGGGTTAATCAGGTGAAAATTACACTTCAGAGTATATTTGATATAGAATTATTTTCATTATGTACAGAGGAAAGAATATTGTAATGAGTCACTACAAGCCTTGTCATTGTATCTTCCTCTACCTTCTGTTGACAGATGAGCTGGTGTTGGCCGGGACACTCATTGTTGAGAAGAAATCAAACGGTCTGGTAAGTGGAGCCACGAGGGTCTCGGTCTGCTTTGGGAGATTTTGTGGTGTTTTCACTGCGAACTCTTCTCTAAAGATGCTCGGTCTCTGAACATGAGGAAGGGAGACATGTGTCATGTGTGCTACTGACCATACACCAGGAGAGATTTTCGAAAAGTTAAGCCGCTTACTGGCACCTTGATTAAGGCTAACCTTACAACTAGTAACCATTTTGCAATTAACCCTGTAAAACCTGGAGTGACATCACTCAGACACCTGTCACTAGTATTTAAATATTTAAACCCTGAGCTAATTGATGTGATCTCTTTCAAAAACATGGGGGAAAAAAGGCAACGAGCAACTTGGTAAGAAATGTCCCACAAATTGCAAAAAAAAAAAAGATTATTTAAAAAAGAAAACAGGGAAAATCCTAGGCAAAAACTATATTTATAATTATTATTATTACATTTAAAATTATGGTGCAGGCTTATTATAATTTTTATGTACTTTTCCCAGGTCATTCCCTTGTTTGTTTTGTTTTTAACTTTTTTTTTTAAACTGATTTTCTTGTTTTCAATTTTTACTAATTTCTTGCAAATATTTTGGGGTCATTTCTTTGGTTGCTCATTACATTCTTCCCATGTTTTTGAAAGTAATCAAGCCAATTTGCTCAGTTTACAAAGGGTTAATAAACTGACAGAATATTCCAGTCCATAATGAAACAATAAACAAAACTAATGGCAGAAGTGGGAAGTAACTAAGTACATTTACTCAAGTACAGTGCATCATACCTCTACGCCACAACATGCTATATTTATTTGACAGCTTAGCCACAATTTACTTTCCATATTTAGATTACTGCTACAAAACATCAATCAACTAATGCATTATGAAATATTATTTTAGGTTAAACTTCCCATAAAATGATCTCCACTTTTAAGTTGCAACATTAAAGTGATGAACACATTCCTGCATAAATATTATAATCCAGTGATGTAAAATATATATATCTGATAAGGGCCATTTTGCAGGATGGGTACTTTTACTTTTGGTACTTTAAGTCAAATTTGATGCTAATAGTTTTGTTCTTTTTCTTACATAAGAGTCTGAATGCAGGACTTTGACTTGTAACTGAGTATTTCTACACTGTGGTATTGCTATTTGTACTTCAGAGTTCAAAGATCTGAGTACGTCTTCCACCACTGACCAACAATATATTTTGCTTTCTGCCTTGTTTTTTTTGGTGATATTTAAATGTATCCACACAGATGAGAGACATGACGTTCAAGACATTATTTGGTGAAAAAAAACAAAACCAGAATACCGGGTAAACATTTACAGCAAATTCTCAATCCACAACATAATTAAGTATGTCATGTCCAGAAAGGAGTAGGAAGAAGTGAATCCTTAGAAAGTCCTACCCCGTTTATAAAATATTTTATCAATTAACTATATGCCAAACATGAATAATCCAGCTTTCTGCCCAAGTGTTCAACACACACACCTCAATCAAATCATTAGAAAATTAAAAATTCAGTAAAAACAAGAACAGATCGATCAGAATAAAGCAAACAAAAAAACACAAATTTAAAAAACATCACATCACACACACCTTCTTATTCCAGTCGAGTGTGATTCTGTTCTGCGGTTTGACTGTGAGCACTGAGCGTCCTGGTGTTCTGATTTCAGGGTTTAAAGTTGGTGAAATCGACCTAAAACACAAAAATACAACAAATGTTTTTATTGTATTAACTACAATATGAAACCTCAGTCAGGTAAGAGATTATAAATATTTCACATATATTTGATTTCTGATCTTTGAAACAAACAATTGCATCTCAGTTGGAAATTATTTGTGTGTAATTCTCTGGGTTTACCTCAGTGGTGTTCTGACAGTGGTGCTACAGGGTCTGACCTGAGAGTGACTGTGGAATACTGGTGCAGAAGTAGCGCCAAAGCCTACACATCAAACACACATAGGATTATAAAACTCTGACAATTGTGAGGCATATTCCCTCATAATCATGCCTGAAGTAAGGCATGCAAAGATGATTAAAACACAACTGTGTGTGTTACAATGACGTCTTAACGAGATGTATGAGAAGCTGAGAAAACACAAACTTGTTACCTCCTTTATCTCCTAAATTAAATGCAACTCACACTTCTCTCTACCTTGCATGCTGTGGTCAACAGATTGCTGGACTTGAGGTTTAACATTTGTTGGACACGAGGTGGTCACTGATGTCTCGCTGGCATGCACCAGGTTCTCGTCATCAAAGTCGTCCCATTCATCTCCAAGGTCAAAGCTGACGGTCGGTATGTGTGAGGAAGAAGTGTTTTCGCAGTGAACACCCTGGTTTGACATTGCAGTAGACCTCTGGGGATAAGCTGAGTTGGTTGTATTGATCTGGTTTAGAAGTAGTTTATGGTTCTGACTCACACCGACACTGATTCCTGGGGTCATCCACACCGAGGAACCTGAACACAGATGATTAAAATCAAAGTCATAAAAGATTACTGCACTCTGGCCTTTCTTGGATCTAATCTGACAAAAGAACCTCTGTAAGGACTCCTGCATTTTTAAAGACTATAACTGGTGGCTTTGCATGTTTTTCACTATTCAATTTTCACATGCAAATCCAGCAGTATTGTGTGTCTCGTAATGAGTTTGAGCTGTTGAACAATACTTTGATGGTGAGAGTGTGATGCAGCAGGTGTTTGGACAGACTCCTCCATCATCCTGTGCATGTCCTCCACAAAGTCATCATAATCTGAGTATGAGAGACAGGAAAACACAGTCACTGATAATGGGATTATTAAATCCTGCGTTGTAGGGCAATGTGGTGTGTTCAGAGTTCATGACTTGTTTACCACTGTCAACATCCAGATGCACCACATCTGGCAGCTGAGCACAGTGTTCTCCCGTCAGATCCACAGTCTCTGTGTTAGACCTTACTGGAGCTTCGTAGTCACTTCCTCCATACCTTCATCAAATAAAACAAGACATTAGGCCATCAGTTTTCATTGAAACACAATTCAATCACAATCATTTTTTTTAAATTGCAGCAGTTGTTAGAAGACTTATTGTATTATTTGCAATTATGAATCAAAGCAAGTGTACAATGCCGGTGTAACTGTAAATACCAGGAAACAGACGGAAGCCTCTCTTTGGGTTTGTAAGCAAACTCGTGCATGTTGACAGACGCAGAGTCCTCACGCATTTTCATCTGAGGAAAATAATCAGAACACCAAACGGAGACTTATTCAGCTCAGTGACACAGAAAAAGATCTTTAAATTGACTTATAGACAAACAAGAAATACAATTTTATTGTTTGTCAAATGTAAAATTATTCACAAATTTAATATTAAGTTAAGTGTAAAAACACACATATTGTTTTTAATCTGCATATTGTACACAGGTAAACAATATTTTTTGAAAGCTTTTTAAAATGTGCATGTCTACATGACATGACTCTGGTATATGTCTTATGCACATCCTTAATGTACATACATGCTAATAGTATTCTAATATCTTAGCACTATTCAGTATAACAGCTGTTCATCCATAATGAAATTCAGCGTGAGTTCAATCAGGAAGACTTTCTTTGTGCTTATCCATTCACACTTCTCTCCCTCCCATTCCCACTGCTTCCTCTCATCAGCTGACTATGGGTGTTCACTCTTCTAGTTATCCAATCAAACTTCGCCACATTTTCTATCAGCCAATCAGGATACTACTGCAAAATTTTAAATCTGCTCTCTCCTCTGCTGCCGTCAGCTGTGATGTTAGGCAGAACTGTCGTGCCCTCCTCCATCCCATACACCTCCAGCCATCTTATCCAGAGTCCAGGACGAGTTCAACAAAGGCTCATTCCTCTACTCATCCAGATCATCAGCACTTCTTCTCATCTCAACTTCCCCACCTCTACCGGCACCAGCGTCTAGACCCCAAGGGTGTTCCCTACTCGACTAATCGACTTCATCACCCTCCTTATATTATACCATCTCGATGGGGTCTAATTGGCAAAAGACTTTTCAAATTTTTCATTCTAATGTGCACGTTAATAAATATTCTTTTTAGCTATAAAAACGAGTATCTCCTGTTTGGAGAAAAAGAATCTTGCATAATTGCAGTTTCTATTCTATCCTGCATGAGCTTTAGGATGGCACAGCCTACCATACACTAAGTACATAAGGCTGACACCCTCTCACATCTTCAGATAATGTGAGTTTTTAGTCACACATTATAAGATTTCACAAAGACTGAGGATCCTGCAGGGTCACTATTTACAAGACTACAACTACATTCCTGTAGAGATTTATTTCCCATCCTGCCCCTGGTCGAAAATACTACACCAAACTCCCTGTAAGAAATATGACATTTTAACAATTCCTTACGTTTCCGACAAACACATCACTCTAGAAACATAAGATAAAAGGCATCATATGTCGACAATATTCTTGTCAATTAGACATCTATATAATCCATAAAGATAAACCATATTTGTGTACAAACTTTTTGATTTCGTCGCCTCAACTTGCTACCAGCCTCCGCGCTATTTTAGTAGGAAAAGACCTCGGGAATAAGAGGCCTTTCAAAAACGAAGATTTCTCACTATAACAAGTGCTAGTTGGTGAATCAAATACATGTCAAATTAAACAGACTCTTGTTCACTCCACATCTCCACCAATTTCTCCTCCTTTTCCACAGTACAGGAGAACCGACACTTGTTTACTGCTCCATTTTGCTGCTTCCTGTTCAGTGCTGGAGAGCGCACAGTTATTGGATGGTGACAACGTTCACATCACTGAACTTCAGTATTTGCATGAGCCAAAACTAAAAACTTAAAATAATATTAAACATGTTTGATTTTGTTAGAACATCAGGACAAGATAAAGACTTAAGGCAGCTCGGACTGAGTTTTATGACCAGCTTGCACCAAAAAATCATGATCACAGGAGCACAGACTGAGGTGAAGATTTTATACTGATATTGGAAATTTGTCTGACAGTGAAATCCCTTGAAAAGGACGGTATTGAGTTATATCCTGTAAAAATCACAGACAGCTACACATTGAATCATGTTTATTTGTTTAAATCAAACAACTGTTTTTTGTGTGATGGCTGCAGTGTTAAAGAGTACATGATGCAGGCTTGAACACACTCCGAAAATCATATCTGGTTTGTTTCTCACCTTGAGTCGTTTGACAGGGGTCTGTGTGAGTGTGTCACACCTGCTCCTCAGGTCTTTCAAATAGTAAGAGAAACCAGATTCTTGATTTGCTGACCTCGTCCGTGCCACAGTTACACCTACTTTACCTTGAGGGTGGAGAGGAGACCTCTTTAATCTTGACAGCCACACAAAGACACAAACACACAGTGAAAGACGAGTGATTGTACTCACAGCAGTCGTGGCCACAGAGATCCTTGTTTTTGCAGAAGTGGTTGCACTGTCTTTTATTGGCTGAATCTGAAATAGAAATAAAACCCATCTTAAATATGAACCTACTTTTGAAAACATACTATATGAATATACTCACGGTTATATTTCAGCACCAACAAAATAAAGCCGCACTGTCGCACCTTGGTCTGTAGCAGATGTGTCATTTTCCCTGTGAGCTGCAGCCTGATCTGCAGACTGTGGTTTCAGTGCAGACTGCTGCAGTCTATGTCCACTAGGATCGTATGGCATGTTGTATGGATTATCAGTTCCAAACCTCCTTGCTCCAGAGAAGTAGACATTGAACTTCTGTTGGATGTCCAGGCCGACTGTAGGAGAGGAAAAGGTCAAAATGTACAGTAAGTCATGCACTCCCTGCAAAGCACTGATAGGCAGTCCACTCCAAGAGTCTAAAGCCAAAAAAACAAACATTACAACAAAAAATAAATTACTTGATCACTATATGTAGATCATATTGTATCAGATTTTTTTTCTTTTTCTTTATTTCTCATGCAAATTACCATCTAATTAACAACTGTATATTTACTACATGAATATATCGTAACTAAAGGCATTACATGACCGGGCATTATCAATCCACAGGGTGGCTTCAACCACAGGTGCTTTCCCTGTGTGCATTGTTTTCTGTCTCCATCACTAGCAGCCTGACTGTTTCTCATTGCTTGAGTGGACTACACAAAGTAGCCCGAGGAACTCAAAGTTTCACTGCTGCATCTCAGTTTGTCACAAGCGTTGAGGAGGCTACGTTTTTAATCAGAGAAAATTACTTTCTTTTTCTGGTCATGATTTCAATGTGCACACAGCGCCACCATCAGGTAGCCAGCTGGAAGCAGAACGCAACTCATAAATGCAATAATGTCTCCGGTAAAGTAGGTGGTGGCAGAATGCAGCATCAAAAGCAATGATTGCAATGTGCCAAAAAATCAGAAAGAAGAGGAAGCAACTATGTACAGTTGAAGCAGGAAGTACCGAGACATGTCTACCATAAATTGATGCAGAAAAGGAACAACTTGGTGCACAAAAATTAACCACAATGAAGGAAATGAAGTGTTTGATGCTTAATATGTGTCCCCCTAAATGTTTAAAAAAACTATAGCCTTTCTACATACTGTTGTTCACCTCTATAATATAGATGATACATACTGTGGCTATATTTCTGTGTTAAATGCAAAGGTATTATCATGGTTTACCGTATTGTGAGCTGATGAGATTGACACTGATCTCCTCTCCTTTTGAGGCCTTTGCCACCTCGATTTTCTTCGACCAGCTACCACTCTTCAACAGCACCAAGTCCCTGGAAAACAAATAAAATGATGACTCCTGAAAATTAATATATATTCTCAAACCAGGCTCTGTCTTTTTTACATTACAATGAAAGGTCTGTGTTCTCATTTAGTGATAGAATTATATGGAATAAGAGGGTAAGTAAAACAAAGTAAAGACAATACAGAATACGTAGGAGCCAGAGGACTTTTTCTCACGTGAGTTTCTGTAGGAAGACCACAGAGTTGTCAGAGTTCCCGATGATCAGAGAGACATAGTGTTGGTCTGGAGCTGTTCTCCTCGTCAGCAGCTGTGCTTGGTTTTTAAGGTTCACCTTCACCACGATCTCTGCCGTAGCACAGGTATACCTCGGAAGCTGCAAATACAGAGACAACTTTAAAGAAAAACCATTAAGAATAACAGTAATATCCAAAGAGGTGTCACTTGCAATCAGTTGCAATAATAGCTCAAAAGTCAGAGAATCAAAAAGTGAAATGCTCTGTTATATAGCGTCATAACATACTTGTGCTTTTGACAATAAAACATTGCAATATCTTTTACCTGCTCCAAAGTAACTTCATACTTTGGGAGATGTATGACAGATTCTCTGATTTGGTTGCCAAATGGTGGATGCCTGTTAAGAATCTGAATAAAATCAACAATGTTAGAAATCAGAGACATCGCTGTTGAGTTTTCTTTTAGCACCACAAGCCAAGGTTCCATTATAATAGAGAGAGGGCAGAAATCTCTACGGTCGATATCTCCAACACTTGGCAAATCAAAACAAAACTATGGTGTTCACAGTTGAATCAACAAAGCCTGGTGCCTACATTGCCACTGATCCAGCTCAGGAAATCAAATGCTTTGTGTTTTACACAGACTGACCAGCTCAATCTCTCTGGCGTGCGTTTGCTCTATTTTGCTGAAAGTGGTGAGTCCAGCATTCACCATGGCAGTAGACAGGGTCTGACCTGAAACATATCAAATGTTAATATTCATTTAATTGTATGCATCTAATAGGAAGGATATTTACTGTATTAATTAATTCATCATGTAGAACCTAACATGGAGATTTGGCCTCATTTTAGACTATATTTGTTTGCCTAAGATGCTACAATATGCTGTGTGTATCCACCTATCTTCTCCAGCTGTTTGGAAACATAGGGCGAGTTTTCCCAAAGCTTGGCTCTGAAGCACTTCGCCAGGATCAGAGAGTTGAGCAGAGCCGAGAGACCGGTCTTGGATTGGTGACTCAGAAACTCTGAGAGGCCTGATAAAGATCAAAACACAATGACAGTTAAAGAATAAAATGAAACAGAAAGCACTGTCTTTATTTGGTATCCCTGGTTCAGTCAACATACATTTGCTGATGCGCATCCCGTTCCTAAAGATCATTGCTGTGTCCTGTGTCAGTCCAAACTCTGGAATCGAGATGGACCCCAACTGGGCCTGAATCAAGCTACAGACAAGGTGACAGAAGCATGTCCGTAATGGACAGTCCATAAGAAATCCATAATACATATTCTGCAATGAAATTCATAAACCAGTGTTCCTACTTCTATTCAACACTGCTTTTCCACAGAGAAAACAATGAATGAATAAACCTACCAGTTCACTTTCATCTCACTGGTTTTGATCTTTCCCTCAATGGGAAACCTGGAAAAATACAGAAACATCTCAGCTACATTAGCATGTGTCTATGTCTACCATGATGCATTTAGAAGCAGGAAGTATGACACTGAATGTGCAATAGTTAGTAGTCAAAAACATCTGACCTGATGGTGACCCTGTTCTTGTCCCTGTTCAAGGTGTTCAGGGGCCTCTTCTCATTCACTCTCAGCTGGATGTCACTGAACTCTTTGCTCTTCGACAGCAACTCAATCTGAACATGCACAGCCACTTTTGATCTGAACAGTATTTTCTAATCGTAAATAATTTTCTTTTACAGGAAACCAGCCTATCAACACAAACGGCCCTATCTTACACCCAGCGCAAAGCAGCAAACCACGCAGCGCAACTGTCATTGCTTGTTTCATACAGACAAAATTTTTACGGCCAAAGCAGATGTTGTGTAAGTAGCAAATGTTATCTACATTCTCTAAAATGTGAACATGGCAGAGAGCAGAGCTGCAGAGCTGCAGTCTGACCATATTTACACAAGAAGAGCAGCATAACTTGACATTTCAGAAGCTAAAAGTTTAGTTCTGTTTCCTCAGTCAAGTTTATAACTAGGTTTTGCTGCTTAAATGTCCCACGATACATGCAGGGACATTACTGCTCTTACTGCTTTACTCCCAGCAGAAAACCACCCGCTTCTCCAATCTGCCATGTTAACAGCAGTGATTGGTCAAATTTAAGTTACACCCAAATCATACCTGTGATTAATGAAGGCACTAAATAAAACTCCTTTGCTCCTTGCACCTTACTTTGCGACCAGATTATGCACCATTTAACTACAAAAGAGTAGGTGGACACGCCTTAAGTGCATTGTGCCATTCACTTTAAACCATGCACTATAGACTGTTTATACAGGGCCCTTGACACAAAGGGCCTGCATTTGAATCAAATACATTGCCGTGCAGTCTTATCAGGAAACCTACCAGGTCTGATAGGTTCTCGGTCCCAGCCACTTTGCTGAACTGTTTCATGGTGTCAAAGGCAACACAGTACCTCGCCATCAACCTGCCCCCCTCTGCCAGGAACAAAAACAAATTGTAAGACTCAGTTGAAAAAGAAGAGTGTTGGTGAAGATACGGATGTCATCCACACCCCTGAACATAAGTTAGGAAACTAAGAGGAACTTTGTGAAAACACACTAAACATTTTGACACCATTTAAACTAATTTCCTCTCAACCTGTTGGTTTGATGTTGATGTCCTCATCCATGTCGATCAGACCAATGGAGGACAGAGAGTTGAGGTTCTTCAGACACAGTTCTGTGAGAGGAGAAACAGCAATCACCTTAATATACTGTTGTGATGTGCTCAAAAAAAGTCAGAGTAGGACAGCTTGGATAGAAGTGGCTTCAGTACAGAGTTTTAAATCCATTAAAGGTATAGTTTGGATTTTATGAAGTGGGGCTGAGGTACTTATTATACATAGTGAGTGTATTACATCCAGGAGATGGCAGTCGGCAGTCCCAAATTTGGAGAAGCAGACAGGAGTACTACTACAGAAACTAAGCAATGTACTGCTGTGGATGGAGACAGCAGCAAAATGAATTCTAGTCACCTAAAAATAATCTATAAAGGTTTGAGTGTACACCATGTTTAGAATACTGGCCGTCAGACAACCCTTTGCAACTGGGAACTGAAACTGTTATCTATGCTCTCTTCAAGGCCACCAGAGTCATTTGACAAAAACAGAACGCAAAACAAGGGAGCAGCTGGTCTACTGCTGCCTTGATCCGCAAGTTTGTTTGTGTTATTTTGTTACTTTGGTGTTTAAAGGGTTAGTTGGGATTCACCAAAGTCACACAATAACACAAACAAACTGATGAAGGCAGAGGTAGACCAGCAGCTCTGTGTTCTGTGAGGAATAATTTAGGGATGCACCAAAATGAAAATTTGTGGCCGAAGCCGAAGCAGAATAATATTAAACACTTGGCCGAATACCGAGTACCGAATAACGAATATCGTTTAGTTTTTCATTAGTTTTTGCAGATGAACCCCCTCCAGATTAGTGTTGTCACGGTACCAAAATTGGATCCCGCTGTACGATACCAATGAAAATATCATGGTTCTGAGTAGTATCACGATACCACAGCGAAAATGAGGCAGATGTGCCTTTTGTCATTTATGAAAAGATAAATTACTTTTCTATAATACATCAATGATATTTCAATGGAATAAATTACTTATTGACTTATTCATACTTCAAAAACAGCATCAATCAGTGATGAACATAGGGGGGATCAAAATAAAACAAATAAAAATAAGAATCAACCAGCCACCCTCCTCCCCTGACAAGCCCCTTCATAAGTAAAGAACAGTCCCTAAAGTGCGGTGAGGTTTGTGGGCCGTGAAAGGCTCGTTTCTCCTCTGACACGTCACATACCTGTGTTTGGCTGGCTCAGCTGTTCAGGTACTTTTGGGCAGTCATGACACCAAGAAGAGGATATTATTGGAGCCGACTTCTCCGTCGCCGGTAAGCCGATGGCCGCCGTATTTGACAGGAATACATTACTGTCTGTGTCTGTGACCCCCGTTCAACCCACAATCGGTGGGATTTGCCTTTCGTTTCTGCAGGTGGTTGAAATCTGTAGGCTGCTCGCACAGCGTGTTGAATGATTAAAGCCTATTTTGCTCGCTCAAAACTATTTTTAGTCGCAAACGCGAGTGCAGTGACGGATGGATTGCCACACTGCTGACATTTTAATCCGCCCGTCACGGCACACGGTTTGATTGCGTTATCAAAACCGTGCCGCTATTATTCGGCCTTGCTTTTAACTTATTCCACCGAATACCGAATGTGTGTTTTTTTGCAATATTCGGCCGAATATATTCGGTTACCGAATATATTCGGTGCATCCCTAGAATAATTCATGTTAATGTCCACAGAGTATATAGGCTTTGAAGAGAGTAAAGTAACAGCTTAAGGTCCCTGTCAGGGAGGGCTCACGGCAAGGTAAAGCAATGAAAATATTCTAAATATAGCGTACACTTAAACTGATAATGATTTTTTTTTCTGGTGGTTAAAATACATTTTGTTGCTGCTCCTGTCCACAGCTGTACACTGCTTAGCTTCCATAGAGCGAGTCTACTTATACAAACTGGGAGCGTGCCAACCAGCATCTGCTGTAGGAATAAGTACCTCCTACAACCCCACTTCCAAAAATCTGAACTATCCTTTTTATCAAGTTTCTTCCTGCTACTTTAGTGACTTCAAATAGAGTAAAAACAGATGTAGCCCACCTTGCAATTTTGCTTCGATTCCATATCTGTCTAAGTCGGCAGAGAAACCTGAAATTGGAATTGAGGCACATTGCACTCACTGGTTTTACATTCAGTCATGACAAAGAATCTGGACACTCATCACATTCTGTGTGCCTGAGCTCTGACTGACCATAGTGTGTGGGGTTCTTGAGGGCTCTGATGTAGAGGAAGGTGGAGCGTATCCAGTCCAGAGCCATGTTGACATCACTGATGGTTTGGAGAACAATCTCAGCATTCAGGTGCTCCACCAGGTGACTGTGTAAGCTGGGGGAAGGAAGTATACTGTTACCTCATGTATTACTGTATAATCTCTCCTATGAGAGAGAAAGAGTGAAAGAAAGAAAGACTGAGAAAGAGAGAGTGAAGAATATCAAGTGACTGAGCTGTAATACCTGCTCTCAATGATTTCCATCCCATTCATGAGTGTCATGTACTTGTCTTTGGTTTGGATCTTGGTCATGATCACTGCAGTCGCTGATGTGTCAAACTAGAGAGAGAAGGGACGACAATTATTTAGTTTAATAAAAATCACTGTTGCTATCTTTCTTACTCCTTTTAAAGTATTTAAATAAATGCTCTTTCTATGACAGCAAGGTACACTTTCAACAATCAAAGAAGAGAGATGCACCCTGTGTTAAAATGCGACAGCACCAGTGAAACAAATGCATCACATCTGTTCCTTGTTTAGTGATGGTGCGCCAGCTCTTACCTCCTTGAGCTAAGGGAGGTACAGTGAGAGAAATAACAATAAATCAAGTTTTCTGTTGTTATCTGCCATTACTTGTGGTCTTCCAGCTCGGCCTATCATCTGCAGCAAGTCGGCCTCGCTGTACTCCTCACAGGAGCCTGCCACATACTGCATGGTGGACTTGATCACCACCAGATGAGCTGGCAGATTCACCCCCATGGCCAGAGTCCTGGTGGTAACTAGGGTGTCAAAAATCAGACCACGAACACAAATTTAGTGTCAGTGAAATACAATGAAAATCTGATTTCAAACTGTACAAGCGATGGGAAGAAACTCTTTTTAGTTTTTAGTTTTGAGTATGTAAGTGCTCATGAATCCATAACGTGTTGTAACGTAGAGTACGAACAGCACTGAATGACAGATTATATTCAAATTAAGTTGAGACCTTTGCCAGCCTGGCACTGGCTGCTCCTCTGATGGTCGCTATTCCAACTTTGGTGTGTTCATGAGCTTCGGGTCACAGCATATCACATACCAAATACTGCCATCTACTGTTGACCTGTCACAACACATAAAGCCTGTGGCAAGAACTCATGGTGTCATGTCACTAAGCTTGTGCAATCATGCTTTTATCACCTCAGAAACATTGCTTAAATACCATCTATTTTAACTTAATGAGATACAGAAACTGTTGTACATGCTTTTATCTCTTCACGTCTTGATTATTGCAACAGCCTTTATCCCTGTTTCAATCAAAAAACCCTGCAACTATGAACGACCGCATCACATTAGTTTTAGCCTCTATACATTGCCTCTCTGTTTGTTTTAGGATTGACTTTAAAATCTTATTGATTACTTTTAAGGCTCTTCATGACTCCAGATTACATTTCAGACCTGTTAGTCCTTTATGACCCTCTGCATAGTTTGAGATCCTCGGGCAGAGGTTTTCTGCGTGTCCCAGAGTCCAGGCTGAAGATCAAAGGGGACAGCGCTTTTGCAATCAGGGCCCCGTGGCTGTGGAATGACCTGCCTGATGATATAAGGCCATCTGAGTCACTGGCTCCGTTTAAGTCTCTCCTAAAAATGTACTTCTGTCGGAGAGCATATCCTGACTTTATCTGAGCTGTCTGTCTGTCTGTTGTATTGCTATCTCATCAAGCTACAGAAAAGGTGTGTTGTATTTTGTTGCTCAGAAGGTTTTAACAAGACATCCATAACATCCATCTTATTTCTTACTTATTTGTACAAAGATTCCTACAACTGGTGCATAACAGTTTAGTCAATATGGGAAGGAAAATACTGTTTATTGCTTTTGGCATAAAAACTTACCAGTATAGGTCATTAGTAGTCACACTCTCTGCAATTTACGTTCTATTAAACATGCATTTACATGCATTTTTGACACAACCCTGCAGTTAAAAAGCTTGGGCTGGGCCCTAGCAATGTTTCAACACGATATGGGTGGAATACCGTACGACTCAGTTGCTGTAACCAGTGACACTTGTTTTTCCTGATTACGTCTGCAGCATTACAAAGAAAATAAAAACACAGGATGATGTTGCACACTCATATAGTCACATATCCATTTACAGCACAGGATAAAATTGAGAGTAAGAAAGACTCACAGAGGACAGGCAGGTCTCCCAGAGTGAAGGCCTCTTCTATCAGCTTCCTGTCAGACAGGTCAACTCCTGCATGGTGGTAACCAACTCCTAACATCACCAGATCTGGACCACAAACGTAACACCAAATAATGCTACACTGTTTTAGAGCCAGAAATCAACATGTACTTCTTGCTGGGTCTGTGTCTGTAGGCTTCAAAAAGGGACTCACCTCTCAGTTTTGAATCCATAATAGAGTTTGCATATCTCATCAACCTAAATAGATAAAAAAGTAACAAAGAGTCGAGCTCAAGCCTTCCGTGAAATTAACTTAACTGAACATGAAATGATTTGATGATTAGTTGCACATGTGAGAACATGTAGGAAACGTACCTTTGCTTGTGCTCAACGCTCATGATGAAACGAGCATCCTTGGCCAGAACTGTAGCTGACTGTTGGACTCCTTTCCTTGTAGAGCAAAACTACAAAATAACATAAATTATTCGACCATCAAGAAACAGAAACCCACCATCCTCATTAACTCTTCATAACCTTACAGTCTTATTCCATGACATGAAAAAATCAAGAAGGAAAGCAAACACACAAATTGGCCCACATCCTTCACCCACCACTAGTGCAGGTTTCTGGTCAGAGTATATTTGTATGATGTTGGCCATCTTGTAGTTGAGCGACAGGTCAAACTTGAACTCTGTTTGGTTCGGGCTGCAGGGGAATCCCAGCACCACTTTCCTCAGCTTCACTGGACGATGGCTCTCATCCATGTTCAGATATGTGGCTGGACCGCTCTCATTACACAGCCAGTCTGCTATCTAATAACGCAGCAGACAAAACAATGATCCGATTACTGATTTAAACTAGCGATACAGAGCAAGCACAGAATTATGTATGTGTATTACAGGGAAGCGAGTCAGTAGGGTGCCTTTCTTAATTTGTCACAAACTCAAGGGCAGTGTATTTATTGGCAGAGACTCTGCCTTCTGCCTGTGTTTTCTTATTATCTTCTTATGTTATTGTATTCAGGCTTTCCTGGACACAGCATACAGGTGAGGGCAGGACTTTATAAGGGTAGCAACCAGGTACCTGACTGTAAGCACACACATCCAAAAGGGAGCTACGAAATCGCAGACATTTTGCCAGAAAAACACAAATACAGCGAAGTACAACACCAATCTGGAGTTGGCTTTCACTTTCATTTTTGCTGGCGATTCGGTTTATAAACAGTAATCTACAATGCCTGCGTAGTATACCTTTAATCACAAAACTAGGACTCCAAATTACAGATTTATCTATGAATTATATCACTCTGAAAGATCACTGACTCTCTCCCTCAGCCACTTACATCAGAGATGTTGGGTATGGTGGCTGATACAGCCACAAACCTCATGGAGAGGTCTGTCTCTGGATTCTGTGCTGTTCTGTAGGCATGTACGGCTTTCATCCTGCTCACCACAACTTCCAGCGTGGCACCGCGGGTCACGTCCTTCACCACATGCACCTGAAGGAATGAAATGTGTCATCTTAAAGTTGGGGCGGCACGGTGGTGTGGTGGTTAGCACTATCGCCTCACAGCAAGAGGGTTCCAATCCCAGGAGGGAGCCCTTCTGTGCGGAGTTTGCATGTTCTCCCCATGTCAGCGTGGGTTTTCTCCAGGTACTCCAGCTTCCTCCCACAGTCCAAAGACATGCAGGTTAATTGGTGACTCTAAATTGTCCGTAGGTGTGAATGTGAGTGTGAATGGTTGTCTGCCTCTATGTGTCCGCCCTGTGATAGTCTTGCGACCTGTCCAGGGTGTAGCCCGCCCCTCGCCAAATATCAGCGGGGATAGGCTCCAGCATCCCCGCTACCCTCAAGAGGATAAGCGGTTTTGAAAATGGATGGATGGATGGATGGATGGATTGATGGATCTTACAGTTGGCTTCAGAAACATGTTGGCAAAATAAAATTGAGTTATCTTTTATCTAGGGCTGTACCTAATAGGTCGAAGCATTCAAATACAGTGCAGCTTTTTTGCTTTTTGGACATCTGTTCATTCTTTTTAAACCTGCTATTTCTGCACAGTTGCAGATAAAGATAAAGATTAGGCTGCAGAAATATTATTAGTATTATACTTTTTGTGGAATCAGAGTCCAGTGCTGTCTGCCTAAGATCATTATTACTTAGTCCCTAAAGTCCTGAACGATGACATTTTTTTATTTTGTGCGCACAAGTTAATTACCTTGTGTACACAAGTGCTTCAGTCTATATATGCTGACATTTAGCCTTTCAAAAATAACATTTTCCCTGAAGTAAAAAAACTGAGCTCTCCTGCTCGCTGAACACAAACGGAGGCACACACCTGCATTAACGAGGGGGTATTTATGTTGACAAAAACTAATGCATTATATTCATTAAAGATGGTTGATTTAATAAAAAAGACTCATTTAATTTGATGAATCACTTCATTAAAATTGAGGAACTTGTTTGAGGATATTTAAAAAATTTTAGGGTGATAATGTAGAAATGGACATTCGAAGCATTGTTCGAAAACCCAAATAGAAGCTCTCAAATATAAACACCCAAATTCAGTGCAACTATACTTTTATCATTGCTTCCATCACTTATATGAGGAGGTGCATCTCAGTGTGGAAGAACTACATGGCCCAGTTAAATGCACTTTCATAATAACCGGCGTTGAACATCATGTACTGTAATTTTTTAATGGCTAACCTTAAGTGAAATAAAGTGCTGAGGGCAGAGGCTAATGGCGTGCCATCACACAATGTGGCAAAATAAAACCCACTGTAAACTGTGTATCTTCTGGCATTGTGAGTATCCAACATTATGCAGGCAAATTATGAGACACTATAAACACTAAACAAAGGGCCTGTGAACAAAACATCTGACCTCATCGATGAGGAAGAGCCTGACAAGCTGCAACAGACAGTTGTCCTTCCATTTTCTTGTCATGCTGTCCCATTTTTCCTGTAAAAAAAATTAAACACAAAATTACATATTCAAATGTAACTACAGATTGCATACGTTGATGGAGAGGCAGTATACTGTAGTGTCACACACAGGAGTGGTCAGGATGATGTGGGAGTCCTGAATCTCAAAGAAGTCATCAATCTCTGTGTCACCCGTCAGCTCCTTGCAGCTCAGTCCCAGGGGACCAAACTTCTTCTTCCAGCTTTCAAAGCACTGACTGCAGAGAGCTTTGATAGGGGCCACTGGCAAGAACAAACAGTGAATCTTTTTTCAAAGCAGTTCTTTGTACTTTAGAAATACCCTAAATCTATAACTGAATCAAAAATGAAAACAGTCTGGGAATGATACACATATTCAAAGCTTCTGTGTATAATTACAGTCAGGTGTATTGTGTTAAAACATTGTTGCTCTTTAGTGACTTTGACTAAGCTGAATTTCATCAGGTATAGGATTTCTTCCTCCTGCCTGAACTTTGATACAGCACAAGCTTTTTCAAATTGGCAGCGTGTATGAACAGTTAAGCAACACCAGATCTGTATTTTGTGTTTTCAATCAGTTATAAATGAAGAAAAAAATATCACATGTTCATTTATCAAATCTTAAAGAGACAGTTCACCAAAAAATATTTTTTAAGATTATTTGACAGGACAGATTAAGTGTGTAAGAGGGAGAGAAGGAGGGGACGGCATGCAGCAAAAGGCCGCGGGCATGAACCAACCCAGGCTGCTGCAACAAGGACACAGCCTTGGTTCACAGGGGCGTCTGCTCTACCAGGTGAGCTACTGGACGCCCCTGAAAATACATATTTTTACTCTTTCCTGAAGTGCTACTTATTAATCCAGATTGTTTTGGTGAGTTGCTGAGTGTTGGAGATATCGGCCGTAGAGATGTCTGACTTTTCTCCAGTATAATGCTTTGAGCACCACAAGCCAAGTGCCATCTAGTTCTATTAAATTCAGGAGAAGTCAGACATCTCTATGGCCAAAATCTCTTAAATTTTGGGATGAACTGTCCCTTCAGGTGTTAAGAATGTAGAACAGTTTGAGAAATTATTATCTTTCTGGGTAGGAATCATTTTCTGCAATACTGAGACCGGAAAGTACAACTTTTTAAATTAAATGCAATATATCTTATGAATATAAAGCATACTTTAGGCCAAATCTACTCAGCGTGGAGTTTATTTGGTGTATTAATAGGGTCTATGCTCACTATATACAGCTTTGACATCTCTCCAGGGCTCTGAGGTCTCCATTAGTAGACGAATGATGGCCAGCTCAAACAGCACTGTTTTTCCAGATCCAGTCGGAGCACATACCACAAAGTTCTTACCCGTGTAAAGAACCTGTGAACAAACATAACTCCAAGTGAGGCAGTCACAGTTCACATCTCACAGGTTCTAACAAGACGTGTTAATTATAATCCTCACCACTCTGTTTATAAAGGCTTCCAAATAATGCTTACATCATCGAGTGCTTTGGATTGAACGTAGTTGAAAAAGGGGAACTCGTTGAAAACGGATCTGAACTTAGCTGCTGTGTTAGCATGATTCAGGAAATCAAACCACAGTACTTGTGTTATTGCATTCCAAGCTTCTGGCGCAGTTCACATACTGTCTGACAATTTCAAATTGTGTTGAGTTACACAACAACAAAAAAGGATACGGATTTCAGAAACTGGCCGCAAAACTCCAGACCCAGAGGTACCTAAAATGTGCACAATGAAAACACAAAAAAATACTTTCACCTTTAGTCACACTCTCAGTGATTCCACTCATTCCACCGTAATGCTGATATGAAATGTTTAAGACTTTGGTAAGGTATAAAATCACGAGGTTTGATTCTGTAGTGAATGTAAAGCTGCAGTAATGTTTGTAGACTACATGTGGTCACAAAGGGTTCTACTGTTACTGTCTACTGCTTCTAATGTTTCACAATCCACCACCTAGTGACCAGCAAGTTGCATTACAATGGAACGGTCAATGAGGGGAGCTCACCTCATTTCACCTCATCACACCCAAACACAATGTGGCAGCTGCTGCCATGGCTAGACATGGGCACGCTCATTAACTGCACTACATTACAGAGGCTATATGAGTGCTATTTGGTAAACCAGTCATAGCCTGTGAGCACAGCGCCTGTCTGTGACTGTGTCAATGCAGTGCAGCACCTTCTATGCGAAGTGGCTGAGGCGTCATGGGCGGAACGAAGGCTCTCTTTGTGCCCTTGTCCTGCATCTCAGCATGTGCCGCCTGCTGCGGGGGTTGGCCACTCGCTGCAGATGAGCCCAGAGGAGGGGGCGGGAAGGGGGGCTTGGGGGAGAAAGGAGGAGCTGCCTGGCTAACTGTCGCCCGTGGCGGCTGAGGAGGAGGAGGCACTGTCGCCATGGTAACCGGACTGAGAAAAGTTTGAGGTCTGGATGCTGTCTGGCTGCTGCTGCTTCTGAGGTCATCTGTGTTTGACGAGTCACCTCCACTGTTCAACACCTGAACCTTGAACAAGCTGTTGTGAGAGGGAGGGGAAGATATGGAGGGAATATAGAATTGATAGAGGCAGAAGGTAGAATAAGAGAGGGAACTACTGTTAATGCTGTGAGCTTGGAGGCTTATTTGATAGTGTAGCATCTTTTCATTTTTTTCTTAAGAACTTGATCCTCTTCATGATAGACTGTAGTTCCATCTTAACTGAGCACGTCATGGATTCCAACAATTTGAGGGATTAAGGCGTGAATCATAACTACATTTTTTGGACAGCGAAAAACTGGAAACATGGCTTTTATATTGTGAACTGAATAGCATTAATCCTGCTATATTAAGCATTTTTTAAAAATTACATTCTGCATCCGCCTCCGAGGAGAGAAAATCCTTGTTGACCTGCTTTTCACGGCCTCAAGGCCACATATCAATCTTTGTTAAACGCTTTGAAATCACAAACCTGTTACTGCCCCCAAATGCAGAACTCTTCTCATCTTTCAAAATATGCACCACAGAAACACTGAAAACAAGTTGTTGATTCACAATCAAGTAAATGTCATCTTCTTGATAAATAACTGACACTTGCCTTCTCCGTAGAGGTGGGCTTTCGCTGTAGTCCAGAGACAAACACCTCCTGTTGATGGCCGCATGACCAGAGGCCTGCAGGGTTTCATCTCCACCTCCGCCACTCTGGCAAGCAACGTTAGTGTAATCCCTGAACCCCTCACCTAAATGCCAAAGGGCATCACATCTGCTGGTGCTACTGCTGCCACCCTGAGTGTCCTCAAGCTCTTTCTTATCATTGTTATAACTGTAAGGACTGTTGATGTTTGATGGTAAAACCTGAAGCCCAGCTGATCCTTTAAAAGAAGGCAGGAGTGTCTTGGGTCTCTGTGAGAAACCTGTATTATTGAAGAGGGAGAGAGTTTCATCACACAAAGTTGTTGGTAGCTGTAATTTGGAGTGTGACTCTCAGAATTATGGTTGACTTTTTTGCTTGCTGAAGAAAAGACTTTACATCGGGGACTTTACCATTCCAGTTATACTAATATATCATAAGACCCAGATCCAGAAGCTTTCAAGCCTATTCAAGCTATCGTGTCAGTGAGTCACACAGTTAAATTTAGTAGGGCTTCAAAAGGCCAGATACTGAGCAGTTTACTCAAGTCAAGTGAAAAGGAATTCCCTCTAATCCAGAGCGCAACATACTGTATAGGGTAGAGAGAGACTCTGCCTCCTTCTGCATATCCTGAGTGGCTGGAACCTGAGAAAGAGATGGAGGCACTTCCAGCTGCCATGGGCTGACCTCCTGGTGCAGTGGCTTTCTGTCAAATGCAATCCAGAGGGAAAAAATGAATTCAGCTGTGAGATGAAGATGAGAGAGGGATGATGTGGGGCATCTCTTTGTACTCACACTTTTTGGACAATGGGTCTCTCAAAAAAGAGATTGTCGAGGGACAATGTGCAGTCATCTGAGTCCAACATCAGATTATTTGGCGCTCACACATTTGGATGCAAAGCAGGGCGATGTCTGTCAGTCACAATGGATCTTGATTGGGGGGACATCTGGCTTAAAGAAGAAAACAAACCAGAGATACTAATATGAATGCAAACACAAATCAATAAATATATTAGTAGCTATATATTTACAGTATAACTTCTTCGGTGAAAAATTATTTACAGGCCGTATGAGAAGAAGAAAGCTATTGTTGCTGCAAGTTTGAGGGGTATTTTGGAAGACTTGTTTTGGTCTGCAGCAGAAAAATAACATGGTTTACCATCTTTAATATTTCTCTCATGACATATCCTACAATGAAAAAAATCAAGCCTGCAAATGATGTAGTTACATTTTAATTACACTGTGTATGGATTCATTTGAGAGATTAAAAGGAAAATTAACACATAACATTTTGGATACACAAAAAATGTGGCTTTCATATCAGTTAGCAGCATTTCTGCTGATTTAATGCTAGCCAGTGTCTCTACAGGTATAAGACACTTAATTTAATGCTTTTTACGACCGTTTGAAGATCATTTTTAACCAATTTTAAGACTGATTTTGCACTTGTGTTGGTTGATTTGAAGGCCTTTCGAGGCTACAATAAATAAAGACCTATCAAAAACATATCTATTGTGTATATTATTGTTCCACTACTTACTTTTCATCATAGTGATAATGGGTACAATCATAGATAAAATTTAAATTACACTTAAAACACTAAATTATTATAGCCATATGCGCCTTAATAAGAGAATTGATGCAGATATTTAAAAGTAATGCAAAAGTTACTTTATCTGGTGACTAATTACTTTTATATGCAGTAATTGGTTAAGTAATTCAATAAATTTTGAGAGTAACTAGTAGCTAACTAGACTTTTTAAGGAGCTGCAGTCACCATGGTTAGCTTTAGCATTTAGCCACTTATGGATATGACAGAATTGAATGTTCTATAAGTAGCATACCTGTTAACAAAGATGTATGAACATATACATTATGAATGTGGTAGGCAAGTATATCGTACTAAAATACTTACCGGTTATTAGGTAACTACATTTACGGGCTGACACAGTTGAGGAAACTGGGCCTAGCTAGCTTTAGCTAAAGGGTTAGGCGCTAGTCAACAACTAGCTAGCTGCTAGCTTCAGTTATGACGACATTTTAACTCACGGCTAACAGTTAGCTTTATAATTTCCTATGTTGTTTTAAACTTTGATTTTTTTGTAATTTTTAAAATTATCTCCGGTAATTCCTAGCTGTGTTCTCACCTGTGATAATAAATAAATTTACTACACAAATGCTAACACAGGGTTGTCAGGTCAGGGCTTAACCTTTGACCCCACTAACGTTTCAGTTGCCATTTTTTTCCGCAACTTTATTGAAAACAGTGATTTATACAAAGTCAGATATCATAGAAACTGTCCAAAATAATAACAGTAATAATAATAAAATAAAGTACAAGTGACAGACTGAAATTGACCGATAAGAAAAGGAAGAAAAAAAAATCAGATACAGCATTTAAAATCAAATAGCAGGGAAATTACAAAATGGCAGGTTATTATTATGTATGGTTAATACACTTTTCTTGTTATTTACATGTTCATGAGACCTCATTAGATAAAAAAAATATATATCAAAAACGTTTTAAACAGGAGGATGGATGGATAAATTTCCATTGCTTTCAAAATAAACACATCTTTGCGTTTAGACTTAACAGAGTGACCAGTATTTCTAGAAATACATTGCAGTTAACCCGTCATTACTATTTTTTGGCGAGATTGATTTACCCACCAGTAACAACTTATGCACATTTCATATAACAGCACTGTAGCTTGACTTTTTATTAAAAAAAATATTGTCTGTAGCTAAATACTGCCATCAATATTTAACTAGGCCGACTGTAAATGTTTATTGTGAAATAATTTCATCTTTATTGAATGTGTGTTCAAACACAATGTGTTCTGTTTAAAACTCACGAGGCTGTGAATAACTGAACCGGCTAATCACCGGCCATGAAGGCAACAAAGACCCGTGAGAAGACAACCATGGGGGGATAGTGGCAACATCTCTCATGTGTTGGCACACAATTCTAGTCTGTGCGTCAATGACAAGTTAACATTATCAAAACTAAAGGTGTTTTTTAAAAAAGCAAACCAAATAGTAACTGAAGTTTCAATTTATTTCCTCAATTAAAACGACGATTAACCGCCATCAACCTAAAAAAAATCTGCTACTCAAAGGAGATGGTCATTAACTCAGGTTTTTTTATGCCTCCTATCTGGAATGTACCATTACAAATCTTTCGGGGGGACATGGCGCCGACTCGAAACATCACCTGCGGAAATTAAACGCGACAGTAACTTGCGTAACTTTTTAACTATAGCTGTTTTATAGATAGTTACACAATTAAACGTTATCATCGGAGTTTGTCTTTGTCCTGTTTCTGTAAAGCCGATTGTAGTTACGGTTACCCGTACAAAAGAAATGATCTGTCCCACACCAGACCACCACGGAAAATGGCGACTGTGAAATAGATGGAAGACGAAAGTAAGAAATTATTCAATGCAGCGTTTAAATTGTGCCCTGTCTCCATCTGCACCGCTCGGAGGTAACGTTTGTTTGTTTATCATCATTTTATTGATGTCTGTGTGGTGAATAGCGAGGGACGATTGTCATTAGCTGTAGTTTAGCCTGAGGAATAGGTTTTGGTATGGAACAGCCTTAATGGAATGGTCTGCAGCTCCAGCAAGCAGCATCCAACAACACAGCGTGATATAAACGCCAAAGAAATGCAATGATAGCCTTACGGAACATAGTGTAAATAATCCAATTTGCTCTATATCTAGGTAGCTTCGGAAACGTATCCCAACTACTGTGTGTTGGCATATAACTGAACTACTGTGCTCAAAGTTTTAGCTCTATACAAAATCCACAACCGCTCATCAAAAGCCATTTACGAGGTCCATCTCTTTGCAGTTTCGGTGCTGCTGTGTAGATGTTATAAACACCTCTCTCTGCCACAGGAGCATTCACTTGGTATGACACTTTTATTGCCCTTCAAATCCAAGACCTCTCACGACCTTGTAGCGTTATAAATGGCCACAATTAATCATCTGAACAAAATGTCAAGTATATTATATTTAGCTATATTCATTTTGCAGTCAATGAATGCTGTTTGAGTCGAGAAGCTAACTCTGCTGACACTGTAAGTAACTGAACTGTTTACTTTTTTACATCAGACAAGCACATTCTAATGAGCAAGAACCATCTACTGCAAACTGTAGCTAGTAAACAAAGGTAATATTAAATATTGGACTTGCAAAAGCCTGAATGTCACTGTAATGCTGACATTTGCTAAAGCATGCTAAAAGCTGGAAATATCATCTTAGCCAGATGGTTAGAAATCTTCACCACCACTGATTTACATTTGCAATTAGGGCTGCAGCGAATGATTTGTTTCATTATTGATTAATCTGCCAATTATTTGCTTTACCGCTTGGATGTTAAAATGTCAGAGAACAATGAAAAATACCCATTTCAGTTACCTTAAACCCAAGGTGACGTCTTCAGATTACTTATTTTGTCTGATCAACCGTCCAAAACCCAAATATATTCAGTTTACAATGATATAAGACAAAAAACAGCAAAGGCTTACAATGTAGAAGCGAGAACATTTGAAAAAGACAGAGAATGTAGAGAACGTTTAAAAAAGACACATAATTATCAAAATAGTTGCAGCTCAATTCTCTAACTAGCCTAATTGTTGCAGCTCTATTTGTATTTTGAACATGACTACATTTTTAAACCACACTAGCAGCCTCTAGTGGCAGCAATGCTCATTACATCACACTCTACAAACTGTACGTAACAAACAATCTATGGATGAGTTTGCTGTTTCGAAAAGGCTAAATCCATATTTATTTCTTAGCATTGACATGTTGCTGCTAGGGGTGTAATGACGATGTGAAGACGGTGTAACGTACATAGATCAGCGATGGAAAATTATCGTTGCAAAGTGAAAACATGGATACATATAGTCATTTTTAAGATACACCTTTATTTTGAAGTAGTGTCATCATTTCCATCCAAGTGCACCTCCTTCCTAAACATTCAAACAGTGCTAGCAGCTGAGCGCCAGGCAGATAGTGGTAAGCAGCCAAGAAAATAACAATTAGGATATTTACCGATATTGTCGCATATGGATTGCAGGGCCCTGAATTCAGTCAAATAAAAATCGTACCATGGCAGACTTTCTGATACCTGCAAATATTGTATCATAGTCCGAAGAATCCATATTGTATCGTATTGTGATGAAACTTGTGAATTACCCCCTTAGTTGCGACATGTGAAGGCTACATACATTAGCTAGCCTTAATTTACAAATTAAAGTTTTACGAGACTGCTAGAGCTATTTGTTCACCTTAAGCCATTGATAGAGAAGATAACATTAATGTTAAAGAAATGCTCAACAATCTGCTGCTTTCAGTACCACTATACAACAATGAAATCTTAATTGCTGTAAATATTATTATTATTATAGTATTTGGATCAGCGCTAAAGTATCCTTTAGCACTACCCTCAGTACATCTCCCCACGCAAATGTTAAAAATAGAATGGGTTTTCCCCAACAGCAACCTCCGGAGCTGAAAAATGAAGCCAACACGCAAGTGACAAAAACTGCAGTTCCTCTAATGGCCACTTGAGGCTCGCTCCAAAAAAAACTAGTCACTTCCCACAGACCACCGTGTTAAAATGCCAATTTTACAGAAGTAAACATATTTGGAACCTTGTACAAAAACGTGTTTTGGTCTTTTTAGCTAATTTCCCCCTTTATTACAACTGTACAGGCGGTGAATTTTGATATAACTCATCCGTTTGCATTTAGTTCAGGTTGAAACTTTGCATAATTAAGAGCAGTAACAATTTGAGTGTCAATCTGTGTCGGATCTAGCCCCTGCTCTTCCATAGCTCTGACATCTTTTTCCAGATATTGTGCCCTCTGGCTCCAAAAACCAAGATGGTGACGACCAAAAAGCCTAACTCGAGGTTTTGGAACAGGAGTCCACAAACTAATGGGTGATGTCACAGTGGCTTTGTCCATTATTTTTACAGTCTATGGTTTCACCCCATTGGGAAGCTAAATGAATGTAGAAAAAGCCATGGCAATCTAGACATTGGATTCTAAGGTATCTTGTGTAAAGATGACATTTTGGCCTGAGGGTGGCAATAGAGGTACGCTGTTTTAAATTTAAGTTTATCTTTCGGGTGCGTTCGGATCGCCTTGAGCACTCTCTTATGCATGCAAGCACATATTCCTGGTACATTCAGGCCCCCAAGAAGTGCACTGGGCTTTTAAGCCAATTTTTGTAGTAGCCAAACAGCGAAATTACCTCCATAGTGTGATACTATGTGGCCCAGAACGACTTTTCCATAGACCACATGGTTAAAGAGACGTCCATAAATGTGGAGTGTTACAACCCACGTAGAATGAGTTGTTTCACAATCAAATTTGATCCGGTCAGTCTTATAAAATTCGAAAGTCTACAAGAGCCGCACAATTGTATAATTATATCCCTATTTACTTTAGCAGAACGCTAAACCAGACATGACCAGCTCGGCTAGAGAGCTTGCTCTATGGGCCTCACAGCGTGGAAGAAGTGGTGATCGTCTGGGTAATTTCGGTAGTCTAATTTCTTTGGCACTGAGCAACGTTCATAGAAATGAACAGGGCCCCACCTCCAACGTTGTGTCCGGTTCTCTTAATACATCTATGGTTAGATTACTTTGAATGCAAACGCTGTATTTTTACTGTTTACGTCACATTCATTATGAAAAAATACAAAACTGTAGTCACCACGACAACTTCTTAGAGTTGTAAAATCCTGCCTGTGATTATTTCAAACCGTTGTGCCGTGGTTTGGCATCTGACAAGCCTTTACACGCATTTATCTGTTTCTACAACTGGACTTCCTGTATCATATTTCATTGTCTATCCGGTACCTGAACAATTCACTCCCATCCATGCAACCCCCTGAGCTGATTTGGTATGAATGCCCAAAAACACCATACATCAATACACACAAACCCTCACCACAACATTTAATAATATGAATATATCAAGGCAAAACCCCATATGACTGTAATTTTATTTAAAAAATTCACCTTCATCAATAAGCAACGACTCTACCTAGATTAGTTATCTGTTATTGTGCAGAGATGGACGGACCTATGCCTTAAGTGATAAAGGTTTAAATTTAACCTTTGAGATGCTACAGTGATAACTGTGGATCTTTTAGTACAATACTAAGAAGGCTTTACCTTTCTTCTTTTCAGGTCATGGCAACCCAAATGTCATGTCTGACAGGTGTTGATGAAGACGACAAAGATGCAGATCCTGAGATCAATGCCCTCACGCTCCTGCAAGAGCCAATGAGAATGGCCCAAGAATCCGCTTCTTGCGCCGATTCTTTCAGCAAGCCTTCTCTGAAACAAAACAGTGTCCTAGATGTTCTGTCCAACACAGATATGTTGTCTCCGGTTGGCCTGGGAAATGGACCTTCTTCAAATCAGGCTACACAAGCCCATGAACTCAGCAGCATCTCAGCAGATAAAGAGGAGGCCAAGAGCATCACCCCACTAAAAACAGTGCAGGAAATTGACACTGCTGGAATTTGGGGTTTTGATGCAGACTCGCCTGAGAACTCATTGGATGATTTTAGTAGTGCCAGTGATCTTCATTGGGACCCTCACAAAGAGTTTATGCAGTTTCTGTGGGACAACCACGGTGATTCTCCTGGTGAGGAGCCTAAAGATGATGTCCCTGCTGCCAACAGCCAAAGGAGAAGGAAACGGAAAATGGACATGGTTGTCATGGTAGATCCCTCAGAAGACCTTTACCCTGATCTGAGCCACAAGTCATCTGAGGAACTGTCCGATACCGAAGACCAAGTAGACTCCATTCCTGTCCGAAAAGTCAGAAAGTCAAGAAAGTTCTCCCAGTCACAGTCGTCACCAACAGGGAAAGTTTCCATGTATCCCAATGGAACTGTGAAGACCATCAAGGAAATTCTTTATAATGCACCTGCAAAAAATTCACATGAGAACAATATAGGTCACAGGCTTTCACCACTGAAGGGGAGGCTCACCATAAATTCTCATCCAGAGGAGAAGCCATCATGCTACCCTTGCTCAAAATGCAAGCTCATTTTCAAGAAAGAACATCACTTGCATCGTCATATGAAGTCCCATGTTGACTCTCCAAATTTGCCAAAGCCTTTTATATGCCGAGAGTGCGGGCAGTCCTTCAGGCAAAGTGGTTCGCTCATTGAGCACATGTCTATCCACCAGGAGAAGACAGCAAGACTCACTGAAGAGATCAAAGGCATGAATGATGAGAAGAAAGAAGCTAAAAAGAAGCTTTTTTGCCCTCAGTGCCCATTTGTTACAACCTGCCCAAACACATTTGTTCAACATGCAAAAACCCACGAGAAGGACAAGAGAAAGTTTAGATGTGACAAATGTAGCTTCAGAACTCTTAGCGAGAGTGATCTTAGGAGGCATAACATTATGCAGCATACTGTTATCACAGTTAGAAAGCAGATCCAGAATGATGACTCTGAAAGCTACTCCTGCAACATTTGTTCTTACAGAGTTTTTAGCAAAAATGTTTTCAAGAATCACCTCCTGCGGCGCCATCAACAAACTTATGAGGAATACGAAGCTGCACAGCGTATTGACAAAAATGCACAACCATCTAAGGAGCAGCACATGCCTACCAGTAAAAGTCCTGTAGAAGATGCAGAGTTTACATCGAAAATCTCTATAAAAAATCAGATCTCTCCTAAAAGAGCTTGTTCACCTAGTGAGTCCAATGACATTTCAGACTTATTCAGAAATAGCAAGATTAGGAGAGGTCTCAAGTCTCAACTAACGGAATCAAAGCTTGACAAATCCATCAATGTTCTCCTGTCCCGACAAAGATACGGAAAGAAAACTGCAGAACAAAAGAAGGAAAGCAATAATCACAGTACATCTGTTCAGGATTCCAAAGGTGACAAAGATGGCTCTGATCAGTCACCTGGAACATTGACTGTCAAGGTTGAAGATTCAGCTTTATCTCCAAATGGACACAAAAAGTCACCGTCTAAAAGGAAGATGTCCACTCCATATCGCAACACCTCTGACCAAGACTCATGCTTCATCTTAGCAAAACCTTTGCCAAGTCCCAAGAAAGTAAACCAAGAAGAAGAGGAAAAGGTGTCAGACTGTGACGAAAAAGACATATTCCAGTTCAAGGACACAGATGCCAACACCAACCTTTTTGACAACGGCATAAAGAAAGAAAAACAAAACATCATTTATACCTATAGCAGAAGAATGTCCATGCGAGGTGCCCTGCAGGAATCTAAGAGGCTGTTTGAGAAAATAAAGACTGAAGAACAAGACCAGACCGACCTTGAAATCAAAGAAGAATGCATAGAAACAGAAGTCTTTCAAGAGACCTTTGAAGCCCACCAAATACCGTTGAGGGATGACTTAGCAGAGGATTTGTCAGAGTTGGACTCGGACCACAAGAACTGTCCTTACTGTCCTGCAGTCTTTGAGTCAGGTGTTGGATTGTCCAATCATGTCCGAGGGCATCTACATAGGGTTGGACTGAGCTACAATGCACGCCATGTAGTGCCTCCTGAACAGGTGGCTTCTCAGGACAGGAGGCCACGAATTCGACGAAAGATGTCAACGATGCGGAGATTGAAAAAAGGTAATTCCATACTTCTATGTTCTTATGTTAATAGGATACTGTCCTTTATTATAGCTTAGCTTATACTTTTTGTGACTCTTGCCATCAGTGCTTTCTGTTATTATTGAGCATTAAACTTTACAATTGTTAAGATTTTGGAACATGGCGTCATCTTTAAAATTAGGTCCACCATTACAACAAAGAGGGGTCAGACAGTCATACAGGTTGTAAACAAACCCCCAGTTAGTCAGTTTCATTTGGATCAGAGTTTCTACAGCTAAAGGCACGTTAAAGTTAAGACTTTTTAAGATTTTTTTTTATTCCACTTGGAATTAAGTTTTTACCAATTTCATGATAATCAAAATTTAAGGAAAAAAAACCACAACTAATTACTTGGGATTAAAGACGATTTTGCCCAAATGTTGTAGCGAGGGTACTGGACGAGGGTAGAGCAGAACTGAGAAAAACTTTGTCGGCAGGTTTTCTTGCAGATTTTGTGCTTCTCACGCTGCCTTGTGTTGAATTTGAAAAACTTTGTGCATAAAATTTGCTGAGTCTCGTATGCATTGCCTTGTACCGGTTTCAGCAATACAACAAAATCTTGGTTAAATAGCCAATTTTTGTGTAATTTGGAATTCCCCATTTTCATCCAGTGAGTACAGTGACAGCTAGCTAGGGGAAGTGGATCCTATGCTTTGAGTATCTCGGCCAGAAACAAAATAAAAGTGTTGTTGATTCCATTATCCTGACATGACATAATGCAAGAAGCATTCAGTTTATTATTTTTAAAAGATAGATGTTACAAAGATAGATCTTACCAATTTTTTGGACATTTTACAACGCATCGTCAAAGAAAAACTATTCATAAACTCCTACCTACCATGTCGTAGCATTTTTAAGACTTTTGAATGATTGGTTTAAGTCATTTTAATAAGGTCTTATTTTTAGATTAATAAATTCAGTGCCTTTTAAGACTTTTTAAGGATCCATAGGAACCCTGTAGATATTAGCTAACAGTAACATTATTACTGTCAGTCAGTTTGCAGACTGATTTATTAAGTCAGCTATTACCAAATATACTTAGCATAGTTGCGCACACTTTTCTTATGAAATTAAATATAATCAGAGACATTATTGATGCGCTCACTTTAAGTAAAATTGTACTTATTCTGGGAAAACTCAGCTTGTTTACAACCTGTATGATTGTATGTCACCCATAGGACCTTTTGTTGTTGTTTTTTCAACACCTCTACCTGCGTCCGAGATCCCATCAATTATTTTGGTGTGCTTAGTGTTCTCATGATCAATGGAACCAATGGACAGGCCAGCGAAAGAAAAACCCAAGTTTTTTAAATGGTTTTAAACAGTAGTTTTCCAGTTATAGTACTTTGAAGTCACAAAACATACACTTATCTTATTGTGTTTGTTCAATAATTATGTTTCTGATTTTCATCTTTTTTTCCAGTGTATCAGATGGAGTCAGAATCTGAGACTGTGAAGAGCATTCACTCCTGTCCATTATGTGGGGACTCATTTGATAACAGGACTGGGCAGTCCAACCACATACGAGGCCACTTAAAAAAGCTTGGTAAAAGCTTTGCAACAAAGAACAAATCCCCACTGTTTTTACTCCGAGAGTTGATGCGCGACAAGAAGGAGTTCCAGCGGGCACTTCAAATTCTGGGAAAGAGACGTAACCATTATCAGTACGGTGCTTCACCAAAGCTGTCCAGTGTCAACCGTTTTACGCAGCCATCCATTGGAATCCCAAAAAGTAATTCTATTTCAAGCATTTGCACTGATGCCAGACCACTGATGCCCACGTTTTCTTTAGCGGAAATGGAATCTGAAAAAAGTCAACTAGAGACTAAGCTGGATGTTAAAAGTTCACTCTCGGGCACGACTGCCTTGATAGGAATTCTGAAGAAGAGAAAGTGTCAAGAAGATGGCAGACTAAAGGGGTCCTCTCAGATGTCAAGAAACACATTAGCAGTTTCTTCAAACAGTGAGCACAGTTCGGGATCAAGAGTTGCATCTTCACTGCCAAAGTGCGGTAAGTAACTTATTCATAATGGTAACCAGTGGGTCATAGGGTTGTCACAATCCTATAATTTCTAACTTTAATATATTACTTTGAAAAATATCGGTATTTGATACCACGGGGGAAGTTAACATTGAGGGCAAACAATTTAAAAATTTATAAAAAGATAAATGTGACATGGATAAAACATGCTACTGTGAAAAGTACTTAAATGGTTTCAGATTTTCCGAATCAGTACGTGTCAATAAATTGATACTTTTAAAAACACCAGTAGGTTAGATTGGAATTTGAATTTGTTTTCTGAAGTAATATGATTAATTTTGATTTGGATAATTACCAAGAATCCTACAATCCTTTTATTACGTATTAAAAGAATAAATAAAATGCAATAGAATAGAATGAATAAAACTAAGAGTATATATAAAACGTGTCTTTTTTTAACTTTTGTATATTAAGTGTCAAAATATGTGCTGAATTTATCTGTGATAAGCCAGTACACACTCATAAATGCATTGGTCTGGCTGTCTTATTATGTTTGTATTTGACTGACAGATTTTATACTAGGTTATAAAAATTTCAAAGTAAAAAATAAAGATTACACAAGTATTTGATCTCACCTGTACATTAAAAAGTTGGCCATCTACAAAAATGTCTTGCCTCAGTCTTGATGGCCTGTGAGCGTTAAACAAATGTAGATATATATTCTAGAACTCACATTAAGACATTTACATCTACAGCAGCTGTTTTGAAACCGATATCTGGGTTTAGATCATTAGATTTTACATGTTGTTAAAGTGAGGTGTCATCAGCGTAAAGGCATAGAATGACAGCACTAAGATACCGTTTCGATATGTGACCAAAACTGATGAGCATGTTGCACATAAAAATGCAGAAGAATACCATTATTTCTATCTTTGTCTCATTACCTAAATAGCAGAATATCAGAAATTATCCATATAGAGTTTGTTATTTAAAGCAAAGACAAAACACATGTTCACACATTTCTAAATCTTACACTGTGGGATTTTATAAATTATAAACTTGCCACACAATAGGAAATCAGGGCCTGTTGTTATAGAGACCCCCAAGTCAACACCATTGACAAATAAGCATAACCATATTTATGTTGTACTTGTTTGTGTGTTATGTCTTTTACAGAGAAAGGTGAATTCAACAGGAAGGTGTGCGTCCATTGCAATGCAACTTTCCACAGTGGAGTTAGCTTGTCTAATCACCTCCGGGCATATGCAAAACGAAAAAGGACTGCCTTACTCGAGGGAACCAGTAAGTGTCATCAGCAACAGTTTAAGTTGAAGACAGAAAGAAAACACTCCAAGAGCACAGTGGCAGTCTGGGGAAGAACTTCTCCACAAACAGTGTTTTGATTAATTAATTGGCTTCAGCAAGTTAAATCACATTTATTTCTGAAGTAGCAAATCAAGACTTTGGCCTGCAGATGTGAAACTTCCTGCCACTTCCCCAGAGACCTGAGGTTCCACGCCTGATAGTGGCTTGGTTGTGCAGTTTTTGTGAAGTGGGAAAACCAGTTAAGGTTCTCATTCTTGTTGCTGCACCAGCGACTCATACTGGTTGATACTTCCTTACATTAAAATGTATTCTTCAAATTCCCAGACCGGGAAATGTGAAGACTGAAAACAAAATGCATTATATCGACTTTCATTAAAATACTCTGTTAAGTTTTAACAACACACAACATTTGTAGAGATATTGACACATTTTATTCGTATAGTACCTGTATTCATATAAAGTACATTATCTGTACTGGTGGCTCGTTTAATCGGAGTATCCGGCTCAATCGTATATATTACATGAACGTTTTGGCTTCCCTAATCTTCCCACCGAACCCTGCTCAAACTCTCAAACACTGTTTTTTTTAAAAAAGGAACAAATAAGTCAAATATTAACAGTGAAAAGCCAAATCTGATTCGACTGCATAATTCTTAGTCAGGTACAGCCCTAATATCCACTTTACTGATGATAAATTATCAAAATAATTATAGTATTTTGTGAAAGCACAAATAGTCAACCCTAAAATATTGTGGCAATTTCAAAATTGGGATTTTTGGTCAAAAGATCGGGATATTTGATTTTCTCCACATCACGCACCCCTATGATCAGGCATGCTGGAGGTAAATTATTCCTACCCAATTGTACCCAAGTAACCTGGGCACTGTGTCTGTTTTAGGATCAGAAATCTCACACTGACACCTCAAAACTTCAGCAGATAAATTCAGAACTGTCTGCGGGGCCAGATACCAGAAGAGTTTGTGACGTCTGAATCATAGTTATAATTAGTGTACCAGTGGTTATTTGTGTCCTCCCCAAGGTCCAAGGCTCCAGAAGGGCGTCAGCAATTGAGATATTGCAGAGATTTTAATCGTGGAGCTCGCTGGGTGTGTCCTTGCCTTCAGGACCTACTTTTCCTACAGGCACAGATCATCACACTTATATCTTGGGCCTCGTGTCTTGGCTACACTGGATTGGTCTGTGTAGATGAGATACAGACCATTATGCCAAAACCTTAGTATAAATAAAGCTAGGTGAAATAATGGCTGGGCATCCAAACTGACTGATTTACTGAACTAGCAGTTCAGTACAGTTGTTGGAATATCACTGAACAACACCCAAACTTTCCAGAGGTTATCATAGAGGACATATCCATTTTAAAGTGTTAAATCATTAAGGCTGTGCTGTAATCTTTAAAGTCGTGCTGTAAATTAACAAAGTCACTTTGTCTTTCAGCATTTGACTGTAAAGTAGGGAGGAGGCAACGCTCAAGGCCTGGCTCAAAGAAGAAGACACTGCCCTTACCCCAGACTCCAGAGGAAATGTACAGACTCACCTGCAGGTAATGCTTTTATGTCATTTATACTTACAGTTTTTTTAAATGGTGGATAACAATGCATCTGCAGTCCAACAGACTTCAACAGTCATTGTTACCTAGTTGCCCTGGGTAACCAGATTTGGACAACTGTCAAATGTTTGATGTGGTTCGTTTGCTTCTGTTGCCAACAGTTTTCTTTTATTTATAAAACAAAAACTGCCTTGATGACTGAGACGCGTTTCCATGGATGTGCTCCAAAAATGGTGAAACAAGTGAAAATGAGTGTGGAGTTACATGTCACAAACAAGTATTGAGATGATTTTGCATTGTAAAATAGCAGCTGAACCGACAGTAAGACCACTAAACCTAAACAAAGGGAGCAAAACAGCAGAGGCCATGAAAAAAAAAAACGGTTGCACAGACTGTTACAGCAAGTAGGCAATAAACACCAAAGTTTGCAATATAAACACAGTATGTGACTATTGTCATAATACAATATAATTTTTTTATTAAGTTTGCTTAAAAAAGAAGTTACATCTAAACCTAATCAATGTGTTTACTGTAATTCAGAATTCATTTGGCATCTTTCTTTCGACTCCTCCGTTTTGTAGTGCACCAACAGAAACAGCATGAAGTGAATCCAATTTATTGTCTCTATATTTGTGTTTTACTATTTTAACTGTTAAAAATCAGTTCCTTGTAAATGCTGTTAAACAGAAATCTGACAAAAGTCTACAGCCATGTTAGCAGCTCTGTGAGGCTTTACTTAGTGCAGTGGTGCTGTAAGCCAAATGCCAATGTGAGCATATTAACAAGCTCACAGTGTCGATGACAACATGCTGATTAGAGAGTAGACACCGGACCCGACAGATCAGACATGGTTCAGACAAATATTCCCAGTGATATTCGTGTTCAGGTGGGGTTCAACCTACTTGACATAGTCCTCCATGCTTCGCCTTCCAGTTAATATCGGCTTTCTCGCAATGACGCCCATCGGTTTTCTATGAAAATGACACGAGGAAGCACCGGAGTGTTTTCCTTTCATTAGCTGTGTTGGGCTGGGTCCAAAAAGAATGCCAGTTGGGTTCAGGTCGTGCTCAGTTAGCATCCTCTCGGGTCATGTTCAGACAGACACATGCAGCCCGAGCAGCCCTCTAATGCTAATGTTCAGCAGGTGTGTTCGTAAGCGTGCTAACAATTGCTAATTAGCACTTAAAGGAACAGTGTGTAGGATCTAGGGGGATTTAGTGGCATCTAGCGTGAGGATTGCAAATTGCAACCAGCTGAGGTTCTCCAAGCTAAAATTTCTTGTGTTTATCGTTCAGGAGGGTTTTACCGGGAGCCAAGTTGTCCGCAGACAACAAACAGCCTTGGTGATTTAAATCAGTAAAAAGACTGAATAAAGTAGTTTCATGTTCCAAATCAGCATTTCTCCAGCATGTTTGGCACATCGGAGACAGGCTGGTAGCTCAGCACCTGCTTATGTGTGCTCATTTATAAACATTGCGTACACACAAAATGAGGCCTAAAAGAGGTGTACGCCACCTCCCACGCAAAAGTTGTGATCTATAAAAACAGACTTGATGGGAGAAACTCTGACCCATGCTTACCAACATTTTGGAGATGGACAATTGGTGATGCAGATGGTGAGGTGGAAGTTTTTGGCTATACATACATTTTTAGTATGGGTCCAACACATTGCTGAATAAGTGCGACCCCAGGTGATCTAGTTCAAGGGGTGTTAACGTCGGCGCCACTGTTGCAAAGACAATCCTGTATCGCTTTTGGTTTTCCTCATAATCTAGCAATGGGGCTCTTCTTTTGTTGCGTAGAGTTTTTACAGGTACATTGGTTGCTCCACTGACCGCCATTTTCGCTGCTAGCGATAGCAACGGCAAAAATAAGCAAAGATAATTCCCTCCATAATCGTGAATCGTATCGCAATTGCTGCATCAGTCAAAATAATCACAGTGATTCTTTTTCCGAATCATCAGCCCTGTTTTATTTGCACAGTGGTTGACTCACTTCCTCTGTGCTGTAAATCGAGCCTTCGTTTTCCCGGGAGATTATCTGTCTCTTCTTCTTCACACAGGTTCTGTGACCTCGTCTTCCAGGGTCCTTTGTCGGTCCAGGAGGACTGGATTAAACATTTACAGAGACACATAATGAACACTAGTGTCCCTCACACTGGGCTAGGCATGGTAGAGGTCACCTCATTGCCCACGGACCCCCCGACCCTCAAGACTGACCAAGACAGCTCTCTGACAGCCACACATGCTGCCTCATGAAGCCAATGGGGACCTTTTTAGATTTCAGTAGACTCTATGTGTATGTACATTTGATGTTCTTTCACTTTTTCTTTTGTCAATTAAATACTGGCCAAAAGTACAATATAGTACCATGATGGGGATATTGTACACGTTTGGACATTTGGACAGATGGAAAAATGAATTATTTTGGATATTGTTACCTTTTTCTGTTTTTACATGGTCCATTTTTTGGAAATACAATTCCAGATGGACAGACTGTTTTCTTGTTTTATGCAGTAATGTAGTGTGGAATCCATTTCTAATGAAGACAACTTTTACCTCAGATTTCTCATGGTTTGAGTCCGTTTTGTCAAATTTGGGAGCACCTCTCTTCTGTATCGATATTCACATTTACAAGATGCATAGAATCATGTTTTTTTGTTTTGTTTTGTTTTTGTATTGCAACATGTTGAAATCCAAGCCCACAGTCTCTGTTTTCAGGCCACAGAGTAAGTGAGATGAAATTTCGACTGAAAATGGCAGCACCTGCAAGCTCACGGTAAGCAGTTCCAGGAATCATGAGTGGTAAAGTCAGTTAACTATACAAGAACAAAAGGAAAAAGTGTCTGCAAACTTGTTATGCATAGAAAGTGTTTTATAGTATTTCAGTAACTGCATTGTTTCTAATACAAATACAAAATTAAAACTGAAGGTGGTTGAGAAAAAAAAAAAGACCGAACAGGCCCAGCCAGTGCTGACAATGCCTTTCATACATGTCACCTATATTTAATGTTTAAATATACTGTTTTGAAATAATTTAATTTTAAATGTACTATATCACACAGATACAATGCTTAAAACATTTGTGTTGTTCTAAATAAAAAAAAAAAGAAAAAGAAACAAGTCGAGTTTTTCAATCTTTTTTTTAACAAATTATAAAAACATTGAATGCAGAAATCTACAAAATTACAAACTTGATATTTTTACGGTGACTGAATGGTGATGACCCGGGAGACCTGCAGCTAACATTAATATGGGAGAAATGTAAAATGACAAACCATGTGTGAACAGATAGAAGTAAATCCATACAGTGTGAACAAACCTTGATTCAAGATGCTTCTGTTTATTCAGACAAATCCTGAATGACACAAACAGTATGTTCTCTTGGCAATATCCTGTACATTAGTGTTGCCACAGCATTAACGTGTGGTTGTGATTGCGGCTTAAGTCCATAGTTCTTCATCTGCAGCAAACAGCGTCTCAGTGTAAACAGTATTTTTGGAGACTTTCAGTGACTTCATCATTCAAACGGGCTGCCACCCTGGAAGAAAACAACAGTTCTGAAACGTCTGATAGCTGCATCTGCAGAGCTCGATGTTGTCCAAGTGCAGTCCATTTTAATTACCAGTAGCCTTGGAGGGTACTATTAGTACCCTAGTGTGCTAAGTGCTACTAATTATATAGAGTGTACCACCACTGAAGACAAATGCATTACTTAAAGGGGCAGTTCAGCCCAAAATCTAAACTACACATTTTTCCTCTTACCTGTAGTGCTATTTATCAGTGTCAATTGTTTTGGTGTGAGTTGCCGAGTGTTGGAGATATCAGCAGTAGAGATGTCTGCCTTATCTCCAATATAATGGAACTAGATGGCACTTAGCTTGTGGTGCACAAAGTACCAAAAAATACATTTGAAAAACTCAACGGACCTTGTTGTGAACAGTTTCATGTAAGAACTATTTTCTTTCAACCGAACTACACCTGTTAACTGTATCACCACACAGAAGGAAGCGTGCATCAACTGCAAGCGGCATCCCCTGGGGCTAAAAAATGAGGCCGACATAAGTGCTAAAAACTGCAGTTCTTTGAATGGCCACGTGAGGCTGGCTCCAAAAGCGAGACAATCCTCATAGTCCCCCATGTTAAAATGCCCCAACTGTACAGCAGAAATAAACACGTTAACAGCCTGGTACAAAAACGGTTTTGCACTGCAGCTTGTCAACAGACAACCACATAAGGTCATGACAGCTGTACGGGGGGTGAATTTTTACACAACTCAATTGTTTATATTTTATTAAGGCTACATGTTACACATAATTGTTTGTAAACAAATGTTATAAATAAATGTTTGAGTGCCAGACTGTTGGCAAATAGTGTCCTTGGCTTCTCAGTCAGATCCACCCATCGCTCCTCCACAGCACAAGCCTCTCGCCCAAATATGGTCACTTCTGGCACCAAAAACCCAAGATGGCAACAGCCAAAATGACGAACTCAAGGCCTCAAAGCGGGAGTCCACAAACCAATAGGTGACATCATTATTTTTACAGTCTATGATCTACTGCTAGCTCACCTAGCACCACTAAAGCTGAAAACACACCAGTGCTGCCATGGAACAGTGCGTCATGTCGCGCATCAAGTGCCGCCCCTAGTACACACTGGATGCGTCGCGCTGCAGCTTGTCAACAGACGACCACATAAGGTTATTACTACTTTTACTGAAAGATTTGTACCTCTTCTACTTCTGCATTAGCATAAAAGAATAAAAGAATGTCTGGACAGCCCCTAATTAAACTTGATCTCTCACATGACGAGACAATCTCCAGAGCTATAACTCGGCAGGCAGTATCTTTTTGGCCATTGTCTTTATAATGTCAGGACTGTGGGTTGTTTTGCTTGGGATACTTCTCAACCTTAAAGGTAGGATCTGGAGGATTTTCAAACAAAACAAAATATAGACATGTACAAATGAAATCCTGCTTAATCATCACCTATGAGCTTCTACTCATGTGTGGTGGTGACTCTGTTTGCAGAGCTCCTGCCCTTTAACTGTATGATGTTTGATGTTTTTGTGAGCTCGGACTGCTTCTGGGCGGAGATTTCCCCAGCCAATGAGAGAGCACAGGTGCCGTGCCCGAGCGTGTCCGAGCGTGCACCAGCGCGAGCCTTGCCTGAACCTCTTCTGTGAAGCCTTTTTCCATACCCCCGGGCTCCGTACACCCGGGAGAGTTGAGCCTGATAGGAGGGGCCAAATTTGAATGTGTGTTTACAAACAGCAACTGGAAAATCCTCCAGACCCTACCGTTAACAACATGTCTCAATCCATTCTCCGTCACAAATGAAACACAGCAACATCTACAGAGCTCTATACAGCAGTGGTGAGGAGAGGAGTCAAGCTGCCAAAGGAGCAGTGGAAAAAGAGCTGCTACAGGAGCTGGTATGTACAAGCAGAGAGCGAGTGGCAGAAAAATGCATTTAATTCCGGCAGTAGAGAGGCTGAAAAAAGGATAGTGGCGTATAGCGCTGCGGGGTGGCGCCTCCAAGAGCGCTGATGCATGTCTAGCCACCACTGGTGTGGGGTTGTACATTGAAAATAAAAGGGGCATATTTTTTTCCATGCTGCTTTCGTCGCCGATGTGTTTTGGCCTTGCACTAGCTAACATTACAGCTCAGCCAATGGAGGACACCATTAATGTTAACATCTGGCAATGTCATGAGCTCGAGCCTCTCATTCCTTCTGCGTGGTGATGCAGTTGGCAGGTGTAGTTCGGAGGAAAGAAAATAGTTCCTACATGAAACTGCTCACAACAAGGGCTGTGGATTATCTTGACCAACCAAATCCTGATTTCTGTAAAGAGACATTACTGTTGAGTTTTTCAAATTAATTTTTTTGGCACTTGGAGCACAAGTTCCATTACATTGGAGAGAAAGCAGACATCTCTACGGCCAACATCTCCACTCTGCAACTCACGATAAATCAATCTAGATTATTAAATAACACCACAGAGAGGGGGAATAAATATGTATTTTTGATTTTGGGATGAAATGTCCCTTTAAGACAGGCACACAAATGCCAGATGTTTCCTTCCATTACCCCCACAGATTTCTGCTGAGAAAAATAACTGTGGGAACTAGCCTTCATCCTTTTATAGCCATTTATTTGATACTTGTATAATTTCCCACTACTTTTATATCGCACTTCTGTACATATTTGACTTGGGTTGTACAAAAAAAGAAGAATTAAGTATCTGATCTTTTAATGCTGCATGTGACTGGCCACAGGCTCCAAACCCTTTCTCCCCCATTTGGAATAACTTTTCATTTGCATTGGTAAATACAGCCAATCAATAACCAGTTTACTTGGTTTCTTTTAGTTGTTTGTACTGAATTGCAAATAACTGACTTTGTTCCTTTGCCAACATAAAACCAAACTAAGATCTGAAATGACATTATACACATTAGCTGATGACTGTTAGAGATAGCATGTTGTGTTACTTGGCCAAACCTTAAAATATGCCCATGTTTCCTGACTCCAAAACACAATAAAATTGAACTGTGTCCAAGCAGTCCCTAGTTCAAGTGCCATGTAAAAAATGGAATTAAAGCGATAATGCTATTAACTTCAGGGAATTAATTACGTCATTCATGATATATTATATAAGAGAATGAACTGCTAAATTGAGGGAACCAATAAGTACACTGAGTGTGCAAATTTATAATTTACAGGAATATTTTTTTGACAGAAGTTCCTCCCTGTATTTTCTATGCTCTGTTCTCTTGATGTGTTTGAAAACATCTGAAATGTTCACTATTGCAAAATACCTTCAGGAAGTGTTCAAACTGAGGTTTCAGCATCTTCATCATGGTGTCTGCTTTGTCGAGGCAAGAGTGTCTCTGCCGCACCTGAAACTCCTTCAGGAAATCACACATTCGTCAGCAGTTGTGAATCATCTCTTCCAGGGTAAATGTTGAATTTACAAAAAATGAAAACAGAGATTTGAAACTTCAATAAATGGATTGTTGCGCTATTTTACAGCAGTGTTACCTTTGTGTTGGAGAGGTGCTCCTGAGAGGTAATGTGAGTCTGCACCGATGATGCAGATGTGGGTACGAAGACACTGCAAGCCGCACAGTGGAACATTTCGATCTTTGTCATGTGGTCATTTTCCTGCAGAGCTGGAAAAAACAAAGATCAGACTGCATTTAGGCTTTGTCTGAAAATAGAAGATACTGATAATAAGACAGCGCATGTCTTTCTTGGTTTTTGACAAAGGGTGCATCCCAAGTCTGGTATTTGATATCTCCTCACTCAGACTAGAGGTTGCTCTGGTGTGCCATCCTGAAGGCCATCTTAAAGGTCTTATTTCCTCTCTGAGGAGTGATGAGCGAGTGCACATGAGAGCAGCTTTTGCGGAAGTCTTTTACTGGCTGATGTGCCTCCCTGTTTGATGTCAGTTATTGATCGGATGCTGCGGCTGATGGTATTGATTTGATACCTCACAACACCTCTGGAGTTTCATACCAGAGTGAAGACAGATTGATCTCAACTGTATCACTCCCAAGTTTTATATTTTGTTTTCTGATTCATCATCCAGTTGAAAACCTTAACAAAAACAACTTTACTTATCAGGGAGATTTTCCCTTTTATGACTTTATTTTCCCCATTAACTTTAATTATGGGTACAATTAAAGTCAGAGAGTCTGTCTGTCAGCAAGAAACACTTTTTACATCATTAATCATCATTTCCATTCAGTCACACGTGAGGCTTTTAATGCCTGAGCATCTGGTTTGATGAGTTACATAATTTCACTTTTCCCTGAAACATTTAGCCTGAAAAATAATTTCCAGTGTTATAAGTATATACATAAGTATATTCTGGGTTACTAAATAAAGAATTCACAAACAGAATATTAATAAATTTGGATAATTAATACATAATATAAACGTATTTTGCCTGTAGGAATGGTTCCTGTGCCTCTGACCAGGTGTTGGTTTAACAGGTAACAAGCTACAGAGAGCACACTGCTGCCCTGACCCTGATAACTGTCTCCCCATTAGTGTTGGCACAGTGCACATGTGCAGACACAGACTCCATCAAAGGTTTCTACGGCTGTTAAAGCCGCCTGACAGCTGATCCAGCTATGATCAGTTGCTGCTGCCATCATCAAAATCAGATGTAGCCTTAAGTGATGGGTCAGAGGAAAGGATGTTTCATTTCTCTAAAAACGTATTTCCTTGTTTCCTCTCTCCTTGCATGTTTTCCTTGAGTCTCTCCATGCATCCCCAGTAGGGGTGGGAAAGCTGCGAGCCTCACGTAGGTTTGCATCACCAAAGGTTTATGACAAAATCACTTGACGACACTGACTCCCGTGTGTGCACGGTGAGAGAGGAGAGGGAGAGATGCTGTGCTGCTGCCAGAGGAGCCGCTGACTGAGTTTCCTCTGAGCGGTAAGTCGCTAAAAGAGTCTGAGAAGTCCAGGGCTGCTCATAAAACATTCAGGACGCCACAGTTTATTCCACACTACTGAAGCTGCTGCTCTTTTTGGAACCACCGCTGAGTCTGTAATAACTTCGCTTTCAGCCATGCTTGTTGTTGCTGTGGACAACACTGTGACGTCAATATGTCAACAAGTTGAAATATCGCCAGTATCACGATATGAATTTTTCAGATCATATTAAAAAGCAATACCACTAAGGAGACTTGGGGTGCACCCAAAGTTATTTACCTTTAAGTGCACTGTCCTCTATAGCTCGGCTGCACTGATGGCTTTTATACAGCATGACTTCCTAAAGACATAAAAAACAAACTTGTTTTGACATTTTACGTGAAATTTAGGCTTAAAACCAGAAACTGGTGGAAAGAAGTAGAACACTGCTGCACAAACTGAGAATTCAACCCAGAAATGTTCAGCAGAATGTACAGTATTTAACCATACTATGTATTATCTGACCTGTAGGAAGGCTATAGTCAGATCATCATAATCGTTGTGCTGCTGGATGTACTCCAGCGTGTCCCAGTGAATCTTGCTCTCCAGGTGATCCTCCAGCTCCCGACCGTTGGCTAACTCTACGTCACAAAGGTCACAGGCGATTGGGCTCCTAAAAGAAAAATATTAAGACATTCATTTTTAAACGAAAACTTAAAACCTTTTTGATTTGGAATGGCTTAGACCAGTGGTTCCAAACTGGTCCAGCCACAGGGTCCAGATTTCTCCATAGTCCTTAGTTCAAGGTCCACACAGTTTAATATATTCAGCGTCATACTTGTGTTTGGCTGTGTCTCAAGCTAGTTTGCTGTCTCTGTCAAGTAGCTATCTGTTAGTCACTCACTCTACAGCAGGAAACAGAACTTCAAAAGAAAAAACCTGTGCTGAAAATTCACTTTATTTCAAAATAAAGTGCGTTTTTTACAAACCTGACATGTTGGAGAGTCACTGGCAGTCCATTCAGAATGGACCTGCGACCCACTTTTGGACTGCGACCCACCAGTTGGGAAGCACTGGCTTAGAGTCATTATTTGCATTATTTTATTCACTTATTTTATTGTATTTATATTTTGAAATGTTATTCTATTTTATTTTATCTGTTATTTTGTTCTATATTTTTATCCTTTTTTTCTATTTCATTTGTTTGTTTTGTCCTTACAATCTATTTTATCTGGTTTTTAGTCTAGCTTTGAACTTTTTTATTATCTTATTATTGTTTTTAAATCTATTATTGTATTTTATTGTCATAATTTTTATTCTTGTTATATCTCATTCTTTAATCTAGCCCTGTATGGAGTTTGCGTGTTCTCCTCGTGTCAGCGTGGGTTTTCTCAGGGTACTCCAGCTTCCTCCCACGGTCCAAAGACATGCAGGTTAACTGGTGACTCTAAATTGTCCGTAGGTGTGAATGTGAGTGTGAATGGTTGTCTGTCTCTATGTGTCAGCCCTGTGATAGACTGGTGACCTGTCCAGGGTGAACCCCGCCTCTCACCCAGTGTCCATATTAGGTTATAAATCTTTATTCAAAACAAACCCCCATTGAGCCAACAAGACTCAATCAGTCGTCCATCAGTTCAGCAGAGCTTTGACATCATAATAAGTGCTGCTTTGTTGGAGTGTTAGTTGAAGCTTAAGTGGCTAACATCTGTAGGATCTAAACAAGGAGTTGGCAAAGTTTTAAAGCAGTTGGTACAACATGTTATCAGTATCAACGCTCACTCTGTTCTCTCCGTCTCACCTTGTTCCTTCACCTCATGTTTACACTGCATCACAATGTGTTTATAGCTGCAGTGGCATGCCCACATTTTTTACTGACATATTTTAGTTACAAAAAGACTGAGCTGTCAAGCACATTCGTGCAAGACAAGTGGAGTTTATTTAATTTGGCCAATTAGATTAACATATTAGCTGATGACAGCTAATAAGAGAGTTAGTGTGCTACAGATCAATTAATTTCCCTTCATTTCCTCAATCAGCTAACATTAGCACTGTTTATTGCCAGCAAAACGACACTTAATTTCCCAGATGATCCACTTTGTCTGAAGCAATCTGTCAACAGTGTCCACACACATTACACAAGAGAACCATGAAAGAACTAGTGTTAGGTTACTGAGTGCCACTTGAAAAAATACTAAATATAATTTTGTTTGCCTACAAAAAGTATGTGGTGGTCACAAAAAATGAATTTCAGTATGCAAAATGTTTGGGTTGAACATTACAGACAGATATCAAACAACTTCCAACAAACTTATTTTAACAAATAAACACAAATTATTAAAAGCATTCATGATTTTTGTTAATTTAATATATTATTACTTTGTTGTTGAAATGGCATTACAGTTGGTGATGAGCACATTATGACTTGTACAGGATATGAAACTCGAACTTTAGGACTTGACTCAGGACTTCCCTGTCCTGACCACAGACTGTAAAATAATAGACGTAGCTACTGTGACGTCACTCATTGGTTTTTTAAGCTCTCATTTTGAAATTTCGAGTTTGGGATTACGTTTGTCGCCATCTTGGGTTTTTTTGGAGCCATAAGTGACCATATTTGGGTGTGAGGATGGCACTGTGCAGGAGCGAGGGATGGATCTGACTGAGGAGCCAAGGACACTATCAGCAGACAGCCTGTCACTCAAAGCAGCCCGCCCTTAAGTATGTGTAACTTTACGCCTTAATAAAATGTAAACCAGTGAATTATATAAAAATGCCAGAGTCATAGCTCTGGAGACAAAATGAAAATGTTAACATGTGTATTGCTATGGCCAGTGAGTCTAATATGAAAACTCTACATCTAACATCTTCAACCAATTGGGCATCAATATCCTTGGTTCTTACTTGTTCATTATTATATTCATGCTCCTGTTTCTTGGCCCCTCTGTGGACGGTGTGATTTGGTCCAGTCCTGTAGAACAACATTTTACACAGAATTATTATTGTTATTAAGTTAACAGAGGAAACACATGTACACATGGAAAAAACTCTCCGCTTCACTCATTCAAAAGCGATTACTGGGTTACCAAAATATACTTTAAATTTGTTATCTCCTACATTTATTTCTCCTATACTTAAAAAAAGTAGTGTGTAGGATTTAGTGGCATCTAGTGGTGAGGTTGCAGACTGCAACCAACTGAAACTTCTCTTGTGTGCCAAGCAAGGCGGCCGGCACGAAAAACGCATATGGACCTTTTAGAGCCAGTGATTGGTTTGTCCGCTCTGGGTTACTGTAGAAACAACATGCAGGACTCAGTGGAAGAGGATCCGCTCTGTATGTAAATATAAACGGCTCATTCTGAGGTAACAAAAACACGAGGAATCTTAGTTTCAGGCACTACTAAAAAACATTTACGTTAAGAAAATTATATTTAATTTCTACCAATATTCCCCATTAAATCCTACACACTGAACCTTTCATTTGAAATGGTGGGACATTACAGTAATTTACCTGTTCCCACGTATTCCAATGGACGCTGATAGTCCCGCCTGGGTGGGGATAATCTAACAGTAGTGGCCATCTACAGAGGAGAGAATGGGCTCTAATTGGTGCCAAGTATCACAGTGTCATCACTGCAAATTAATAAATAAGTACGACAAATATATCCTGTATTCTGTTTAAGTCTTCAACTCAAGACTGTATATAACCACAGAATAAAAACTGTATAAATATTTACATTTATAAATCAAACTTTCAGTCGTACCTCTCTCCAGTATTCAGGGATTATCCTCTCCTCTCCGTTGGTCCTCTGTCCTCCATAAGATGCAGGAAACCGTTGGGTGGAGGAGCCAGGAATATGCCTGTCAGGGCTACAGTCCCTGTGTTTGAGAACTGGTATGTCAAGTGATTCATTGTTGGGGCTATAAGCACGTTGTTCAGGCAGTCTATGACCTGGACTGAGACTCCGCCTCTCGGTGTGTCTGGATTCAGGGCTAAAGTCACGTCTGCCGAGGGGTTTGCTCACTGACTCAGAGTAGTTTGTGCCCCAGCAGCGTTTTTTACTGGAGCCTCTACCTGGAGACAAACGTTCACGTTCCAGGCTGTTATCATGATCAGGTGGGGATTGACTATGGTTTTGTGACTGTAGCGTCTCTTCGTCAGAGTCTGTCGAGACAGGGTCGTAAGGATCATAAATCTCAGGCCTGAGGGAGATGGAAGAGAGATTAGTGCTTACTATTATACAGATCATCTGTAGGAACACAATACCATCAAAGGGAGAGTTCGGATTTTTAAAGTGGGGTTGTATGAGGTACTTTATAGTCAGTAAGTAAGCAGTGTACTGCTGTGGACGGGGTCAGCAGCAAAACCTATTTAATTGACCAATCGAGGCAGTGGTAGATCAGTAGCTCCTGTGTTCTGCAACATAAAATTACTGATTTTGGTCAGTGAGTTTGGTGGCTTTGACGAGAGCATAGATAAGTTTCAGTTTCATCTCCGTTCCCTGTCAGAAAGGGCTGTCTAACGGCAAGGTAAAGCGGTGAAAAAATCCAAAAATTAGCAAGAATTTAAAGTCATATTGATTTTTTTTAGGTGGCTGCAATGTTTTGTTGCTGCCTCTGTCCACAGCAGTACATGGCTTAGCTTCTGTGTCAGTACACCTGCCTGCTTCTCCAAACTGGGGGTGCCATCTACAGTATGTCATCAACTATGGATACCTCATACGACCCCACTTCAAAAGATCCGAACTGTCCCCTTAAGCACTGAATGCTCACGCATACGATAAATGTGCCAAGAAACTACATGAACTGTGGGGAAAAAGGAAAAACAAAAATTCTGGACTGAGTTAAAACTACTAAGAGGCTGTGCACATTTAGTGACATTTGTTTAAGCACTCAGTGAAGCACTGCATCTCCTGCCACCTGCACTTTTACCTCAAGGGGCCACCTGGAATAATATATAACGAGGTCACCTTCAGACAGCCCATATTTCAACACTTCAAGTCACCACATGACAAAGTTAACGGCTCAAATGTGGGATGTCATTGGAGTGTGACTGTAAGACATCTCACTTTCTACTTGATACTTTGTCGATATACTGTACACATCACTGACTGGCTTACCTTTCTGAACTGCCAGGGCTCATTTCCAGAGAGTCATCTTGGTCTCCTAATGGTTTGAATGAAGACTTCCATTTACTAGCAGGGGATTTCCCTGTGTAATACAAAAGGTAAATAACATTAAGACAACTTATTTAAACAGACTGGACGGATTCAGACATGAAATGTATACCTACGCTAACAGTGAACTGAAGCAAGGTGTGTTTGGTTCATTTCTGTTGACTTTTTTCACTTTCACAACTCAGAGAAAGCTTAAGACAGAGATTGCTTTTCACTGAAATCTGTATAGAATCAATACTGATCCCCATACTTTTGAAACTTGCGCCAGTTATAAGAAATCCATCAAAGTGACATCTGCATTAATGTTGGCCAATGTTACATTCAGGGTGCCTACAGGTATTAGACACTTAAACTGAATGCTTTTAAAGAGCCGTAACACCTTGGGTTTGGTTGCTACCTGTGGCTCTTTGCTGCATATCATCCCCTCTCTCTTTCCCTTTCATGCTCATCCTGTCAGGTATTTCATAAAGGCAAAAAAGCCATAAAAATAATCTTTACAAAAATGTAAGACAGATATTTGGACATATAATCTTTTTCTTATTCACTCCTTGCAAGTATAAAGGTAATTAGTATACATGTCTTCCCTAGCAGAGGTAAGGTTTATGTAGGAATATGGTTCTTAGAGTGAGTTAGATCAATCTAAATTTTGCCAGAAGTTAAGTACAAGTATACAGTAAAAAGACAGTAGGTTCAGTGGCAGGATTAAATATTTGTTTATTTCTCTTTTGAGAAGAGATCTAAACTATTGATTTGGAGCCCACAGTGTGCAGACTTACTTTGTGCTCTGCAGTGAGGTTTTTTTTCCGTCTTGTACATGAGTATTTTTGCTTGAATGAACGCACACTTGGTCCCTCATCTGAGGTGTTTAGATTTTTAACATGAGAAATGTTAGAGCTCAACTCATTTTGGCAAAAAGAAATTAAAAGACGGATAAATTAAATTGGATAAAACGTTTGTCGCAACTAAGACCTCACACGTTCAAATTTAAGAATGACTTTTAAAGCCTGATATTTATAAAATTGAATTTAAGAGGAGTCAGTTGAGGTGGTTTGTGCCCATTAGAGGTGTTCCGGGTACGTCCCACTGGTAGGAAGCCCAGGGGCAGACCCAGAACACGCTGGAGGGATTACGTATCTTGTCTAGCCTGGGAACACCTTGGGGTCCCCCAAGAGGAGCTGGAAAGCGTTGCTGGGGAGAGGGACGTCTGGGGTTCTTTGCTTGGCCCGCTGCCCCCGAGACCCGGCCCCGGATAAGCAAATGAAAATGGATGGAATTTAAGACATCTGTCGACTTTTTAAAGCGTTTTAGTGCAGACTGAATTTTTTCACGGATTATCTTTCAACAATGATGTCACTTGACAAAAGATAATACGGGCTGAGGCAATGCAGGGGCCGTGGGGTTAAGGTGCGACGGTTTATAGTAGTTATTGTTTAATAAAGGCATAAAATGCCCCACAAAATATAAAAACGATGTTTACTGTAATGAGTTATTGTTTGTAAAAGGATGTTCCCATCATACAGTAATCAAATCATGGAAGGATGCACAGCCCATCAGTATCAGCAGATAGAGACTTTAAAATAGATTATCAGTATCAACCTGATTGAACATTTCTGCTAATAAGATGATGCTTACATTATCCATCCATCCATTTTCTAACCACTTATCCTCTTGAGGGTCGTGGGGAGCTGGAGCCTATCCCAGCTGACATTGGGCGAGAGGCAGGGTACACCCTGGACAGGTCGCCAGACTATCACAGGACTAACACACAACCATTCACACTCACATTCACACCTACGGACAATTTAGAGTCACCAATTAACCTGCATGTCTTTGGACTGTGGGAGGATGCTGGAGTACCCGGAGAAAACCCACGCTGACATGAGGAGAACATGCAAACTCTGCACAGAAGGGCTCCGACACCCGGGATCGAACCAGGAGCCCTCTTGCTGAGTTGACAGTGCTAACCACCACACCACCGTGCCGCCGCTTACATTATGCAACTTTAATTAGTTAAAATAGGTCACATTTGTCCTGGTTATGGCTGTTGTCAGGACTGTATCAGGGAGAGCATCATCTCAGATGGTTAAAGTAGGATGCATATTACAATTTTGTTTGAAAATGTTAAATAGAAAATAAACATGGCATGTTTTACATGAACATAAGTTGTAGCAGTTTTCTTATTTTGCCCAGTGAATGTGTACATTGTGTTGTGGGGACACACATACATGAGTGACATGAAGCCATTGTTTATATTACAGAAAAAAGCAGTAAGAATTATTCATATAGTAGATCCAAGAGAACACACCAACAGACTGTTGATCAAGTCAGGACACCTGTAACTTAGAGACTTAGTTGAGTTGTGGACACTTATAATCATATATGAAGCAAAATGCAGAGTGTTACCTTTTTACAAAAGTTGTTTTTTTTTATTTCAGAGGACGACGAGCATCAAAGAAAATTTCACTTTAAGCACCAGTTTGCACGGACTACATTAAAACAGATATGTACTTCAGTGGTGGGCGGTAAACTGTGGAATTCTCTACAGGGTTGTCTAAATATTTTTCAGTTTTCAGTTCTCTGTTTATTTATTTATTTTTCTGAAGTTACTGTAAGTACTGGTTATTAACTGTCACTGACAGGCCATCTATTCATTCTGATCATTTGTATTTTGAGAGAGGGACTGGTGAAATAAGACTGTTTTCTTCTCTCTGCTTCTTTTCAGGCATGGAATATTTATTTGATAGGGACGATGCAATTTAACATAGTACCAATACAGAGCATGGGACCATGTGTTGCATAGAGAGTTTATATTGCTAATTTTCAATTTTTGTCCCTAGTTGGGCTTTTAGACCTAAAATGTTTTTAATATATATACAGTGTGCATCCCTAAAATCAGGGAAGTAGACATGCATGACTTACTAAGTGATCAGTTGTGATGTTAAATCCAAGTAATTTGGAGTAAAGCTCAGACTTGCAAAACCTTTGCTGTGGTCTTTCATGGTGTTCATGCAGTGTGCCTCTATTTATGTGCGCTTTAATGTCCACAAGATTTACCTGCAGGTTTCTGTTTTTTGTGTGTCGGAGCTGCCAAGTCAGGTGTCCTGATGTTTGACTTGTTAGCTGCTAGCTTCATTGGAATATGTATCATAGCCTCTCTGAAGTCATGGGGTATCCTGTTCATCCCAGAAAACAGAGGGGGGGGGGGGGGGGGGGATATAACAGTGCAATAATATTAACTGAGTCAATGCAATAAAAATAGCAAGTGAACATGAATGTAGCAGGCTAAAGGCAATGTGGGCTTTTATCAATGCTAACATCAACAAATCAGGCAAACAAACTTAGCTAGCTTAGCTGTTAGCTTTAGCTACATAGCTACAGTTGGCTGCTAATAATGTTTGGGGTAGCGACAGTCTAACGACATGCACCCTCAGTATCCAGTCGACAAAAACACACTGTTATAATCTAATCCAACGGGCACTTTACTCGACGCTGTTAATCTGAAACTTTCTCAAACAGGTTAACGTTCAACACTTTAGCTAACGTTTCGTGTTTTTCAGACTGAGGCACTGGGCTAATTTACCTTCCAGGAGGCTGTTGTTGTTGTTGTTGTTGTTTGTACACTGGAGCAGCTGCTCTGGGTTTAATGAAAGGTGGGTTGAACGAAGGACGCATCATTTTGTTGGTTAATAACGGTTTACAGTATCAGCTAGCATGTGAGACAAGTGATGCTAGTTCATCTTCTTCTTCTGTAGGGTGTCATGGCGGTTTGCATCGCATTTCTGCCACCTACTGGATTGTAACAGTATCGCATCGCAAACTATTTATTGCAGGGGCGTCAAACTCATTTTAGTTTATGGGCCACATACAGGTGAAAACATTGCATAATTCAGTTCAGTCCACTTCAGTTCATTTTATTGTCATTGGAAATAAATACAACGAAATTTAATGCACAGAACAAAACCTAACTCATTATAAGAGTAATAAATCCACAGGGTGGCAACCCCATGTTACTCATTTGGGCTGAGCCCGACCAGGCCCCATGGTCCAAGGCCTGGCCACCAGACGCTCGCCGGCGAGCTCCCCCGCATGTCTGGCTCCAGAGGGTGGCCCCGGTGTCCCCATACCGGGCAAGGTACTCATTCCCTGAAGTTGCTGTGTCATCGAGGTCATTTGAGCCGCTGCTCCTTCTCGTCGAAAGGGTCAGTTGAGGTGGTTCGGGCATCTGATCAGAATGCCTCCTGCTGGTGGTGTTTCAGGCACGTCCCACTGGTAAGAGGCCCAGACCCAGAACACGCTGGAGGGATTACATATCTCATCTGGCCTGGGAAGGCCCTGTGGTCCCCCAGGAGGAGCTGAAAAGCGTTGCTGGGGAGAGGGACATCTGAGGTGCTTTGCTTGGCCTGCTGCCCCCGTGACCTGGCCCCAGGTAAGTGGATGAAAATGGATGGATGGATAAGATATCACTCATTCATACACTAAACACACACACACATGCACGGACACGTAATGCACACACAAGCAGTGCCAACATATGCTGTTTGCATGCTGTGTGATTGCAGTGCAGTGTTCAGTGTAGTAATGGCTTAGGGGTAAAAACTGTTCAACAGTCAGCTGGTGCGTGTTTTAATTATCCGATTACGTTTCCCTGAGGGCAGTAGGTCAAATAGATGATGGGCAGAGTGAGATGAGTCCTTCAGCATGTTTGTTGTTTTCTGGAGGCAGCGGGAGGTGAAAATGTCTTCCAGGGCAGGTAGGTGAGTGTTTGATTTTTTCTGTGCAGCTTTTATCACTCTCGACAGGGCCTTCTTGTCAGCTGCAGAACTGCTGATGTACCGCACCAGGAGGCCATGAGCCAGGACACTTTCCACAGAGTAGTGATGGAAGGACAGCAGCAGAGGTTGTGACAGGCTGGTCTTCCTGAAAGCTCTCAGAAAGTGTAATTGGCGCTGTGGCTTCCTGATCACACAGTTCATGTTGTGTGCCCATGTGAGGTCCTCTGACATATGTGTGCCCAGGAACTTTGCAAACTAAACCATTTTGCACCTATAAGAAACCATAGGGGCCTAAGAGCGCTTACACTATGTTCTTAATACAAAGTTCAGTCTTTTAAGTAATCTACAAGTCTAATTTTATTTGTCATGGCAATGATTACTTAGAAATGAAAAAAATGCAATCAAAAACAAACTTTAATTTCAGGCTTTTCAAGGCCCCCGCTCTCTGCTCTGCTTAATCAGTCCCACTTTTCCCTCCACTACGACGCCCTTGCCGTCCATGAAAATATTCTGATCAGCTCCATTTCTTCTCTGCTCCGGTTCCTCTTGTACTGCCACCATTTTGTCGTGTCTAGCCATTCTCTTAGTGGCAATTCCTTTTCTGCTGTGATCATACTGACTTTCACTTCTGAACTTCTCTGTGGTTACTGTGCTGACTCTGCACTGATGCTAGTTCATCTACAACCACAGACTGTATACAGCACTCAACCTGTGGCCTGCCGACCATTTTCTAACACCAGTTTTGAGGCATTCAAGCTCCAGTAAAATTTCTGCGATGATGGAGGGTAATGAGGGACAAGAGCGCTGTTATTTACAGTGTTCAGGTGATTTGCTAAACACAGTGTAGATTTGTGATATGCCAGTTCTTTTGGCATATCTGGCACTCAACTTTTTGGGGGTCATCTTTGCAATTTTTGAAAATATACACTTGACTTTTCGACATCTTGCTATATCGTCTCTGTAAGCCAGTCACAGGTGGTCAAACTGTCCCAGTGTCAGTGGCACTGGACTGCTGGGAACTGACGTTAGATGACAATGAGTTGGAGTCACAAAACTAGGCCTATCACTAAGTTTAAATGTTTGAGAATAACTAATAATAATTAAAGTAAAGAAAAAAAGTGCATTCGAGTACTGATTTGGACATTGATTACCATTAAAGCATTAAAGCATTCAGGTCAGCCCTCATGTCAGGGGAGGATCTGGGGTCCAGGCTAAGCCCTAAATGTACTCAGATCCTAGAAATGCCCCTGTATTCACCCGGCCTGTGCAGAGCTGCTTTAAATTACCCTGTTTATTCATTTTATCTGATATGTCACTAATGTTTGTTCACTGACTGGCCCCTGGCCTCCTGTCATTTTGCAAAGGTGGCCCCGGGCAAAGCAAGTTGAATGTCCCTGGTGTACAGTCTATGCCAACATCCGGCTGGTTAGCAGATACTTAAATGTACCGATAGATGGCAGCACACTGCGTCACATGGTGGACCTGCTCCTGTACTCTTTAACCAAGAGTGTCAGATGCATCACTAAATGGATTTGTTCATGGTCTTTATGTTTTTATGGTTAGTAATAAAAGTGTCAGAGAAAAATGAAAAAGATACAGACTAAGGTCAGATTAACATGCCACCATACTTCCCTTTCTCTGTGCGTTATGGGCTGATTAAGTGCAGTTTTTCCACACTGGACATGAACCATATATGGAAGCGTAATGCACTGACTTGATTTTTTTTTTTTTTTATTAATTAATGAGATTATTATCTGGTTGATTTAGAAAAACAAGAGCAGATTTTTTTTGTCTGAAAACTATTCTCATAACCCCCAAGATCATAAAATAATAATGTTTTTATTTCAGAAGGAAGATTCCTTTCCTATGAAAATTTTAACTTGGAGAAAAAAGAACAGATGTTTTAAATGAATTTCCTTTAAATTCTGAGAAAATAATGTTATTAATTTATAGAAACAAGAGCAGATTTTTTTTAATGAAACCTTTTTCTAATTCTGAGATAAATAATGTTTTTACCTTAGAGATAGGCTATTAATCATGTTGATTCAGGAAAACAGAGCATTTTTTTCTCAAGTGAATGCATCACACTTCTGTAACTATACATGTAAGCACAAATGTAAAAATAAGTAAAAGAATAAAAAAAAATTGAAGAAAAAGTTCTTGAAACTACATTTTTGACACAGGGTCCCTCTCTGAGACAGATTTTTAGGTAATAAAACGTGATGACCCTGAGTGATCTGCATTCCTACAAACAAATTTTTAATCACAACTCGTTGACAGATGTAAGTCTGAGGCTTTCCAGGTTCCTGAAGGACTCAAATGCCCCAGATTCTGCATGTTTCTGTTTGTTTGTTAATGTTATTGAATGCAAATATTTTGAAATATGTACCACTCAAGTACATTATTAAATTATATGATCAGGGCCTTGAGGTTGTTCTGCATTATTACCTGCCTTGTCTGCCTATGTGCATCCTGTTTATCCCTAAATAGATGTGTGGTTAACTAAATAATCACAAACAGAAGGTCTGTAGGAGCTCGCAGCTTTTTTTCAACCCCCTCCCAGTGGATTAATCTGGCCGTGAACAACATAAAAGTTGCATTAATTCTGGTTTTGCTGACTCTGGCACAACGTTGGATGCCATTGCAAGTGATGTAGGTCTCATTTATGCTCAGTTATACAGTAGTAGTATTTATAGTGACTCCATGATGAAGAAGACACCTTTATGATACAATTTGTGAAAGAAAAACTTCTAAAAGTATAATTTAATACAGAGAATAATCTGCAGAGAAGAGCAGTGTTTGCTCAGATGTGATTAAATCTAAACAAAGTGAATGAGTGTAACAGAATGAGCAGCAGTTATGTGCTGACGCAGGATAGGATATCTCAAGGACAGGTACATCATGAGGTAAAGTCTCAGATAAGTGCCCTTATTCAGAGCATTACTGCAAGGCCGTCCATTAAACCGCTGAACAGAAGGCTACATACATGCACAACATGCATGACCTCTGTGACCTCCATAACATGGACACAGAAACAGTGAACCTATTGTTTCCCCTTGGACTCATTCACTCACACAGCGTTACTGGTTTGCAGAGGACCATTAGGTTCCCAATAAAAGACAACACATGTACTGGAGAACTGGATGGGATTATAGAATTATGGCAGACACATGTTCTGTCGGATCATATGGATGGATGAACACGAGACATCTTCATCAAATTAATAGCAGACACCAGGTGAGAGAGATTATGGATTATGTGGGTTAAACCTCATAAACCAGAGGACATGTCAAGACTACAGCTTCTATACCATAACTGATCCGTAAACACATCATGTGGACTGATTTGCCCGAGTTTCTACAACTTTAAAATAGTTAATTGTGGGATCATCCTAATAAGTGTGAATCACAGAGGTCAGTGTGGCTTAGTCTACAATCTGGCTGCGTTTCATCAGTCATTCAACACGCCCTCTTTAACTTCCCCATCGTTCCATTTGTCTAACACTGAAGTGAACTTGGTGAGATTGGCCATCGGAGGGCCGAGAAAGTGGGTCAACAACGCTGGTCACTCCAGAAGTCTATATCACCCACAGTGCATTGCAATTATGCATTTGATGCAAGCAAAAAAAAAAAAAAATCCATAGTTGGGTGGCAGTGATGTACGTAACACTCCAGTTGTTTACCATTGAAGGAGAAGACAAATAAATTGGGAAACAAATTTATTAACCTTTAAATATATTTTAAAAATCCAATTTGACTTGCTTTTTAGTTCCAGTTTGTGTAATATACTGTACCTTAGATTTCTGTTTAGGGAGGCTTACATGTGTATAGGTCCACTAGCTAGCAGATAACTTCTTAATAAAATCTCATTGCTCGCTTGATATTTAACTGAAAAATGTCTTATAACTAACTGCAGTTAATATTTACTTAGATTGTTGTACGGTGCAGCTTTTATGATTTCTTTGTACCCAATATTATTTATAAATGCATGGAAAAATTGCTGTTTTGCAAGATATTATGCACCTACATGTATACCAATAATAGTTATGATAATCGTGATGCAGATCACAAACAGAAACTTCTAAATCAGATACAGATGCAGCTAGTTACCAAGTGCCTGCTGATATGTTGTAATTATCCCCAGAAGACGCCTCCACCTCATTGAAATGGGCCTGCAGGTATGACTGATGATTCTAAAGGTCATTATAGGGCAAAGCCAAACTATGGAACCCCTTAGGGGACATGCACAAAAGCCTTTATTTTGTAAACAGGAAACTAAGGAACTCGCTAGATGTTTTTCATTATGCTAACTCGTCTCCTCACTTCCCTCATTTGCATCTCTTCCTCCCAGCAAGGATGTGAGAAAGAGATGCTAGGAAAGGATGCACCTGTTTCCTTACTCTACGCTCCTTCATGCATGTAAGGGATTAGAAAATCCTCTATGATGGCAGAGGGGGAACGATTTCCAGGTCACGGGAGAATAAAGAAAGCACTGTCATCCCCCCTCCCCCCAAACAATGTGTGGGCACCAAAATGTATGTATTTATTAGCATTAGTTACCATAATGAAAAGCATCCTCCTGCCTGTGACCTGGAGATCAATCTCAGCGTGCCATCTTGAAAGATGTCTTAATTCCTAGAATGCAGATTGAGGAGAGGGGAGGCTTGCCGGAGGATATATGGGCAAGGATGCGCAGGTGTACCCTCAATCTATGTGTAAAAGAGGTGTGATGCAGACACTGTATTTTACATCGCATTAAAATAATTGCTCCGAACATGGATGTCTCATTTTGTTAAATGCCTGTTGCCTCAACACCTCACTTTTAATTAATTGCAGTCTCTGCTCACAGATCATGTGGGGGGAACTTAGATGTGGGGAGGTGGCAAGTAAAGGAATAAAGGATGTACAAACTGTGAAATGAGGAAAGCCCCTATGGAGAAATGAGCAACAAGTCTTATTCTGTAGACAGGAAACAAAGAAACATTTGTTTTTCCAGTGTAAAATATGGCATGACACCTTCTTTACACGCTGACTTATCAAATACGGCTATAACTAATAAGACGATTAAATGCTGCTTTGTAATAGCTGCTGACACAGAAGCCTCATTAATGTTATTTCAACCTGTGTGAGTCAAATGCAATGAATGAATCTGAATCACTCACTTGCCTTTTCTGACTGCGGTAGAGTGTTCAGTGGAGTGCACCTGCGGTAGATGAATAATGATTAGACGTTCATCTAAAATCTTGTTTTATTGTGCCATAAAGTTGTGAACTTTGAGCATAGGATCACAAAGGTGGTACAGCAGCTCAGGAGAACATGTACTGTACATACACAGTAGGCCTACACAGAAATACATTGAGAAGAACGAAGGCAGACGTGTTTGTCATCATTACACGATTCTGACATGTTAAATAATCAGTCCTTCGTGTGACTGGTTTTATTACACATTTCAAATTTCAAAGCATGATTAAAAAAAGATAGTCGAGAGAGTTCCCTTTTATCAGCTCACGTTGGTCTCGGAACATGTTATCACAAAGGACATTCACCCATCTTTAAATCATTAAAGGAGCTGTATGAGACATTCAGAGCGTACAATTCAGAGTCTGGGGTGGGATTGTCTGCACGTGGTTCTCAACATGGAGGTGGCCGAGCTGGCAGCTAACATTGTTAACACAATAAAACATGCTAACAATGGCAACAGTACTGACAAAGCAAATAAGGGGAAACTGGAGGGTGGGTCCGACACCTCTGTGATAAGTCTGTCAACTTTATCATAAGTAACCTCCATGAGCACAATGCAGAGCGTCAGTGATTAGCTAGCCAGTGGGATCCACTCACAGGGACTTACGTGCATGTGCCGACTGACTGTTTACCACAACAATACATAGAGAAGCTTGGAGCGTGACGTCATTTTCTGCTCAGGACGCCATTGCTCCTTAATAGCTCCATAGTGGTTTTCTGCTATATTAAAGGGATAGTTTGGATCTTTTTAAGTGAGGTTGTATGAGGTAATTATCCATAGTCAGTGTGTTACCTACAGTAGATGGGAGTCGGCACATACCCATTTTGGAGAAGCAGGCAGGAGTACTGCAGCAGAAGCTAAGCAACATATTGCTGTGGATGGGGGCCGCAACAACAATATATTTGAAACACCTACAAAAAAGTCCCACCTAAAAAATGTATATCATTTAAAGGTGCTCTATATTTAGAGTATTTTCACTGCTTTACCTTGCCACCTGATGGGAACCTGAAGCCATTATTTTGCCCTCTTCAAAGCCAGACTCCATTGAGAAAAATAGTGATTTAAGATTACTGAATGCAGGAGCTGCTGGTCTACTGCTGCCTCGATCAGTTATTCAGTTTGTGTTATTGTGTGACTCTGATGTTTTAAAGGGTTAGTTCGGATTCATCAGTCACACAATAACACAAACATGCTAACTTACTGATGCAGAAGTAGACCAGCAGCTCCTGTGTTCACAGAACCAAAATTGCTGTTTTTGTCAATGGAGTCTGGCGGCTTTCAAGAGAGCATAGATGGGTACTTAGGCCATTAACGGCTTTCCCTTCGTAACAGACTGTCTGATGGTAAGGTAAAGCAGTGAAAATACTTTCAACATAGCGTACACTTAAGCTGTTATAGATATTTTAGGTGGCAAAATTACATTTTGTTGCTGCCCCATCCACAGCAGTACATTGCTTAGCCTCCATGTCAGTACTCCAGCCTACTTCTCCAACCTGGGGGGTGTGCCAACTGACATCTACTGTGTGTAACACACTGACTATGGATAAGTAGCCCATACAACCCCACTTAAAAAAAATCAGAACCACCCCTTTAATGTTTTAACTCTTGCATACAGCTCCTTTAAGTCATCAGTGTGCAAATGAATTACTATAGGCCTTAGTATACAATCTCTACAACATCAAGTTAAAGGTTCATTTCTGGTGCTTAGTCTCCACCTGAGTTTTACAACTCTTAACTCATTCTGTTGGCTACAAGACATTGAGGAAAATAAAGGTTAATAAAAACTACTAAAAAAAAAAGGTTGCATTGTGTCCTCTTCCATAACATATAGAAATTGCTCTGTGGATCGTGTCTGTATGAAACACTGACATGAAAACATGAAATATTCATATTTGGCTTTTTGTTTGTGAAAGCCCTCACTGTAAAAAAATAGCAGCAGTTAAGGCAAAAAGATTGTTCCCCATGGTTACAATTATACCTGAGTACCTAAAACAATAAATCTACATACTGTGTCATTGGAGCAAACAGTTTTGGTCTATAGAATATTACATAGCTAAATTTTTAAAGTGTTATTACTCAAAGCTAAGAAAATGCTAAAAAGTTGCTGACTTAGATATTCAGCAACAAGAAAAGCAATCTGTACCACTTTTAATACATAAGCAACTAAGACAACTCATTAGAATAATCAAGAAAATGCATTCATTTTTACGGATATTACAATAATAAACAGTCTATTCGTACATCTGTTACGCAGGCTCGTCATAACCTCGTGAAGCATGAGTTGTGTTTTTTGTGCTATAAGCCACTTGTGAAGGACGTGGTCTCGCGGCTGATGTTCTCCTTAACGTCCACGGGCAGTGCATCAAAGAGATGGTCCTCCACAACCAGCCCGCTTTTGCGCAGCAGGCGGCAGTTTCCCAGCTGAGGGGGCAGTCTGTCCAGACAGTTTCCTTTCAGCTCCAGCTGAGTGAGCTGGACCAGTTGACCCACGGTCTCCGGCAGCACGGTGAGTGCATTGTTCCCCAGACACAGCACCTTTAGCTTGGTGCATCTGAACAGAGGCTTGGGCAGCACCTCCAGCTTGTTGGAGTTGATGGCTAAGTGCTGGAGATTGTGGAGGAGACCCACATCTGGAGGGAGCACTGTGATGGAGTTGTGGCCCACGTCCAGGTGCCGCAGTTTGGGTAGAGTGAACAAGGCCGGAGGCAGGGACTCCAGTTTGTTGTGAGAGAGGTGGAGAGCCTCCAGAGACTTGACCTGGCCGATGGAGGATGGGATGGTGATAATTTTGTTGTGCCACAGTTTCAGGCACGTCAGCCTCTTGAGGTGCTGGAAGCTGATGATCTCTTCTATGGTTCGGATGTTGTTAGATTTCAGGTCAAGTTCCTGTAAGTTGATCAAGCTGAAAATAGCGTGGGGGATCCTCTCCAGCTCGCAGGTGTGCAGCTCCAGCTCAATCAGACTTACCATTTTTTTCAGACTGTTCAGTACCATTAGTTTTGTACCGTCGTTGTGCACCACTAGCTTAATCAGATGTGGCGACAGCTCTGTGATGTTTGTGGGCATTTTTGTGAGGTTGCTTTTCAAGCATAGTGTCTTTAGATGCCTCAAATCTCGCATGGACTCGAGGCCGATCATTTTGTTATTTTCTGAGCTCAAGTTTCCAATGAGGTTAAGTTCCCTCAAACTTCTCAGCAGATACACCCATGCTGGGATCTCAGCGACATCAGTGAACTTGACATGAAGACAGCGCAGATGATCACGGAGGAAAGCGAACCCTGTCTGCTCTACTTTGGCCGGACAGTGGCAGAGATGCAGCTCCTGCAAGCTGGTCATTTGAGAGACCTTTGCTGAGAACCTCACCTCGGGAATCAGCTCCAGTTTCAGCACTTCCAAGTCTGTGAGGTCAAACACAGCATTTGGAAGACCAGAGAGCATGAAAAGGTGCAGCTCCTGCTGGTCCTGTGCGTTACGAGTCACAAGCTGCCTCAGCTTCTCAAAGGTCCATTCGTGATTGAGGCTGATCTCTCTAAGCTTGTTCTCACTGACCTCGGACAAGAAGACACCAAAGCGTTTGGAGTAGAGTTGGTCATATTGGTCAACCATGTGTAAGAGGAATGCAAAGTCATTTTTGACATCAGGAATGTCACTAAAGCTACTCTCTTCACGGACCTTCTCGAATGAGTACTCTTTCAGAGGTCGTCGAAACACCCAGAAGAGAGAGTACAAGCAGGCCATCCCGTAGATCAAAATCAACGCCATGTAGCTAATAAGCAGCTTGTTTAGCATGAACGCCATGTTGTGCGTACAGAAGAACTTCCTGTATCCCGTCAGCTGTTTAATATCAGGTTCACAATCATGCTTAAAATTTATTTTAGCCAAAAATGTTGACGTGTAGGATAATATCAAAATAAACTTGACAGTTTTGACAACAGTCTGCGCTACATAAAGCTTGTAGATGAAATCACTGTCCTCCACATGAGCTCGGAATTTTCTTACTTTCTCAAACAGGGCTTTGGCCTGCTCCCCATCTTTTTTGTCAAGGATTGTCATGCTGCTTGGGACCTCTGCGATGGGCTTATCTGCAGAGAATTTCACCCCGAGCATGGGCGTGGATGAGTTCGCAGTTGTGCCGTCATCCTTCCCCTCTAAAGACACCTGATTTGGTGCTGCGGAGGTGCCGGTCAGCCGCTGTTTGTTCTCCTCAGAGTCCTCACAAGCGGTTTCAGACAAAGCCTTTGTAGTCCAGGGAGACTCAAAACATCTACCTAGAATGGAAACAAAATGCTCTATCTTTGAGCTAGTTTTTGGGTATTTGAACCAGAAGTTGCTACTGACCATGAGAACAAGGGTGTGGATGAGGGTGAGGTAAGGAAAGTACTTGGAATACCAGGGCAAGGCAACATGGTAACATATTTGGTTGATGAAGATATACTGTTGATAGTCCAAGTTGGTCCTGACGCCTGTTGGTTGAGGTTGATTGACATACTTCTCTTGCACCACAGCAGTGTGTTGGTGTGTGACGTGGATCTCATGGACAGCATCGTCCGGTAAGTCCTTCGTGATTAGGGGGAGGGTGTTTGCCAGGGGGGCTCCAGTGGCTGCTGATGAGGCTGCTTTCTGTGCTGTCTGCTGCGTGAAAGAGTTCGGCTTTGCTCCCATGGCCTCCTCCGAGTCCTCCAGACAAGGAAGGCAAGCCACCTGGTCCTTGGTGATCTGCATGGTCATGGCAAATATGGCCAGCATGAGCATGACCAGCCCAAGGTAGTCCATGAATACGTCCCACCATGGCTTCAGGATGCGGTAGGTCGGCTGGATGTCATTCAAGGATGCAACCTCGGTGAGAGTGAACATCACTGCAACAAACAGAGGAGAGTCAGTTAACCCATTAGTGCCCACAAATGAGGATTGAATTTCCTTTGAGAGAATGTTTTCTAGGTTTCCCCAAGCACATACCTGTTTCTTATCATACTGTAGGTCCATATATCTATATTATATCAATATCAGGATATGAGACTAGATATCTTCCTTGATCTTGGATAGTGTAATATTGCAAATATTGTCTTTTACTGGATTTAAAAGCTGCATTGCAGTAAAGTGATGTAATTTTCTGAACTTTTAGACTGTTCAGACTAGCTGCTCATTATTTCCCTTTACCCTTAGTCATTATATCCATATTACATGATAAATATTATGATTATTTATCAAAAAGCACATAAGCACTTATAAATAGATTTATAAGTAGATTTTCTCTGTAATGCCCAGCCCTATTATACCATATATAGTCTTTGGCCACACTGTACTGCTGTTTTTTATCTATAGTTTATTGCATTTTAGGAAAAAACAGTATTCTCATCCCATAATAATAAAAATTATTATTATTATTGCTGTCCTACTTCCTCTGTTTATATCACCAAAGTCTGAACATAAACAGTCTTTCATGACTGCTGTGCCCTTTAAACTTGAGTAATCTTTCAGGAAACGAAAAAGGGAAAATTTAAAAATAACTTCCGACATGAGTTTCTACAGCACAGACCTACACCAGGAAGTTTAAAGGGTAATGTCAGTATTTTTCATACTGGAGACTATATTCATGTGTTTTAGTGTCTAAGTGACTAATGGGAAGAGCAGTTGTTGAAAGCAGTCCATTATTGAGCAAGCAGTGGCGAAACAGGCCGCAACGTAACCATTCCACTGAGAGTTGTTTTTACCACGTGCAGGCTCAGATTGTTATTAGAAGTGTCTGACAACATTATGGAAATGATATGGACCTTTATGTTAAAGAGTAAGATCGTTTTTGTTTAACCAGAAACAGCCTCAAAATCACCATCTCAAAACCCACCAGACTCCATTTAAAAAAACAGCAATTTTAGCATGTATAGAGCCAGCATATTTTCACATCTAACTGGGTGAATTAAGGGTTTATTTCAACCAAACCAGAGTTGGTAGTCGTTACAACAGTGGAAAGATGAACCAAGAACATTTTTGTGAGTTGTATGTTGTTTCTGTCAACTTTGAATGAAGTGTATTTCATGATGATTAAATTACTGTTTTTTTAAATTGAGTCTGGTGGGTTTGACATTGCCGATTTTAGGGCTGTTTCTGGTTAAACAAAAAGGATCTTACTGTTAAACAAGAAGGTCAATGTCTGTTTCTATAATGTTGTCAAGACACTTATAATAAGAATCTGAGCCTACCCCTTAACCCTGTAAAACCCACTGTTTCAAATTTACAACATCACTTTTAATAATTCTAAAAAAAGGCCTGCAAATGTTTTTTTTTTTTCTCAAGACCACATTTACATAGTTAATGGGTCCTATTGTTTGTCCTCACAATGCTATTGGATAGAATTAGTGTTTATAGGTCTGGTCATCTGGCCATGAACTCACTCTACCTGCAAACTTCCCGTTGAGCTCATCTCCTTTTTTTGCATGACTGGATTTGTCAGGATTAAAGTAAGTAAAATTCCTTAAAAAAATTTTTTTGTGTTTATTACAATGTCGAGAACATGTACATATTTAGTTATTTTGGAAAACATTCATCAAATTTGATTTATAGCTTGTTATGTCTATGTTGTAATTCTACAACGTTGGGTCAGTAGTGTGGTAGTCAGAATAGCCTGTGCTCCTTACACATTACATGAGGTCACTGCACTTCTCACATGGTCACCAATTAAAAAAAATGTAGTAGAAATTTAAAGTATTACATGATTCATTGTAACGAAGCTCTAAATGTGCTTTTCTGTTAAATTTTTACTTAGTTTAGCTTAGACCATAATTAAACACATGAATAAATTGTATGGGGTATTTGAAACTCCAACATCTATAGCAGTATTTGAAACTCCCTGTATCTTTGTAGTTTTTTGTTTGTTTTTTAACTTCTAAATGATCCTGAGCTATTTTTCTCAGTGTTGCCCAAGCAGCAGTTTGTAGCATTAGGAGATAGAAAAACAGGTTCTGAATGTTCTGGATTTGTTGGGGGGATGCCTGTTGCATTGTTCAGGGACAGGTGCGAATGGTCTTGAATGTGAACCTGTAAGTGCTCTGGGGGGATGCATGTGTTCCTTTAGTGATTCAGTAACATCTAAAGAACTGCTTTGCCCATCACTACACCAAAGTGTAACAACATCAGCTGGTTCAAACTAACTGATGAACAGAGGCTAATACAAAAGTGGTAAAGTGAGCTCAGCAGTGTGACATCATGTGGTATATAATATATATTTAAACAAGAGTTTAAACTGGAGAAGGATCTGTGGCATGAAAACAAAAAAGGCTGTTTGTAACTTTAGAGTAAATAACACCAGAAGTCCTGAAGTCAGTGAAGATGTGACGGGCTGGACAGAAACCAGAGGATCTGTAACCTCTGTGATGGTGATGACGATGATGATGATGGTGTGGGACATGAGTTTCATATTCAGTTTGAATGTCAGAATGAAGCTTAATGACTTCCAGAGAAAGGTATTAGCCAAAGTATTATTTGAACCATCCATCTAAAGTCATCTGTTAACTGGGTGTTTTGTCTAAAAGACGTTCTTCCTCTGTATGAGTAACATTGGTTGTACTTTGGCCACGCCGTGTGCCATCCTTCTGTTATTGTATGTAATGTGATGTGGTCTTGGAAATGAAAATAAGAAACTGAATGTATTTGCCATCATCCAAAGGTTTTTAATCACCTTAATTGGGATCAGTGGACCAACAGTATCTCTTTAGCCCATGAATTTAACGATCCAGTGCCTGTTGCATTGTTCCGGGACAGGTGCGAATGGTCTTGAATGTGAACCTGTAAGTGCTCTGGGGGGATGCATGTGTTCCTTTTAGTATGATAAGCAGAGAGCATAATAGGCCAGCCAGACAGTATTGTTTGAATGTAGTAAACCACATTGAAAGTGACGGAGGAAAAAGTTTTGTAAATATATTTTTTTCCAATATTTTTATTTATAAATGCTTATTCATAAAACTATGATTGTTGTGTGATGATTATTACTCATGATATATACTGTTATGGGGCTTAGTAAGCAATCAACCCTGCAAATGAATACTTAAATGTTCTGTATATCTGTTCAGACAAAGTGAGTACAAACACAGACGTTCTGCTCCCAACTGTGCCCAACGTTGCCTAAAAACTTACTAAAATGTAAAAAATTTGAAAACTCTTTGATTTCTACATCAGAGGCCTCCTAAAACAATATCTGAGAGGTCAAAAAAAAATTTTGCTCATTTTTTTTATATATCTGGGTCTTACAGGGTTAACTATACATTGCAGCCTGTTAAAGGGCTGCCAGCTGCAGCACTCTTGCTTAATACTGGACCACTTTCAAAAATTCTTGTCTCCATAGTCACTCATACACAAAAACACAGGAAAATATGCTTCAGGTTGAACAATACCAGAGTTACCCCTTAAGGTTTTTGGGTCAAATGTTGCAGGTTGCCAAAAGTCGAGAGCTAGAGAAGCACATTTGACCCCTGCAGCTGTACAAGGTGTGAATGTGTAACTGTGAAGGCACTGCTGGGTGTTATTGTTGTATCTTGATGTGCTGCATTCAACTCTCACTTCCTCTCACTTTGCAGTGCAGTTTCATTCAGTTACATTTTAATGATGTTTAAGCACAGAGCCCGGGTTGTGCTAAACCCAGACTTATTACAACAAGCTGTTACTGGAACAGTGCAGACTGCTTTGATGTAGGCATAAGTCTACCAACTGCTCTGACTCACTGAGACGGTTGGCACACATGTGTTTCATTTAATGAATCACTGTTTTCGTACTCAGTCAACGTCTGGCATTTGTTTGTATCATCTTTCGCCTGCTTCCTGTATTTAATTCGAACAAACACAATGGAAGGACAAATATTTCTTGAGACAAGATCTTAAAACAAGATCAGTGGGAGTTTGGAAATAAGCAAACGATTATCTGTCCATCTTGATAATTTGTTGTTTCTTTAAACCCTGGGACCGGCGCCGGAGAGCAATAGTCCTGTGACACATTTGAATATTTCATACTGTACTACGCACTGAGGCGGATGACATCCTAAATCCCATTAAACTGCACTCCAAAAAGGAGATATTTCTTGTGAGTAAGAAGGGAAGAATCTGAGCGTTTCTAAGAGGAAACTATATATTTGACTGTATCTTGTGAGATATGAATGGCATTTTCTTTTTTTTATGTAGAAAATAATTTGCCTTTTTGCTGCTGTGAGTCAAAATGGAGAAACTTCAAACTCCATCTTTCTTATACTAGAATTTTTTAGAGGCTTCAATTGTTTTAAGATAAGATAATCCTTTTTTATTCGTCCCACAGCAAGGAAATTTGCATCATTACAGCACTAAACAGGAAGTATCAGAAATAAAATTCAAAGCAACACATTAAAGAAACATGATTGGTGCAATAGGAAAACTGTATAAAACAACGAGCAATACAACAAGCAACACGTATAAAAACATAAGGCAATATAATTTTGCTAACAGGTTGTTTGGGTAGAAAGCATAATATTTGAATAACTTGACTTTATATCTTCATATCAGTTACGTTTCAGTTCATCACTGCAATCCATCAGCCTCCAAACAGGCACACAATATGCTCGAGCACATGGCCCCTGCACAATTATCATGAATGTCTCAAGCATGAATGACCGCATCATTAAGGTCCTTTCATGGAATGTTTGTCCTGTAGATGAATTTAAGGAATTTCAGTCCCAATTTTTCCATCAAAGCAGCTCTGCAATTGGTTGACGGTACAAATGTTTAACATTTTTCTTTGGACTCAAGCCTAGGGTTGCAGTGGTATGAGATTTTCACTGTACTATAACATCTTTGAAAATATCACGGTATCATGGTAAATGGTGTTGCAGGATTGATATGATCAGTTACAATGACCCTTAAAGGAGTGAAGGTGAGTTTGAACAAACACTGAAACCATTTTTTAAATATAAGTCTGTGTAAAACGTCTGACAGGCAGTCGAAGGGGAATATAACTTAGGGCTGGACGATATGTCCTGAAAATTATTTCATAATATTTTCAAGCTGTATCTCGATACACAATATATATCTCGATATTATCTCCTCAAAAGTACTTAATTAATGCCTGGACTGGGAGACAAAATGGAACATAACAATATTTCTGACTAAATACAATTAAGTTGTAGGGGTGACTGTTGTTTTGTTGGGGTTTTTTTCAAAGAGATTGTGATCAATAATCATCTATAATGTGGATATATAAAGACTAAGTGGGTTAAGGCAAGCGTTGAAACATATAAAACGCCTGGTAAGTCGATAAATTTTAGGGCTGTCCCGAATACCATTTCTTAACATTCTGACCTTCGGCAGAATTTATAACGAATATTCGTTATTTTCGGACCTAATTGTATTGCGGAGTTTTGCACAGCGGCGACCGGATCTTTGCTCTCAAACCACAAAAAAATGTGATGGCACAACAGTCTCCTTCAGTATATTATTCTATGCTTTCTTTTGATTTTCATATTGGCTAGTCATCCTGTTTAATTTGTCTTCTGATTAAATCAGAACCGTTGAAACAAGTTGTAGGAAGCCTCTGCAAGTAATTGGTTGCTGCAATAAAATGGTTAATCAGCAATGCTGTGCACTGCAGAGCCGATCCGCTGCTGGTTCTGCCGGCCTGAATAGAATATAATGTCTATAGCCTACTGTTGTGTGTACAGCCTTTATAGACTGAGCTGAGTAGTGATGCGCGGGTCGACCCGTAACCCGCGGGACCCGCAAATGGACCTGCGGGTCGGGCAGCAGTGATCGTCTGTTAAATCGGTCTGTAAATGATATTTTGACATTATTGGCTATTACTGTCATGGCATCCGAAGGTACTGATGCGTTGAGCAGGTGACAGTCCGCGGTCGTTTTCAAAACACACTTGTGTCACGCACTCCAAAAGAAACTTGTTGAAACTTTAAACAATAATTTATTGTACAAAACGGGGGAAACAAACGTTGACAAAAACGGTTCCATAATTCATATTAAATTCAAAAGATAACGAAAAAACAGCTACAAGTTAGAGGGAATAGTGATAAAGTGGTAAAACTTGGCATTGATCCACAGCCTCAGACGGATGCGCTCAAGCATGCCGTGCGCACAAGCTCAGTTGGTAGGCTATACTATATTTTCACATTTTTAACAATGCAATTTAAAAGTTTTGATTTTTATTGATAACCTACATTTACCAACAACAAAAAGACTACATTTAGCACCAAAATATATGTTAAAAAAAAAACAAAAAAAAACTAAATAAAAATCCTACCCATAGAAACGAATATTCGAATATCCGAATATTTAGGTACAGCCCTAATAAATTTACATGGCTTTACTGTAATGCAGCATTTAAAACAAGGGAGAAAAATATTTATGCCATATCATGATACGATATCCAAAATCTAAGACGATATATAGTCTCATATCTTGATATTGATACAATATCCTCATATTGCCCAGCCCTAATATCACCGCAACCCTGCTCAAGCCTAACCGAATAATCAGTGGGCCAATATCATCAGCAGATATAAGTTTATTACAGTTATCTTGCATCATTTGTAATTCCGAATATACGTCTCAGATATTTTAGAAACTCTGTCTCCATCACATAGTTAATCCATAAGAGAGCTCTGAGAAAGTCATTGTTCAACTGCAGTCTGTTAAATGTCACGCTAAGGGATGAAACAGTTCAACATTCTGAACGAATACTATTACTGTTTCTAGAGATGCACAATAATATCAGCACGTCAACAGTATTGGCCAATATCAGCTTTAAAATGAACATCCATGTCTCCATCTGCTGATGGGCCGTCACGATAAGAGTATGGATGCATAAAATGCTGTTAATCCCACTACAGAAGACACCATGTTTGATAACTGCACTCACTGTAAACACAGTCCCGCATCAACCAAAGTTAGCAACAGTCTCCCTGACGCAGGCTCAGTGTGCAATGTGCGTCTGTTTTCTTTAATAAAAACATGTCAGAGGGCAGTGACAGCGCTCTGGGGATTTCTCAGCCTTATTGTTTACAAAGTGGGCGTGCAGCAGGCCAACCCAGTGATGATACCAGCCCCTTGTCCCCATTTATAGACACTCGAGTCAACATTTTAACAAGCTCCTTTTATGCACCGACATGAAAGAAAACTTGCTGAAATGATTTCATCTATGTAAAAAAAACTGATTTTATTCTAAAATATCAGCATGACCCTAAAAAACACAGTCGTCACATTCAGACCATGATGTCACTTCAGGGTGCCACTGCAGGGTTACACAAAGTTAACTTCTTGTTCTGAGGAACTTCAAAGTCCAGTCCTCTCTCCATGTGACATGAGAGCAATCTGACATGGTCATATCATCACAGTAGCACGCTTGATGGTCATAACTGGGGTTTTCTCATGGTGTGAAAATGATCAATGATGGCCTTTTTCACTGAGGACACTTTTGACGTGTGGGTGTAAATCAATGTGGCTCAAAGTGCGGCCAGTGGTGGCCCTCAAAAACATTTAGTGTCACCTCAAAAAGGCATGCTTTATAATTTTAATACTTTCCATTTTGTTAGCTTACATTTAAATGACTGCTGTGTCAAACTGTGTCCTCCAAACAAGCGTCTGCCCGATTAGGAATAACAGCTTGTAGGAAGCTATATGTTTGCATGGCAACTCGACAGTGTCACAGGAATTTCGTCCTGTCAGCTTGTGCTGTTTGCTTAAGTTAGCAATATCAGTGGACGACTCGGAAGTGTCATGTGGAAGTGAGATGGTAAAGCCACTGCTGAAATAACCACTGTATGGCAGAGGAGAAAGGGAGGTTTCAGGAAAAATGGATTAACTCGTCGACCCTCGGGGGACAGATGAAGTGATCTGCAAACTGATAAACTCAGCAAGCAAGGAATTTCATATTAATTCCTATTATGAGGCAGATTACAACTACTACTATGACTTCCTGTGCGGCCTGTGCTGGCTCCTTAAAGTGGCACTCAGTCATCAAACTTTGATGTAAATAATTCATGACCGTTGAGTCATATCTGACATGCTTAATGATCTATCTGGAAAATGCAGCAGTGCACGTAATGTTCTTGTATCACAGCAGTGTCTTCACACACATACCCCCTTTTTCTACCATAATTAGCATGTGAATGTTTTTTTAAAAGTGAAAACCTGTTACAAATAGGTGATAGATTCTTTTACCCATTGCAAATGGACAAGAGCTGTGTACTTGGCTCTGCAGCAGATGAGTTTGTCATGGACGGGTCAAAAAACAGGTTAGTAAACAGTAGAAAGCAGCACGGAGGCCAGTGAAAATGTTAGAGTGGTAACTTTTTAAAATATCTATTACTCATTTAGTTTCTCTCTCAAACTCAGACTGAATTGTTCGCGATGTTCGCGTGCTGCTTTGGCAGAGGCAGACGGTACCTTGTGGTGGCCTGACACTGTGTTGCATTGGTAAAGGGGCGAAGATTGGTGCCTCCACCCGGGTGCCGTATTTCCATCACTGCCAATTAAAGTCGATTGGAGCTGGAGCCAACAATGCCAGTGTCCCTTTCTACACAGATATTGCGCTACAGGGCTGCCACATGAAGTCTCTTCTTTATGCCAGCTTTGCATTTTTACACAGAATCAAACAACGGCTGCATTACGCCACTCCAGTGTGTGATTTTAGATAACATTCCAGCATGGTAGAGGCAAAAGAGACATGACGGGCTTGACTTTCAACACAACAGCGTCAGCCTCTAGTGCAATGGATAAAATATGTGTTGGCAGCACTTTATAAACAACGACAGTGGCATAACATGTCAATAACAATCATTTCCCGTCCTTATATGGTGGCCGATCTTGTCCTCTGCTCAGAGGTTAAGGAGCTCCCGGGCCTCATTGCTTTCCTAATCTGCAGATATTTATGGCCACTGTTCTTCTTTGAGTTAGCTGCAGACTACTAACAGCTACTTTTCAAATCCCCCGCAGTGGGTCGCAAGAGTAACATGTCCTCAAAACATCCCACCTGTGCCACCCATGATACTGTCCTGCCAGCTGTTACATTTATACAGGCATTGTTTTGGCGCTGTTACTACTGCCAATCTCGGCTTCAAGGCAAGACAACTCTGTCCCCCCATTCTGCAGTTGTATCTTTTATACACAGAACAGTGAGGTGGAATAACGGCGTGAAATTCCCACCTTTAAGAGGCCATGTAAGGAGAAAAAATTGATATATTAAAGCAGCTGTGTGGAACTTTTTACCATTTATAAAACTGTCCCTAGTTCGTATCACCCCCCCCCCCCCCCCCCTGAAGATCTGCATATTTATTTGAACCCAACAGCGACAAAAAAGCCTTTCTCTATATGGCTATTTAGCGTAGCCTCGCTCGGGTCGGACACACAGCGGAAGTCAGCAAACCAGAATACGGCACCCGAGGCGGAAGTGATTCTGCTCGCCCGCAGCGGCCCGCAGCGATTAAACCACAGAAGAAGGAGCCGTGTTTACAGTTTTCTTCGAGTAAGCAGTACGCAACGGGCATTGCTGAACACCTAACAGTTTTATCAGAGATGTATCTATGAGGACTTGGTTGTACTTTTGATGTCACGGCGGATAACGAAGGAGCATCATCTAAAATTATCTGTGACTGTGACCATGAACACAAATATACAGCAGGTAGTTGTCCTCAGTTTATAAGAAATTCAGAGCTACACCAGAACATTTATGAACAGGTCTTACTTTACTACTAATTTGTGTGTAACGTTAGCATGTTAGCATGTTTCCACTAATTACTTGGACTGACCTAATGTTAGTAGGGTTAGCTTTGCAAGTGAAGGCTGCAGGTAACAGCTTTGCTGTGTTAGGATTATGTTATGTCTTCACTGTGTATCTAAACATAAAAGAATACTCCAATGATTTGGGAGTTATGCCCTTTCTCTATCATTTTCATATTGAGACAACATGATCGATATCTTTTTTGTGTCTGTACGTCCAGTGGCTGGGTCTCAGTGGTTAGCATTGCGCTTATAGGGGGTCAGTACGTCCTGCGTTGTGATCCGTGGAGGAATACACCGGTGAGCAGGCACAGACGTAGCTTATAAACAAAACTCAGCTGTTTATTTAGCCTAGCGATATCTCTGGATTTTAGTAGCTACAATGGACGACTTTGAACGCGACTTTGAAGAGTTTCTTGTAGCGGACACAGACCCAGAGCCATACCTGTTTGAGCCGGAGTACACAGATGAGGAACTCCATGTGTTTGATGCTGAGCAGGCGAGAAGAGAGGCTGAATCCTCCAATCCCATTTTGCTGCACAGAATGGGACTCGGTGCTACCATCATTGGGGAGATATATCATCAGGAGGAAAACCGCCACAGAGAGTGCATCACAAGGAGTGAAAACTTTGCAGCAATCACTAATCCTGGCGTGATTCAAACTTTTTTTCATGTTCCTAAGATGAACTGGAAAAAACGCTCCAGGCCTGCAGGAGCTGATGGACAGCTTTCAGTCGGGTGAGTAATATCGTCCGTGTCGTCTCTTTGTTTGCTTTTACCGAGTGACCTAGCGTACCTGTCCCAGAGCCAGCTGCAGCTCTTGCTCACCGTCGTATCCCTCCGCGCAAGATGTACTGACCCCCTACAAGTGCCATGCTAACCGCTGTCTCAATATGAAAATGATAGAGAAAGGCCATAACTCCCAAATCGTCGGAGTATTCTTTTCACATAATAATGGGGACTCAGCAGATGACTTGTTAACTGTTTATTCCTCCTTACACCGAACGTACACGGCTGCCTCTCATTGTTTCCAGTAGCACAACAACGGTTACTACATTACTCATAATAACTTGAGGCTCACACTACTACGGTAGCCTTAGTAGCTCAAAATACACAACAGATTAGATCAGAACAGAAAAACGACAGGAGAATTTACTGAGTAATTTTGCTGTTTCCACTAATTACTTGGACTGACCTGACGTTAGTTAATCCTCTTGCTCTCCAAAACAAATGCATGCGGTAATTGCTGGCTGCAGTCGGAACACCAGGCTGTGGGTGTCATACCGCTTCGACCAAAGGGGCGCTATAATCAACGAAAACGAAAAGTTCCGCACAGCTGCTTTAATATTGGTTATCGGGCAATATCGTGCATCCCCAGTTTAAAAAACCTACATACACATGATAATTTTAGTAGTAAAGGGGTACTAGAAGAGGAAACACATCTAAACAGGATATGAGAGAAATAAAAATCTTAGTGCGTGAGGGCCCCCAGGAAAGGGCGAGGCCCCGTGCTACATGGGGGCCTGGCAGCCAGGGCAGGGTGGTGAACAGCCCCCCTCCTCTGCAGCCCTGCACAGACAGATTACATCAAACTGACCTCAGCATGTGATAGAAGCCACTGTGATGCATGTTGAGAGTAATTTAATAAATTATATGTTTAAAGATGGCTCCCAGACAAATTAGTATAACTTCTGAGGTCAGCCAGGGGCTCCAGACTGAGAGGAAACAGGTCGTAGACTGCACATGTGGAAAAACAGGCTGAGTGTAATTTCTTAAATTACTCCACCATAAGAGGAAATAAGACATGCGTATAGAGGCTGCATGATGAAAGCTTTTGACTTTTCTCCCTCACGTGAGGAGTTCTTGCGCACTAAGTTATCTGTTGGTGTTTCTGTGTCAGGTGACTTTTCTTCAACATGTGAAATTGAGCATGTGTTAAACCAGGCAGGTAACCAGTTTCTTATCTGGAAACCATTATCAACTCGACCACGCGGGAAGAAACAATACCAATCGTGTTATTTATTATAATTAAAATAGTTTAAAGTGTGAATTTAAAACACAGTGAAGCTGAATATACTTACTGCCCGTGCGGCGTTATCTCAATCCAATTATTCCTTCCTCAGCCTGCATGCCACTTTTCGCTCCAGTCTTCAGGTGCGCCTCTAACCTAATTTCTCAGCCCCGTTAAAAACTGCGGGAATGACGCCGGGGAGTGACACAAAGCTCTGGGGAACATTTGTTGGTGACAGCCGCGGGTTTGTGTCGCCTACATCCCTCATACCTGAGCGCCGGGGAGCGGAGCCGGCAGCCGGGGCCGTGTGTTAGGCAATATGCGCAGACGGACCTCCACCAGTGTAATGTATTTCTAAGAAAAGCCAGATCCAATATGGAGCCGTGCAGACCGCCGTTGTGGGTGTTATGCGCGCTTCTCATTGGAGGATGACATTAAGGCAACTTCCCGAAGACACCGCCTGCTAGCTTATCAGATGCGGCGTTCACGGCATGTGGCAGAAAGTGGGACAGGTAATGAACACTGTCAAAAGCTGGGCTGTCAAATGTCTGCCTGGAGAGGAGAGGAGCACAATTTAATCGATTTAACGTTGAAACATTGTTGTACATAAGGCTGTCTGAGTCAGTGGCTTCGTTTAAGTCTCTCTCTCTCTCTCTCTCTCTCCAAAAACATATTTCAACCCTATTTCCCATTTATTATCTTGATTTTAGCTTTTAGCCTTCTTTTATTTTATCTTTTACTAGATGATATGTTATTTGCGATATTCTCCTTGCGTTTTATTGTGTGGAGTTTTATTGTTCATCACTTTGTAACTGTGTTTTGAAAGGTGCTATATAAATAAACGGTGCTATATAAATAAAGTTATGTTTATTATGATGATTGTTAAACTTGAACGTTGTTTATTAACATTTGCAAATATCCTTTGAATACCAGCAGACTCTAGACATCTGTAAGGTCAGGTGAAGACACAAATGAGGCAATATCTAATTAAATATGAGCTTATTTGCGGACAACAAAACTCTGTACATTGGATAAAGCCATGTTCAAAATTCCTGTTTCAGTTTGTTGACACATTAGAGTCAAAGGTTTTTACAGAGGGAATTTTGGATTGCTAAACAGGCCTACTGGGCACAGGCCCAGGGGCCAAAAGTGTCAGGGCGCTCCCTGGCCTTTACCTGCAATATGTCTCTTGAAGTAACAGGTACAGATGAGGAAAAGACTCAAAATGACCACACAAAATGCAAAGGCACTGCAGAGGGACATAAATAACTACAACAAGGGTCAAAACAACCACAAAGAGACACAAAATGACCCCAAAGAGATATGATGCGGAAGCAAAATAGCCCAAAACCTGAAAATTGACTAGTGCAGGAAAAACCCGTTTTCACCTGAGGTGTTTCACCTGAAATAACTGTGATGACCCAACATGCTTTCCACAAAGGGAAGTGCCATGCCAGGAAAAAGTTTCTTGTCATAAACAAGATGTTTTTCACATTCTTACAAGATGTTTTCATGTCACAACAAGAAATCTTTGTTATAACAATATACTGTTTATCTTGTCATAGTGTGAAATGTTTTATGTAAGATAAGTATATAAGTAAGTAAGTTTCTTTTTTTAAAACAAGGAAAGTTTCTTTTTTTTTTTACAAGGAAAGTTTCTTGTTACAATGTGAAAATATCTTGTTAAAACATGAAAGCAAACTTTTCACATTGTTAGAAAGAAACTTTACTCATTACAACAGCATTCTACACTCCATAAAATTATTTGATTACTGACTGGATAACACTTAAAATAAATAAGTTTTTCAGCATTAAACAATTATGTTCTTTACATTAAAGTGATTTAGTCAAATTACAACTTATTCTACGAAGTTGGTCAAATCAAAAACATATTTAACATTTTTGAGTAGGATCGAATTAAAATAACTGAATAAGAATATCTTAAATAAAATAAGTTGACCTGAGTTCAAAGCAAATTTTGTGTGTAATACTAAAATGATTGAGTTTGTCAAAAGACTCATAGGATTGACTTAATAATGCCAGGGGTTGGAACTACTTAAAAAGATGTGTGTAAATTGTTACCTTCATTTTTTTTTACCTTAAACCAGTGGGGATTTTTTTTCGGCATGTATTTATCTTGCATGACACATTTTGCATTATAAAAAATAGATAGGACAAAGGATAGGATAGATAAGATAAACAGTATATTGTTATGAGGAGAACAACTTCTCTCAGCTTCTCAAAAAATTCTTGTTATGACATTGAATTAAATTTAATTAAATTTGATTTAATTTTTATGTTATTATAATTTATTTTATTTTATTTTAATTCACTGTATTTTATTTCACTTTACTTTATTTAATATTATTTATTTTTTGGCATTGCAGCAATACATATTCCATATTCCACAAAGATTTGCATAGGGAAAAAGTTATGTGACCAAAGTGGTGCTCTTACTAATGGGGTCAGGGGTTAGGATCAACCTAAATTTACCCCTCGCAAATCTTTGAGGACAATAATGCCCTGCCTATAATAAATTCCTAAGTGGAGCAAAGGAGATATAGCCCTATACAGACCAACCTGAAGTGGATACTGTTAAAAGTTACCCTCATAAAGCCTACCATGTTGTCTATCGTTTTCCCAGCGTGATTTGAACGCAGCACCAGCTTCCCCCTCTTTGTTTCAGAGTACCAGACACCACAAACTGCCTCATGGTGTTGAACTGACTTTAGCTGACTAATTAAGACTTCTCACATGTGCCTTGTGTCACACGCCATATGTCTGACACGCTGCCTTGTGTTTGTACAGTGAAACTAAACTGTTATTAACATTTGCACAAATAAAATAACATTGTTTATTCTATCTATCTATCTATCTATCTATCTATCTATCTATCTAGTTATTGGTATTGACAAACTCAACAGTCAATAGGACCCTGAGTGCTGAAGTCATGCATCATTTCCAGCTCTTTCTGGATTTGGTTGATGATGCACTGGGTGGAGGAAGTGTCTCCTCAGTTGCAACCCATACAGGTTTCAACCGGTCCTGGGCTGCTGGCACTCTGTGTTCACTCACGCTACCCTTGTACTTTGAGAGGAAGAAAAAAAAAGAAGAAAGAAAGAAAAGCAGCCACTGGGGAGTGTAGAGCGATAGTCTGATGTGGAGGTGGTGCGTGAGCATACATAAACACGCGCAGAGTGATTACAGTCATCGTTTTTTGTTGGTGTTCTTTACCGGCTCTGCAGAAAAGCTTTTTTTTTTTTTTTTTTTGCAACAGGGCCTAATGTTTGCTCAGAGTTAAACGAGGCAGTCTTGTGATAGCTGAGTGGTCTTTTGTAAAACCCAAACAAAGACAGTTGACAAAGTGCAAAGTGAATGAAAAACTCACTTAACTTGGATCTGGGTCACGTGGATTCTTTTCACAGTTCTCAGGGATTCCCTCCACAACTTGTTGCTGAGACCTTTCTTGTAATTAAGTTTTATGTGATATAAATGCAGGTATTGATTTGACTGATTGTGCTCCCTAGCCTACAGGTGTTTATCTGACTGCAGTGAGACATAAGAGAAAAGGTATAAAGATGTTGTAGTGGTTTGGCTTGTTGTCAAACTGGGCTGAGCGCTCTGAGGTTTCCTGTCTGTGGGGGTGATGGGGACAGCAGCTGGGGACCTCAGATACCCCTGGCAACCAGCTCAGTGCGTTGAGAATTGGCTCAATGAGATATAAATAATTCAGCGTGAACCTCCCTCTCTGATTTGTAAAGAATACACAGGGTGGTATCACTCTCACAAACATTAGCCGGTGGTTTATACGCACACCGGATAGACGCACGTGAGGTCTGTGCGTGGAAGCAGCAAAAAATACAGAGACCTTTAATTTTAGACCTACGCCACAAACCACCAACAAACCCAAACAAACCTGTCTCTATGGTAATTAATTTCCTGTAAGCACGACAAGAGTTTTCTCACCCACACACACACACAGTGGGGTAGGAAAATCCAGTGCTAGGTGAAGGTAAGTGTTCGGGGTTAGGGGTATTAATGTAGTCAACAAAGGTTTCTCAGGTATGGTGAGACACAAAGGGAGTGTGTGTGCCTTTGTGTGTCAAATTACACACACGACTCCAAACGTGTGCATACGGGCTGTTTGCTTTCACGTGGATCCTTTGTTATTACTTGACACACAGTACGTGTCATGAGGAATGATGATGTGGAGTAATATGGTGTTGCAGTTGTGAAATCAATAAGCAGCTGCTGAGGCACTGAGGTGGGTCGTGCAGTGTGTGTTTGTACGCGTGTTTGAGACAAAGAAAGACTAAAGACACATACAATTTTTAATTCTGCTCTGATAACAGCATACTGGTTCCTGCTTGCTCTGGTTTTGTTTGGTGTACCTGTGATCAGGGGCGTAGTCATGGGGGGAAAGTGGGAATGATTAACCAAGGGCCCCAGTGGGAGGGGGGGCTTTAAAAGTACAAAGGTGTTCTATGTTTTTTCTTTGCAATTTTTTTTCTAAGTAATTAGTGCCATAACTAAATTAAAACTGGTTGAATACATCGGTTGAAAGACTGAACTTCGTATGAAAAAATAGTGGAAGCTCTCTGAGGCCCTTTTCACCCCTTCAAGGCACAAAATGGTTTAGTCCACCCCCGCAGTAGGATTCTTCAGTCTTCTTCAAACAATTTGCACAAGTGAATTACATGTAAAGTCAATGTAAAGACGCAATTAGACGCAAATTCCCAATGAACGCGATGGATGTGACGCAAAATATGCAAACTAAACGGAGCAAATGAAGCGAGTAGCACAATTTCGCGTCATACAGTTTATCACGAGGGTTGGAAAAATTTGAACTTCAGCTACCAATTTGCGCTTTGATAGCTAACCAGCATTGAGATCCTCTGGGGATGTGTTTGAACTGTATTTTAATTTATTCTCTATTTAAAAAAAAATTCTCTTATTCTCTTATCATTACTATTTATTCTGCTGTCTGCCTCATATTAATTGTACTTGAACCCATGCCATATCATGCTACTCCTGCCATGTATTATTGTTGTGTGAATGGTTGTATGTCTAGATGGTGGACTGTAGAAACTGAATTGCCCTTCGGGGATAGATAAAGCTTTCTCTATCTGTATCTGTATCTGTATCTGAACCTCCCTCACTGTGTGATGTAGGACCACCGTTTTAGAGCCACGACCAAAGATATCACCACGTTTCTTTCTTGTTGGTCATCTTTCGCCTGGGACAGCCCAAAATCACACGGTGTATACTGGGCATAGGAGCAGCTAGAACAATGCTGCAGGAGCACCATCATACTGTACACTGTCATTTCTTTCACCAAGAAAGGAAATTTGGGGTTTCAGTTAAAGAAAAGAAAAGAAAAGAAAGGGAACTAAAGCAATCTGACTTTGTGAAATTAAAAAAAAAATGCATAACAGAGACATGGATTAAGAGAGAAATTGCAGGAGGCCCACAGCAACTGCTTATGTACAGGGCCCAGAATTTGGCGCTACACCCCTGCCTGTGATATCTGTCATGCTTGGACTTGTACATTAATACAGGTTTGGCTTCCACAGTCCTTTTCAGTTCAGCAGAAGGTTTGCGTCAGCAGTGGTATTAGAAAACATGCAGTAAGGACATGTGAATGCTTATCAGACTCAGGGACACTTTTCACTAAACTAAATTAAACTAAACCTCACACTGGACACAGACTGCTGACACCTGCCAAATGCTGATTAGAAGATGCATACTCAGCTGTGTAGGTGTCATTTTACTGTTCAAACTATACGATCTTAAAGAATTCCAACATGTTGGACCACTGACAGACAGATCAGTGCTGAATGATCTTTCAGTGAAAACTAATCACCGTAATCAGTCACAGTGGAATGTGAATGAGTGTCGCTGCTGGTCCTCCTGACACACTCCTTTAATTTAGCTCCACCTGCTGTTGAGTTGATGCACACTGGCATTGACTGATACTGAGATGATGATAACAAACTTGAATTACAGTCATTCAAGTTAACTTCAGAGAAGTTTTGTGATACATTAAGTAACAGAAATAAATTTTTGTGGCACACTAGTGGGTTGATTTGTGTTTATATGACAGATGTTTCATTTGTAGACACACATTTGTTATTCTGTTACCAGAAAACTTGACCTAATCAAGTGACTCTTTGTGGCACTGAGAGGTTTCCTTCACGGGCTCGGGAAGTATGATGCAGAGGAGCAGTCGCAGATTGGTACAGCGTCAGAGACACAGGCTGGCACTGTCACACAGCAATATCACAAGCCTTTCTTTAATCAGAAGACTCCTTGGGATTCATCAGTACAGTTAAGAGATTCATTGTTGCAGCTTTAAACAGCCATTTACACAACTTAGGCGTAAAAACTGAAGCATTTATTTTGATTTTATTAGTTGGTCAGTATTGGGCTTGTAGCAGACTGTCTGATATCAACAAATATCATATTGTTATCCAAAGAATCAATTTAACAGTGTGTCATGATGAAACTTTTGATTTACACCCCTAGTTTCAAATAAATAAATGAATATTTCATGACTCTTTAACCCACCTAAAGAGTCATGAATATTTCATGACTCTTTAGGTGGGTTAAAATGCTTTTCTTTTTAGGAAATTCCCATTCTCCCTTTTTAGTATAAAATTGCAGGTCTTTCCAGGGACTTTCCCAGGAAATTAAAGGCCCTCTTAAGTAACAGGTTACAGACGGATATTTTTGTTCCTGTTGTTAAATTCAGATTGCATGTATATGTGTGTGTGTGTTATTGTATGTCATTTCACTGGTATTATATGTAAATTTATGTTGTACTGTTTGATTGTTCGTCTTTGGGTGTTTTGGATGTAGCCTGATTTTTGAGATTTTTAGGCTTTAGCAGAGAAAATATCTTAAAATGAATTTATACAGTTAAAGCCCCATAGAAAGAAAATGAAGAAATGTAGTTCCACCTGTATGCACAGACCCTTTCATAGCTGGTCTGTTGCTAAGCCAACAGCTTTGGTCCCTGTTTACTTCCTTTTAGCTGACGGGTAGCTGTCAAGGAAACTATATAGTTTCCTTGACAGCTACAAGGAGGATATAATATATTATTTTATATTAACCTTGATCAGCTACTGCATTAACAAATAGTGTTTTGTGATTACGAGATTAAAACTTTTTTTTGCATCCAAGAACATATAGAATTTTTTGGGGGAGAATTGTCTCAAAATTGGATAATGGAAAAGGACTTTCAAGCGCCCAATTTAGAATATAACAACATTAAATTTAGAGTGCAAATGGAGGATATGAAAAAGGGAAATTGTGTACTGTATGTGCTTGATTGTTATGGCTAAACAAGTTGTCCACAGGTGTAGATTTATTAATATCAAACCTCTTTCAAGAAAACACTGAAACATATTAAAAACAAACAAGTCTTTCATATATACAAAAACATTTATATGTTGCTTTCTGATTAAACCTCTAACCCTTTTATTTTTTACATATTTTATTTGTTTTTACTTGTTTATTTTCCTTGAGAAGTCCATGCTCAGTCTGTAATTTGTACTGTTAATACTTAATCAACAACTTAATATAATAATGACCAGAATTTCTTTCTGAATAAAGATTAAAATACATAAATAAATATCCTAAATAAATAAAAAGTGTTTATGAAAACGTCATTGACAAACATTCCAGCCCTCTTTTTTCTTCTTTTGTACCAGGTGGACTTTGTATGTTAAGGGGTGTTTATTGTGGTTTCTATGACCTGATAATTGTGACTTAATTAACTTCACTTAAAAACACACACACACACAAATAAATAAAAACATTCGATCACATGAGGTTTTTGGTTGTAATGGTGTATATTTAAACATCACCACATTTATACCTAATGGTATAATCATAGACGTCTGAATTATTATTTCACAATTGCTTTTACAGCAAGAAAGGTACAAGCGGAAGGATACTACGACTAGTTTGAACCTAATGCGTTGCCGTACTCCAACGGCCACGTGACGTAAAAAGTTATAAATAGAGGTGCTGCACTCAATTGTTTCTTTGACAAACGGGCGGAGTGAGGAGTGACATGGCGTCGACAAGCCGGTGCGTAGCAACTTTAACCAAATATAACACCTCTTCCTTCTTCGTCTGTCGCTCTCGGAATTGAATTATGTAAAGTTAACGAGCCAGGCATGACGAGAGAAGCTAGTGGTAGTTAAAAAAATATGACGCCCTTGTTCCTACCGTTGTACGATGCTTTGTGTTGGGTCACGGCTACTTAGCTTAGCTAGCTGGTGAGATGTTGCCAGAAGTCACTATGTGTATAACGGTTACATTGTGCTCGCGCTCTGTAGCTTCAGTTAACGTCACTTTTCATCGTAGACTTTGTTTCGCCGTCTCTCGAGCTCTTTTGCGGTTAGCAACATGATAACAGCTAGCGTAGTTTGAAGCTGAAACTTATGCTAACATATTAAAGTGTCGTGGACAGCAGCGATCAAAGCGTCTCTGGTTTCCTGCCGCTTGTAAACACAGTCAGTGATTTCAGTTCATCTTGTTTGCTTTGAGCTTTTAACGCAACTTTAGTCAACTGAAGCTTCCCTGAAGTTTGTACAGGGAGCGAGTAACAGTTAGACATTAGCATCAGTTGGGCTCACTAACTAATCATGAGTGTGTAGCTGCTTCTCTTTCCTCTTATCTGGTGTTTTGTTACAACCACTGTCAGGGGAATGTTTGTGTTAACAGTATGTAAATGTAAATAAGAGCGTAAAAGAGTGTTGATATGTCATTGATATGACGCATATGAGGTCATCTGTTTTGCTTCCGCCACATCATCGTGACCCTCTGGTTGTTGGCTTTAATCCAGGAGTCAACGTATTCATTTTATGATTTCATGAATACCTGATACATTTGATAAATTTGTCAACCGGTTGATCATCAATCAACAGTTTTAATAATAGTTTAATGAATTTATTTATTTTTGCAAAAATCCCAAATACTCTTGAGTTGTGAGACTTATGTTCTAAGTAATTCTAGATTTAATCGAGGTGGGAATTACCAGAGGATCCCCGATACTTGAGTCACGATTCAATAGTATTGTGATTTTAAATATGTCGCGATATGCTGAATATTGCGATAAAATGTATCGCGATTTATTACCTTTTTTCAACTTGAAATGATGTGCCCTTGTCAACATCTGTTTTATCTAATAAGATTAAATTTTCAGTCTGTTCGTTTCACGTAAGCCATTTTTTGGCAACAAAATCCATCTAGTGGACTGAAAAGGCAATTGATTATATTATTCTAGTAGGCTATCTAGAGTTTAATTTGTATTTGTAGTATTAATAAGTTATATAATTAATAAAACATCGATACTTGGGACTGTGTGACGATCCGCCACACAAAAATATCGTGATACTATGCTGTGGCAATTTTGTTTCCCCTCACCCCTAAGGTTTTATATTTTCTGCATTTTGTCGTGTCAAGACTGAGGACCTCTGACATTTCAAAGACTAAAAAATAATGGAAAACATAATTGGCAGATTAGTCACTAACGATCATAGCCGTTAGCGGCAGTCCTAATTACAGCACCGAGGCTTCATAAGGACATGATGCTGTCACACTTTGCCTTTAGGTTGTTTGATGTTGTCTCTGGGCTGTTTACCCAGTTAATTATGGATTAATATTAGGGTGACCTGCTTTGATCTTTAATATCAGGATTCATATGTTTACTTTGCCCAAGCCAGTTTTGTGTTATTTGCCTACTCGTCCAGTATTTCTTTTCAGCAACAAAAGGGGGGAGAGTAAAGTAAAAATGACACATCTAGGTTATGCAGTATTTGCATTTAGATTTTCTTACCCATGCCAATTGTAATTGTCTTAAATTATGTTTTCAGTTGGTGTTTTCTCTTATGAGTGATCCCTAACAAGTCATGCTCCGCAGGCAGTCTGAATATTCATATTTTTTCCAGCTCTTGTAAATGTGACTGTAGCTGTAAAGCTTGTTTTGTGTCCTGGCCTCAGCATGAACTCTCCCCCACCCCATATTTTTCTCCCCTTACTTTTGTCCCTTTCTTGTCTTTTTCTTGCCTTTTGAACTGTTCGATGACTCAACTGTTGTTCTCCTCTTGTAGTGGAGATGGTCTGACCCTTCCCAGAGTTCAGTGTCCCAACCACCCTGATGCCATACTGGTAGAGGACTACAGAGCAGGGGACATGATTTGCCCCGAATGCGGCCTTGTAGTAGGTCAGTATATACACTATGAACACCATGTGCACCTCTGCTTTGCTTTCAGTGTTTGAACACGTTATTCCTCTGCATTTTGGTTTCCTGTACTTGTTTCTTTCGATGTACATCACACATTTGAACTCTGTCATACTCGGATTATCAAAGTCATCAGCACACAGAGACTCTGAGGCTGTGAGTCTCAGCACACCTCTTCCTGAACCTGTTTGCTTGGTTTTGAGGTCACGGTATTTGAAATGATTCTGCGTGTGGTATGAACATCAGCTGAGTTGACAGGCTACATGAGCACACAGGTTCCCAAAGCGTGAAGCTAGATTCTGGAAAAACTAGCAGCAATAAATTCCTCTTTAGTGCCATTCAACCTGCCTCTGGATTCACAGCAGCACTGCCAGTGTTCTTCAGTTTTAATGTTGTATTCAGCTAGATAAGAAAAACATATTTTTTCATTTTGTCATGCAGAAACCATGTCTACCAACCCCAGTACAAGTGCACTAGATGGGGTAAAGATGAAAGAAAAGAAATTAACATCAGTTAAGCGTTAAACAAGTGATTAACAGCTATTTGTGCAATCCCAGCCTAGCCTAGTGTTTTAATCAACCTGTCATTTATCATCGAGGCACATAAAGGCAAAGATATTAAGCGTATGAGGCAAAAATTGAATCTGAACACGTGATGCAGACTGTAGGACAAAGCTGCAGGGAACACACGATTCTCCTCTAATGAGCCTCCTGAGCAGAGACCAGGTCAGGTGGGAGACGGGAGACGCCAGCCGCTGTCTGATGCAAGCTGAAGTGCCCTCTGTTCCTGCTCCCATAGCTTTGGCTGCCCTCTAAGGAGATGAATGTCACTTTGTCTCGAGATGTGAGAAAGACTTATGGATGGTAGAAAAAAAAAACCCTAACAGGATTAAAATATCAGAAATCTAATCCTCGACCCTGCTGCACAGCTCCAAGAACAGACAGTTATGATAACTAGCGATATGCCCTGCCTTTGTCACACTGTTTATCTCCTGCTTATCTCAGATTTGATGCAATTTAATGTCTGAACATTTGTTTAGATCATATTTTATTTCTGCCTCACAACATACAGTGATAAGACAGTGAGAAACAATAGAAGTAAGGGATGATGTGTGACATGTTTGAGCTTGATTCAGAGCACAGTATTGTAGTTAATCTTAAAGGTTGTCGACAGAATAAATCACATAATATTTACAGTATTTGAGTCTTGGATGATGGAAAATGTGTTTGCTTAAGGGAATTGTGTTGATATGGCACCATCTTCTGGTTAATTATTCTACAGGGATTTAATACAGCCAGACAGAAGAACACATTTGTAAATGCATTTTGTTTTTGTCTCCTCATTGTTTGGATGTCCAGAACTTGAAACAACTGTCACTTCTATCAAGCTACTGTGTCCTATTTCTGAAATTGGCTCTTCAGTGTTTGTTGTTAGGTTTCACTTCTCCTGTTTCAGTCCAGGAAGGAAGGAAAAAAAAAACTTGTTTTGGAGCAACAGGTGCAGCCATCAATGCACAAGATTGAAAAGCTGAAATTTAAAAAAGGGAACCAAGACGAATGTTGGTTGAAAGTGAACTGAATTTGGGGCGTCGGTAGCGTGGTGGATAGTGCCGGCGCCCCATGTACAGAGGCGATGCCTCACTGCAGCGGTTGCAGGTTCGATTCCGGCTTGCAACCCTTTGCTGCATGTCATCCCCCCCACTCTCTCTCTCTCTCTCTCTCTCTCTCCCCATTCCACACTGTCATATCGATTAAAGGCAAAAAGCCCAAAAAATAATCTTTAAAAAAAAAGAAAGTGAACTGAATTTGGTGTGAATGTGGGGCGTCTTAAAAAGTATTCAAACCAAAACTAAAGGACTGATTGTATAAAAAAAATGTACATTTCTTCTTTTAAGGGTGTCATTTTTTTTAATTCAGTCAAGGCTTAGTTCACACGTACATGGGTATTTTTTGTAAACCGTAACTTTTTCTAGGGGGTTTGACCTTTCCTCCACATACAAGCTGCGTTTTCGGTTGCTAAAAAAGGATCCTTTCCAGGGTAAAGATGTTCAGAAGTTCCCTTTTCAGTGTTGAAAGGGAAAACTGAGTTTTTGGCTCGTGATGTCAAAGCGTGCACCATTATCTCCTTTGTGAGGCGTCACAAATGAGGTGACATTTTGTGCAGTTGCAGACGTGACCAAAATAGTGCTGGTTTCAACCTTGCTTACATGACTTTTTACATGTTTACACAGAAGTGTACAGTTACTCTTCCACTATATTTAGGAACAGAGGCACTGCGGTGGCCCATTGCAGCCCGGTAGCTTTACAGTAATTGCTTTTTTCAGGCATCTGATTGGCCAATATCATTGTCTTCTTTGTGTGAATCTTTCATATCGCCAGCTGTGGGTTTAGCATGCTCTTGACAGTGCTTCAGTTGTGTTAGAGTGTTTGTGTAGACAGGATTTTTTTTGAAAATGAAGGAGGAAATAACTTGGACTAGGTTAAAGTTTGGATGCATTTTACTTTTAATACTAACTACGTTTTCTTTCATTCCTCATGTTGGTGCTTCGGCTAAAAACCATGTCACTAGTCTTAAAGATTAAAATAGGGGCACTCCATCAGAAATATTGTATTAACTCTAAATGGAAAGGAGCCTTAATGTTGTATTTGGGCAACAAATATATCAAGTCAAGCTTGTTACATTGACGGATTAAGAAATTAATCTTTCCATATTAATGAACCATATTTAGGTTTATTTCTAATTTATTTAATTCTCTTCAGGTGATCGTGTAATCGATGTAGGCTCAGAGTGGAGGACGTTCTCCAACGAGAAAGCCCTCAAAGATCCATCCAGAGTGGGAGACGCCCAGAACCCACTGCTCAACGGAGGCGACCTAACCACCATGATCAGCAAGGTATGAGGCGGTTGTGCTCGTTGTTCAGTTAAATTAAATTAGCCTTGTTGTCTGCATTTTTTCCCAAATTACAGTTGTCCCAACGTGCTGGTATTTTCAGCTCAAATGATTGGAAGGTTTTCAGAAGATATTTAAGCAACTTTGGTTTCCAGACTATTTAAATGAGGGCTTAATTTTCAGCACAAAGGAAGTGCGTCAACCATTGCGTAACCAAAACAGGTCGAGAACAGCGCTTTTGTTTTTCCTGAGTCACCAAAGAGTATCAAGAAACATTAGTGTCACTGTCTGTGAATGCCTACTGCAACCACAGTAAATCACGTCCTCAAAACTTCTTGTGTCATCTTTTGGAGTATGTCTGCAGTGAGTTTTACAGGTAAACATCCTCTGTTTCCTCCACAGGGAACTGGTGCTGCTAGTTTTGATGAATTCGGCAACTCCAAGTACCAGAACCGACGGACCATGAGCAGCTCTGACCGGGCCATGCTCAACGCCTTTAAAGAAATCAGCACCATGGCTGATCGCATCAACCTGCCAAGAAACATCATAGTAAGTAAAAAACAATTCTGAAACCTGATTCCGTAATGTGCTTTTGGAAAGATTATCCTAAAAGTGAAGCTAAGCAGTCAAAAAATGCTGTACCACTTTAAAGAGCCATGTCACATCACACTGAACACAAATGAAAGCCATGCATGTATGGGCAAAACATAGTGAGCGAGGGAACAAAAGAAATGAAGCTGAACTTCATGTGGTTAATTATGTAATTCTGTGGTCCGTCATTGAAGTGGAAACAAAACTGCAGACTGAAGTTTATGTGTGTGGGTTGAAGACACGTTCATCTGCATGTTCCTGTGTAAAAGGGGTTTACAACGTCTGCAGATGTGTTCATTTAGCTCGAGACGTTGCCTCAATAATCAACATAATGATGAAAATGGTTATTCATCAAATAAAAAGACAGAAACAGACTTAAAATGTGAATAGACTCTCTTACATACTGATTCCCAGTCCAGCATTTTAAGTAGTATTGGAGGCATTTTCAATACTGATACCAGTATCGAAATAACTGTTTTAAATAGACGTTCATTATTTGCTTTACAAAAACTGTAACAAAAACAATTTATTTTGGGTTCATGAAGACATGCACTATTTAATCCCCTTTGAAAAAAAACTTTAAACATGATTAAATTTGTGGAGACTGTCTTTAAGACTTTTTTTAAGAGGATTGCTTTTTTCCTGATAAAACTGTTTTTGCTCTGCAGGACAGAACAAACAACTTATTCAAGCAGGTTTATGAACAGAAGAGCCTGAAGGGGCGAGCCAACGATGCCATTGCTTCGGCCTGCCTCTACATTGCCTGCAGACAAGAAGGTGTGCCGAGAACATTCAAAGGTCAGAATAAAACATTTTATTTTCTTAGAAGAGTTTGAGCTATCTGCACAAAATCGATGATGCTTCTTAATGAATTGTAACAGGTAACGTAGGTCTGAATTTTAAGAAATGTCCATTAAATTCATGTGTGGCGGCCAAAAATTATTCACCTACTTGATTTTTTTTAGTTTCTCATGTTAAATAAGATAGGAAGTTATGGTTCGCTGAATTATTTATAATTATTTTCTCAACTCTGTATCGATGGACTGTCTGACTGGTACATTTGTCTTCATTTTCAGACAGTACAGAAAGAAATGGTGGATATATGATTATGTTATGTTGCTATACAACATATTCTTTGAAAACTGCTCTCACGTTTTCCTGGAAAAGTCACACACACATAACATCCTTGTAAGTGTTTCTCAATGGGATTAATCTGTGGTGTGTAGTATGCCACCATTAATGAAAGGCAGTTTAATTCCTGTCCCTTTGGTCTCAAAGAAGAAAATATCACAAACACATTATCAGGGGTGTATAGGTACACAGAATTCATGATTTGGTTCATAACCCAGGATAGGAGTCGTGGTTTAGTGCAAATTCGGTACTGTTATTTCTTTAGACAGATAGACATATTCTCTTGCTGGGGACTGAGGGAACAGTTTGCACACCGCCTACTTTGATATCTATTTTAATTATAAAAATGAGGAACAATTCAAACACTTCTGTATTACACTGTACGAGCACTGAACAAACGCTTTCTCTGAAGGCAACAGGACACATCAGGCTATTAAACTGAGAAGCACCTCTTATGAGATGAAACTGAAAATACCAAAATACATAGAAAAATAAAAAATAGAACTTGTGCATTAGGAGTCCCTACTTTTTATACAACTAAAGGATACACGATTGGTGAACTTGGTCTTGTGTAATTTTACTGTGACAGTCACAGTAGAGAGTCACATCAAAGAGACACATTTCTTCGATGTCACTCCATCTAAATGAGCTCCTCCCCCCAATCCCCTCTCCCTCCCTCCCTCCCTCCCTCGACAGAGATCTGTGCTGTCTCTCGGATTTCCAAGAAGGAGATCGGCCGGTGCTTCAAGCTGATCCTGAAGGCGCTGGAGACCAGCGTGGATCTCATCACCACCGGAGACTTCATGTCCCGCTTCTGCTCAAACCTCGGCTTGCCCAAACAGGTGCAGATGGCGGCCACCTTCATCGCCAGGAAGGCAGTGGAGCTCGACCTGGTGCCTGGCAGGAGCCCCATCTCAGTGGCTGCAGCAGCCATCTACATGGCCTCGCAGGCCTCCGCAGAGAAGAAGACCCAGAAAGGTACGTGACAGTGCTGTAATAAGAAAATATGTATTTCTAAGGATCTTAAGTTTTTCCAAATGGATCAAAAAAGTAGAATTCTGTCAGATTTTATTCCCACTTTGTTTGAATTTTTGAGCTACAAAAAAGTTTTTAAAACTCAGTAAGTTTCAGATTCTACACGATTCACTAATTGACCTTTATGCTTCCACAGAAATAGGAGACATTGCCGGCGTCGCAGACGTTACGATCAGACAGTCTTACCGACTCATCTACCCACGCGCTGCAGAACTCTTCCCTCCAGACTTCAAATTCGACACACCTGTCGACAAGCTGCCCCAACTGTGAAGACTTGATCCCGACACAGTGACGATATTTTTCTGCTGTACTTACAGGACTTTACTCTCCTTTTTTAAAAAAAAACATTTTTGTGTTGGATTTGGAAGATTTATCTGCTCCCTCCTAAGACGTCGAGCCTTCGTCACGGTGCTCCCTCGCAGGAATAAAAACGGACACATTCCAGTGCTTAAATAAACAGCTTTGCAGACTGTACTTACAGTATTTCATTTGCTTGTATATACTGTATCATGTATATATGTCCAAGTGGGAAAAAATGTAATTGATGCTTGCAATTTTAGGCCGGTTTCATACTGTATACATAAAACTTTGTTTTTGTAGAAAAATGACCTGGTTCTATTTTGTTAGTTTGTTTGAATTGTTCTAAGTAATTTAAAAAAATAAAATGAAATAAAAGACTTTCAGTAAAGCATGGTAATCAGCTCATGGTTTGAATAATATTAAACATTTGTTTACATAAAACCTGTTTTACTATCCAATCTTTTATAGAATGAATGTCTTTAAAAGAAAAAACTCCACAGCCTCAGTGAGCCATAAAGGTCCGGTGTGGGGGATTTAGTGACGCCAAGGGAGAGGTTGCAGATCCAAAACTTCTTGCGTGTGCCAGGCGTTGAAGAGAATTGTCGCTGATGTAGAGCCAGTGTTTGATTTGTCCATTCTGGGCTACTGTACGGACTCTGTAGACAAGGACCTGGTCTGTACGGAGATATAAACAGCTCATTCTGAGATAATGAAAACAATTCTTATTTTTGTGTGATTAAAACTGTTAAAAACAGTGATTATATTCCATTTCTGCCAACAGATGTCGCTAAATCCTGCACACTGGACCTTTTTTAAATGCGTCAAAACTTAAAATAGTATTCCACAAACGAAAGCAAAGTCACTATTACAAATGTTTAATTTGTGCATTCATGATGGGCAACAAATGACTGCAGAAATGCCTTGTCCTTTTTTTTTTTTTTTTTAAACACCAGGGTGAACAGTTAACAGTTGTGTGACTTGTATTGGTGTACCATCCATAAAGTTTTCATCTGTTCTGGCGACAACATGCACAAGCAAAGAATAAAAAAAAAAAAAAAAAACTTTGTACAATCTATTTTCATCATTAAGAAATGTAGATAATTAAAAACTATTGATAAAATTAGTGCTTTCAGCTTAATTGTGTACATACAGTATGTATATATAATATACCCTGCCCTCCCCTGTAGTGATTCAAATCAACAGGTCTCCGACATTTGAGTCGGTTTATATACGACATGCAAACTGACGAGAGTGTCATTGGCTGGTTCCTCTGCGTCAGACTGAGACATGTAACTGATCACAGAACAGTGTGGGAAGCGTTTCAACTGCATTTTGACGGAAACCTCGAAAAGATGAGGTTCATATGTTCCCAAAACAAAAACAGCTCAGCACTTGTTTTATGGATTTCTGCACATAACATCTTCATCTGTCAGCCCATCATCAGATTGTTTTAAACCATGAGAAGCTGTTTGTCTGCTGCTTCAAGAGGGACAGGATCAATTTGGTTTTGGTAGCTTTTAACTGTGCGACTCACTTAGTGTTTGTACTTAGACTGAGGTAACGAGAAAACATGCTGTCAGGTTCACAACCAACTGTCAATGAGGAATAAAAAACCCAAAAAACTTGAAGTGAAATCCAGCTGAACTCAGGTATGAAAACATTATTGCTCCAAAAGATGCTGCGATACTTTAGATCTTTAACTGAGCTCAGCTGAATATCGACCCCAAGCTACAGAGCCACTAGAGGGCATCAGACAGAGAAAAATATTTAATATTTCATCAGTTCTTCTGGTCTTAGTGACCAGCTCATTTCAAATAAAACTAAGATGCTGGTTAATTCATCTGCTTAAGTAGCATTAACACTGGATGGACTGCCTTTTTACACTAGAGAGAGTCATTATTATTAACCTGTTGGTTCTTGTGTGCAGACATGGAAGCAACATGAGAGAGAAAAGAGTTATTAACAGGTTGTGAACAAAGATCAAGCCCCGAGACAAAAACAGAAATGTAGTGTTACTTTGATTTCAAGTCAAGAAGCAGCAGTAGTAGTCAAGATGGTTGTTGTAGTTGATCGCTCAGTGAGAACACTTTGAACACTTCAAACTCACTGAACACCCGGCAGAAATGTCAAACTTTACAGTGAGATAAAATGTCCATATAAGGATAGTTCGGATCGTTTGAAGTGGGGTTGTATGGGGTACTTATCCATAGTCAGTGAATTATACTTGTAACATACTGCTGTGGTTGGGGGCAGCAGCATAACGTATTTTAACCACCTAAGAAAAATCATTATTTAGAGTATTTTCATCACTTTACCTTGCTGTCAGACGGTGATTTCCAACTGGAACTGAAGGTGCCAGACTCCATTGAGAAAAACAGCAATTTAACACCAGGGATTACAGGAGCTGCTGGTCGACTGCTGCCTTGATTGGTTCCTTTGCTTGTGTCATCGTGTGACTTTGGCATGTTAAAGTGATTCACCAAAGTCGCACGATAACACAAACTAACTAACCAATCAAGGCAGCAGTAGACCAGCAGCTCCTCTGATCAGTTAGCTAAAATGACTGATTTATCAATGGAATCTGGTGGCTGTGACAAGAGTTAGGTTTACCTTCAGTTCCCCGTCAGAAAGGCCTGTGTGATGGCAGGTAAAGCTGTGAAAATATTTTAAATGTAGCGTACACTTTGAATAAGGTGTCCTTCAACCTACATTTGCAGCTGCCCACGTCCACAGCAGTGCATTGCTTATCTTCTGTTATCCACTCTACGTAATACTCTGACTACAGATAAGTACCTCATACAGCCCCGCCTTTAAAAAATCTGAACCATTCCTTTAACCTATGACGAGGGCTTTGCAAATAAAGAATGAAAAAGCACAACAATAAAATATACGACTGAATATAATCTGTACAGATCAATAAACTGAAGACAGTGACACTGAATAACATGATTGTGATGTTGCCGTCTTCTCAAGAGTTCATATGAAAAACATTCTCAGTGGTCAGACAATGGACACGACGACGACGTGTGCAGGAGGACAAAGCATCCCTCCTCCTTCACTCTCCAACAACAGAGTTTCATTTGTTTTTTCTTAATAAAAAAAAAAAAAAAAAGTTCTTCATGTGGATTAAAAAATAAGTGGGGGTCCTCTGGAGGCTTCTGGACTTTCTCCTCAATGGCACAGAGTTTTTGCCCGAAGGCTCGGGGAGCCGTGTTCGTTGCTCCTCCTCAACATTTTGGGCAAGGAAGAGTTTTAAAAATGATGTGAGCTACAGTCTTTGCTGTGTTGGTTCACAGTGTGTGTATGTATGTGTGTGTATGTGTGTGTGTGTGTGTGTGTGTGTAGATGGGGGTCAGGGGAAGCTAACACCAGTCGGCGATGTAATCAAAGTCAGAGAACATGTTCTGCTCGTCGGAGTTCAGCGGTCGGGGTTCCCTGGGCGGGGTCAAGATCGGAGCCTCTGAGGTAAATTCATCATCGAAGTTGCTGACGTCGTTGGCGCCCTGAATAGTCGGCACGAACGGCGGCTTCACCTTCTTAGCCAACAGTCCGTTCCAATCCATGTTCTGCCAACAAGCAGAGACGGTCACATTAGTGTTTGTTTTGAAATTACAAAGTGATTGTGCAAATTGCGTTTTCATTCCTTACCCTGAAGAATAGATGTTTCTTAACCTCCTCTGCGTCCCTTTCTCCTGCTCCCAGTCGTCGTTCTGGACTCCTCCTCAAGAGCTGAGCACAAGGAGGAGCATAAAACACAGTAAATATTAAAAGTAGTCTCACTCACAGGATGTAGACTGAGCATATGAGCCTGCTGTTGCAGACAGAGGTTTCTTCCACTTCTGCCATGTTACAGTTTTCAAACCCCCGTCACTACAAGAAACTAGTCTCACATAGCCAGACCTATCTCCACACTTTGTTTTAGCCTTAGATACAGAATGAATAGAGAGGACACTAACCTCTACCAGCAAGGCAACAGAGTTTGGTATTGAAAACCTTACCCTGGTGAGTTCACGAGTTTGCTGCAGGTTGGTTTGTTCTATGAAAAGTGAGCCCGCTACAATAATTTCAGTGTCAACAGTACACATGAAAAGGGCTGCCACTCTTCTCTGGCCATTGTCTTTTGCAGGGTTTTAGCCATTTTAATGACAGTACTCGCCTCCCCATGTGCAAATGTTCCACCAAAGCAAGTTCCATTCCAACACTATTTTAAAAGAGCACTGTCGCTGCATCCTGGGTTTAGTGCTGCCCAAAACTAATGTGATAAAGAAGTACAACACAGTGTTTTTAGCTTTACTGTTCAATTAAGCCAGACCTTCTCCAGCACTGGCACAGCGCTAACACAAATTGTGGAGATAAGTCTGGCTATGTGAGGCTAATATCAAGGTGATGCACAACCAGGAACACACACACCATTTACTGGGTGAAATCCTCTCATTCTCTACACAGCGAGGATTCATCAGGAGGGAAATACAAGCAGAGTCTGAACGTGTGATTATTCAGTTGTTTAGAATTTCTTCCTTTTCATTCTATCTCTACACACCCTTCTCATGATGGAGATGGCCTCTGTCGAGAGGAACCGTGGGTAGCGGACTTCATCGTTGACAATGCTGTCAAACACCTCCTCCTCATCGTCTCCGGGGAAGGGTGACTGAAAAGAGACGTGCCAAGATGAAAAAGTTGGAGACATGACAAGTGCAGCTGAATGTGAATCACTGATATTCAGCATGAATTAAAGGCATGATAATGTGCAGCTATGTAACATTACTGGATGTTTTGTAAAATCATCTATGAATCACTGATCATATTGAAAACCTGCACTCACCTCCCCAACCAGCATCTCAAAGATGAGGACACCCAGCCCCCACCAGTCCACAGCACGAGTGTATGACGTCTCAGTCAAAACCTCAGGCGCTAGAAACTCTGGCGTGCCACAGAACGTGCTGGTGCGGTCCCTGAAACCCATTCCTGAAAGCAACACACATGCAGTTTAATAAAGGACCAGACCTCCTAAAACTATCAACCCCTTCCTATTAGGGCTGGGCCATACTGACAAAAATTCATATCTCTGTATTTTCTACGAAATATGCTACATGTTCAGCTGCAGGTCAAAGCCACATTTGAGATGTCACAAGTGCTTTTATAAAAACAGACTGATCAAAATAAAATGCAAAGACAGGGATTTTATTCCTGTTTGAAAATATGCAGCTGCAAAACATGTAAATGAAAATGATATAAAATAAACAGCAGGGCTGTACGTTAACGTTTTTGCACACAGCACTGGAGCTACAGAGGTTTAAAGATTTGCAGCACAGGACACAAAACTATGTCTAGGCCTAAATCCATTGTAGTTTGAAACAATTAATCTTTGCGGGGGGAGTTAAGTAAAGTTTTTCATGGCCTTTCAAATGAATCTAGTGCTGGAAAATGATTTTAATCTTTTCATTTATTTAGGCTATTAATCTTATTTATGCACAGAACATCACCAGTGAGGCTGAGGGAGAAAAGGAGCCAGAGACACTTTGTCCGCGTTATATACAGTACAGGCCAAAAGTTTGGACACACCTTCTCATTCAATGCGTTTTCTTTATTTTCATGACTATTTACATTGTAGATTCTCACTGAAGGCATCAAAACTATGAATGAACACATGTGGAGTTATGTACTTAACAAAAAAAGGTGAAATAACTGAAAACATGTTTTATATTCTAGTTTCTTCAAAATAGCCACCCTTTGCTCTGATTACTGCTTTGCACACTCTTGGCATTCTCTCCATGAGCTTCAAGAGGTAGTCACCTGAAATGGTTTTCCAACAGTCTTGAAGGAGTTCCCAGAGGTGTTTAGCACTTGTTGGCCCCTTTGCCTTCACTCTGCGGTCCAGCTCAGCCCAAACCATCTCAATTGGGTTCAGGTCCGGTGACTGTGGAGGCCAGGTCATCTGCCGCAGCACTCCATCACTCTCCTTCTTGGTCAAATAGCCCTTACACAGCCTGGAGGTGTGTTTGGGGTCATTGTCCTGTTGAAAAATAAATGATCGTCCAACTAAACGCAAACCGGATGGGATGGCATGTCGCTGCAGGATGCTGTGGTAGCCATGCTGGTTCAGTGTGCCTTCAATTTTGAATAAATCCCCAACAGTGTCACCAGCAAAACACCCCCACACCATCACACCTCCTCCTCCATGCTTCACAGTGGGAACCAGGCATGTGGAATCCATCCGTTCACCTTTTCTGCGTCTCACAAAGACACGGCGGTTGGAACCAAAGATCTCAAATTTGGACTCATCAGACCAAAGCACAGATTTCCACTGGTCTAATGTTCATTCCTTGTGTTTCTTGGCCCAAACAAATCTCTTCTGCTTGTTGCCTCTCCTTAGCAGTGGTTTCCTAGCAGCTATTTGACCATGAAGGCCTGATTGGCGCAGTCTCCTCTTAACAGTTGTTCTAGAGATGGGTCTGCTGCTAGAACTCTGTGTGGCATTCATCTGGTCTCTGATCTGAGCTGCTGTTAACTTGCGATTTCTGAGGCTGGTGACTCAGATGAACTTATCCTCAGAAGCAGAGGTGACTCTTGGTCTTCCTTTCCTGGGTCGGTCCTCATGTGTGCCAGTTTCGTTGTAGCGCTTGATGGTTTTTGCGACTCCACTTGGGGACACATTTAAAGTTTTTGCAATTTTCCGGACTGACTGACCTTCATTTCTTAAAGTAATGATGGCCACTGGTTTTTCTTTAGTTAGCTGATTGGTTCTTGCCATAATATGAATTTCAACAGTTGTCCAATAGGGCTGTTGGCTGTGTATTAACCTGACTTCTGCACAACACAACTGATGGTCCCAACCCCATTGATAAAGCAAGAAATTCCACTAATTAACCCTGATAAGGCACACCTGTGAAGTGGAAACCATTTCAGGTGACTACCTCTTGAAGCTCATGGAGAGAATGCCAAGAGTGTGCAAAGCAGTAATCAGAGCAAAGGGTGGCTATTTTGAAGAAACTAGAATATAAAACATGTTTTCAGTTATTTCACCTTTTTTGTTAAGTACATAACTCCACATGTGTTCATTCATAGTTTTGATGCCTTCAGTGAGAATCTACAATGTAAATAGTCATGAAAATAAAGAAAACGCATTGAATGAGAAGGTGTGTCCAAACTTTTGGCCTGTACTGTACGTCTTGTATATGAAACCTCCATGTTTTTAAGCACATCTGTTGTCTTCATCCAGGCGCTGTCTCACTGTCACACATTAGACTACAACTACCAATAGGAACAGCAATGTGCCATAATCCACCTCACACACAAACTAGCAGCGCAGCACTGGATTGCACATGTGCTGCGGTAATTTCATTCATCTGACAGACTGATTTAGCGTAGCACGTGCAACATATAGACCGATGTCGCACTGTAGACTAATTAACAGACAGATTAAAGAGAGGAACAGCTCTGTGTCTCTCTTGATGATGCTGGAGACCTTCTGAGTGATTGAGTGGGGCGAAGCTGTGCAGAGAGGGTGAGAGAGGAGACATGCACACTGGTATGTAGGGATGCACCGAATATTCAGTAACCGAATATATTCAGCCGAATATTGCAAAAAACACACATTCAGTATTCGGTGGAATAAGTTAAAAGCAAGGCCGAATAATAGCAGCGTATTTTGATAACGCAATCAAATAGCGTGCCGTGACGGGTGGAGTAAAATGTCGGCAGTGTGGCGATCCGTCCGTCACCGCACTCGCATTTGCAACTGAAAATAGTTTTGAGCGAGCAAAATAGGCTTAAATCATTCAACACGCTGTGCGAGTACAGATTTCAACCAGCAGCAGAAACGAAAGGCGAATCCCACCGGTTGTGGGTTGAACGGGGGTCACAGACACAGACAGTAATGTATTCCTGTCAATTACGGCGGCCATCGGCTTACCAGCGAAGAGAAGTCGGCTCCAATAATATCCTCTTCTTGGCGTCATGACTGCCCAGAAGTACCTGAACAGCTGAGCCAGCCAAACACAGGTATGTGACGTGTCAGAGGAGGAACGAGCCTTTCACGGTCCACAAACCTCACCGCACTTTAGGGACTGTTCGTTACTTATGAAGGGACTTGTCAGGGGAGGAGGGTGGCTGGTTGATTATTATTTCATTTATTTATTTTATTTTGATCCCCCCTATGTTAATCACTAATTGATGCTGTTTTTGAAGTATGAATAAGTCAATAAGTAATTTATTCCATTGAAATATCATTGATGTATTATAGAAAAGTGATTTATCTTTTTATAAATGACAAAAGGCACATCTGCCTCATTTTCACTGTGGTATCGTGATACTATTCAGAACCATGATATTTTCATTGGTATCGTACAGTGGGATCCAATTTTGGTACCGTGACGACACTAATCTGGAGGGGGTTCATCTGCAAAAACTAATGAAAAACTAAACAACGAAATTAGGTATTAGGTACTCGGTATTCGGCCAAGCGCTTAATATTATTCGGCTTCGGCCACAAATTTTCATTTCGGTGCATCCCTACTGGTATGCGTTATGTAACGCAACTTGACTATATCGATATAAAACTGTGTTGTCTAAATCTATATCTTTGAAAATATATCGATATATCGTACATAGTGGCTATATCACCCAGCCCTACTTCATATTAATCCTTGTTTGGGCACATCAATATTCCCAGGGCACCAGTTTTTATCTTGAAGCTACAGGATATTGGTCAATTGCAACATTCTTGTTTAATCTTGAACTATAAAGCCTTCAGTGTAATTCTTTCCTAATTTACCTTCTTTGCAAAGCCCAAAGTCAGCAATCTTCACATAGCCCTCTGTGTCCAAGAGCAGGTTATCCAGCTTCAAATCTCTGCAAATTAAAAAAAAACAAAAAAACATTTTTGCAGATGTCATGCTCTGGACAGATGTGGGACTGAATCAAATGGCTGAACATGAGTCAAAACTGCTTACCTGTACACAATCTTATGGTCATGTAAGAACTGCAATCCCAATACGACGCAGGCTGCATAAAATCTGCAAGTGAATAAAACACATGGCGTATTAGGTTATATGAGTTTTACTGAAGAACACAGTGAGGGTACAAGAGGAATAAAAGTATCACACACTGAGGAAAAGTTTTTGGACAGATCATGTAAAAGCCAGTAACATTTGGACACTCACACGGCCCTGGGCTCGGAGAAAACGTCAGCATGGATGTGCATCATCAGGTCGCCTCCCGCTGCGTACTCCATGACAAAACAAACATGCTCCTGCGTCTGGAAACACGCAAACAGGTTGACCAGGAACGGGTGGCGGACACTGTTGACCGTTTCAAAAATCCTCTTCTCACACATGAGACTGGAAAAAAAAGAGACTGAGTCAGTTACAGTGATTTATAGACGCCCACGTCAACTCATGACTACTCCACTAACAAACATAATTTCCTTTCCATTTCCAAAAGGAGCCCTGCAGTGTTTCTGGCAGAGTCTGAAGGAAACTTTAAATGTTTACCTGTCCACCTCATCCCGAGCCACAATGTCTCCTTTCTTCAGCGCTTTGATAGCAAACATCTCTCCTGTGCTTTTATATTCTGCTAACAACACCTGAGGAGGGGAGAAGAGGAGAGACACACTTCAGAGAAATTACACCACCATTTAAAAGTTTGGAATCATCTGCTATAGTGATGCTTTTCTTGAATAATGTCTACTTTAATAGGAATAAAAACAGATTAAGTCAGACACCAAATGTATTATTTACATTTGAAATAGTTTGGGCCTGCCAAAGGGTCCAATACGGGCCTCTAGATGACTTAGCACACCTATGCACACATGAAGGCTGAGAAGTTTCAGGACCAATTTAAAAGTGAGCAGATACTTCATGTGAAATACTACCTCAGAGGCTTTTCAACCTGACTAGAATAAAGCTCTCTGAAATAACAATGAATACTTTCTGTGGTCATATTTGAAGACTGGTCCGGCCCACTTGGGATCAAATTGAGCTGTATGTGGCCCCTGAACTAAAATGAGTTTGACACCCCTCTCTAAATATTGAGTGCCTGTTTTTTCTTTGGCCCTCTGCAGTCTATTCAGGGGTTAGATTGAAGAGGTTTAAGCTGTGATCTGTCAGTCCATAGTCTGTCAGCTGATATTCCAACAGCGCTTACCATAGACTAACTTTCTATTACTGTAAAGTCTGAAGACTAGCTTTGCTAAAGCAACACGTTGCCTGTTAATTCCAGCTTGTTGAAGTAATTATTGTGCACTTGACACTGACATAGGAACCTGCTTCTATTTAACCTATCTAACTAAGCTTCCAATTTCTTTAACCAATGACTGCTGATTTCCTCTGTTGTTGTTGAACTGTTGCCCAGAGGTATGTCTGAACAGTATGTAGAGGTAGGTTCATCTCTTTCTGCTCTTTCATTCTTCAGTCTGGTTATACAGCATTTTGTTCTCCAAGTACAAAACAAACCCATTATACAAATTTACATCTATCTGAAGAGAGCACTTTCTGATGGGTAAGTAATATTTCAAGCAAAAAAGCAAACAGTTCCCAGGTCCAGCTTCTGAAACATGAGGATTTGATACTGATCGTTGTCATATAAGAGAGTATACTAAAATATTTGGATTTTTGACTGTTTGTCACATAAAATGAGCAATTTTAAGATGTCACCTTCAGCCTTTGGAAATTATGATGAGCATGTTATACTACTTTCTGGCATTTTTAGACAAAACAGTTAATAAAAGAAAGTAGCAAACAGATTCCTTGATAATGGAAGTAACTGTATGTTGGATGATCAAGTGAAACGTACCTTTCCAAAGTGACCACGTCCCAGGACCGCCACACATTTGAAGTCCTGGAGACTGAAGTGGAACTGCTCTTCTTCCCTGGAGAATGATGAGTGTTTACATGAGCATCCATTTTAAGATAAACATAGAGAAACCTGCATAAAGTTGATGGTTTGTATACAGAACCAGTGAGCAGCAGACTCCATGTTCATGCTGCACATATAAAGATTCAAAGCCAGGGGGCAGTGTTTACACCTGGTATATTTCAGCTCCACTGAACACTGGGATGTCAGATAAGACTGAGCAGACCTTGAAAGGATGTCAAGATCTGTGACAACAATGGTAATACTGTTGGCATGTTGCCAGCTAAATGTGGGTTTTTACAATCTGTGCTTTATTGTTGTTGTTGTTGTTGTTGTTGGTCCCTGTCTTCACAGTTTGGAATTCATTAACATAACAACAGAAAAAACTGTATTCTTCCCTTCTCAAATAAAAGACTCTACTTGGAGCAGCATAACAGCAGCCAGACCCTTCACCTCACAGATTCCTCTCTTTATTTAACCTTTACTTTAAATGTTCCTGAAGCTTTTGAAAGTAACACAGAACAAGCCAAGCGCCCAGCCCTCCTACCTTATCTCTGTTTCTTTCTGGATGGAAATGAGCTCCAGGTCTGGATGCTGCATCTCCTGCTCCACCGCTCGGTCCAGGTCTGGCCTCACCGCAATGCTGTTCCTCTTGTTCAAAAAGTCAAATGAGGCGAGAGCGTCCTGCAGAGAGGCGAGACAGAGCAGGAGGAAAGACAAAGTGAATAAATGTAAAATAGGGAAATCGTTAGGTTTTGGTCAGCTAGAAATGAGTTATGAGCTTTTAACCATTATTTATTATTGTGAAAATTCTAGTTTCAACTGTTGTGTCTTCATAATATTCACAGATACGCTTTGATAATCACATAATAAGATCTGCATGACTATATTCATCTCCAGGGACAGAATTATAATGGAGAGAATATTTTTATTCAAATCAACTGCACCTGTACTTCCTCCTTGTCGGGCATCTTGTCCTGCACCAGGGGCTCTTGGCTGTCATCAGGTGCTGGGTAGTGTTTGGGTCCTGGGGTGGGCTCTTTGTCAAAGTCGAGCTTGGTCACCAGTGGGTCACTGTGCATGGACAGAATCTATAATTAACACCTTGTCCTCTTCATAGTTTCAGAGTGAGCTGCTGATTATTTGCTTAGTTGATGTGTGTATGAGTATGTGAGTACCTGCAGGGTGTGGGTGAACCAGGCAGGCTGCTGGGCCCAGTCTCAGCCGCCTGCGGGCTGAAGGAGTTAGTGCTGACAGTTGGTATGGCTCTTCTAACAAGGCGGCCCCAGGTGGCGATGTTGATATTCATCTGAGGGGCTCGCAGGAAGGTTTTACCTGATAAGAAAGAGACAAATGAGACAAAGAGCAAAGAGAAGACATTTTTTAAAGGACAGTGAGAAACATTTATAGGAGAAAAACAATGAACAATATCATCTACCCCTTTCTTTGGCCACATTGCAACTGATTTGGTAAATGTCAGGGAAGACGAATAATGCATTTACTGACTCAAGAGCCAGAATATCAACATTATTAGTTACATGTCTGTTTTAACAGATGTACATTTCTATGATGTTTCTCTGACAACCACAATAGTACACTTTGAATAAGTGTGAGTTGAATGTTGACTCACCTTGCTGCTTTGAGAATATCTTCTTTTGTCTTTGCAGCTTTGGTCGTCTCTCAATGACAGGATTGAAAAATGTTACCTGAACAAGAGAAATTAAAATTTAGACAACAGCTGGTACAACTGCAGGTAAATGAACATGTTGAATTAGCATCGCAGACGACTGATTGGCAGTTCAGCTCAGCGCACGAGAAGAGGAAAGGGGAAAACGACTTCAGTCAAGAGGTCATGAGATCAAAACAAACATGTTATATAAAGTAAGATTATGCAGAAACAGTTTGTGATTGAGTTGTTGTTTGCTGACACACAGTAAATATCCTTTTTTCGTGTTGTTAATGTGCAGACTAGCATCTTCAATCCGTCCTGCTGGCTTTCTGGTATCCCTTTTTTAACGACAAACACAGACTGCTGCCGCCTGCTGGTATGGAGACTTGTTTCCTCTCACGCAGGTGCAGAACATACGTGGTAGTTGGTCTTTGGCTGTAGTCTTTGCGGTGTGTTCAAGTGCAACTTTTTGGCGGCAACACAGCGACATGAGACGACAAAACAGTCAGCCTTCATCGCCACTAGTTCTTTGATGTTGATGGGGTTTTTTTTAAACCTTAATATTTATTAAATTTTTTCAATTATTCAATTAACAAAACATCGGGGGGGAGGACTACTGCCTTCAGTTAACAACTTTTTGATGCATGTCTTAAAAACAGCTGACTAACACCTCATTTCTCTTATAGTCTGTCCATGCTGTCCTTGCTTTAGTCCTTGAGTGAAAGGTCAGTTTTTCAGTAGCACATAGTTCCTTTACAATGGCTGTCAATCCACTGTCTTGGAGTTGGAGGGTCCTGTTTCAGCCAGTTCCTGGTAATGGCCTTTTTGCATGCTAGTGTAAGGGTTTTGAACAGATAAGTTTCTCTCTTATGAATAATGTCCTTAAGTATTAATCCTAAGTATACAATCCGTGGGTCGCTTAGGATCTTGTAACTTAAACTCCCTCAAGAATAAGAATAATATTATCCCATAATGTTTGTAGTTTCATACGTGACCAAAATATATGTGAGTGATTTGCCTGCCACCAGTCTCCAGCAGTGCTGTTGTTCGCCTGATTGTATGTGTTTTGTATATGGTGTGATTTAAAAAAAAAAAAAAAAAAAAATCAAATTATATTCTTCAGCCAAGTCTTTGATGTTGTTTTTTTGTGTCTGGGCCATAAGATGTATCATGATTCTGTCTTGGAAATTCAAAAGCCAATTCTCAACATTATGATCGCCTGTAAAAATAAAAAAATACAAGGCTGTATGTTTGTTACCACTAAATCAACTGGATGGTGAAACGCAATGGAAGTAAACACGTTGTTTACATGTTTAATTTCTGTCCATTATGGTACCCAGGAGCTTTTCAATGTGACCTGTCAACTGTCACCGATGAAGGACAAGAACAATAATGTGAGTGTGAGAGTGTGTACCTCGGCAAACAGCATCCCCTGTGGCTCTAGGTACAGACACATCCCATGACGCTGGTTGTCCAGGAAGTCCTCCAGCCGCAGGAACTTGACAGCGCAGAGCGAGCGCCAGTCACGCCAGTACACCGAGATCTCCAGCTCACGAGACTACAGGACAGAGCCCAACACACACACACACGCGCCAAACAGACACACACATACACAACAAACAGATGTGAAACACACCGACTGTGTTGCCCAAACACAACACTGAGTCAACAGCACAGATGTAGGTCAAGGGCAGAAGTGTGTGTGTGTGTGTGTGTGTGTGTGTGTGTGTTGTTACCCGGTCTAGCTCCAATGTAAACTTCTGGTCCCAGGCCTGGTTGCTGACCGGCTTCCAGCTTGTTTGGCCGACTACTGTGTTGTCCAGCTTCAACACAGCACTGATCTCATCTGAGGAAACGTGCACGTTATTTATTAGGCACTGATGTATTAACAATGCTCTGACTGTGACTGTAATCCAGTCTGTAACAGACAAGGTCTTTTCTCTGGGCAGTCTCACGGGTCAGTTATGGTCCAGTTGTGATTTATTCTTTACGAAGTTAACTATTACAGCACAACTGGTTTTCAGTATTTACTGAATTGCAGACAGTGTATGGGTCAGATCTACTCACTGGAGAGCTCTTCGCTCTTTGTCAGGTTCCTTGAGCTCACGCCGCGGTTTCTGTTTGCTCGGCTGATGAAGGACGAGCGCGTCTCGCTGGGGCTCCAGCCGGGCAGCGGGACAGATGCAGCTTTGGAACGACCCGGGACATTTTCCAGAAGGTCCTGACAGCCCATGAGCCTGACGTCTAACGTGCCTGGAAGTGAGGTGGGACGATACACATACACATATCACACAATCTGTCTTGATATCCAAGTCTTTTGTAATGTTTAAAAGCAGGTGGGGTTTTCTTTTGGGCATGTATCTCTACCTCAGCATTGCAAAGTGTTGGCTGTGTAAGCATATTGTGAATGTACTGTTTACATGTCCAAAGAATGCTCCAAAAAATGGCAGCATGTCCCATGTTTTAACCAGAAAATGCTACACTCTAAGTAAGGCATAATTCAGAATATCCAAACAGAGTATGCTGTTCACACGACCACTATCAAATTCAGAATACTGCCATATTTGGAATATTAGTGTGCACGACAACATAGTCGCTGTGTCTTTACCTGTAAGTGCAGCGGGCTTAGTCACGGTGCTATACTGGTTCTGTGTGGAGATGATGCTGGATCGGGGACTGAGGACCGGTGAGGACAGCAGAGACAGCTCTTCCACGATGCTGCTGCTGCGAGGGTGGTTTTTAGGCAACTCGCTGAGGCGTTGCTCCAAGGAATATCGCAGGAGGTCGAGCTTTTGACTGGACTCATTAAAACGAGCCTGAGCCTGGAGAGAGAAGGACGGAAGGAAGTACACATGAGGCAAAGGAGGGTGGGAGGGAAGGAAATAGTAGAGGTGGAAATGAGTTAGAGAGGGATGGAAAGAGACAGACACATTGATTACACGGTCCATTTTGCTTTAAAGCTCACAAAACTGCATCATGTGTAAGGTGATGAGTATCTTGTTCCTGCTTGTTTTAAATCTGGGCACGGGGGGTAGAGGATGTGAATTTAATACGGATATAAACTCACAACTATGCATCACAAACATCCTCAACACACCTCTGAATGTGCTCTCTTTTCTGTGACTTTTCCCGAGCCCAGCAGTTTCATGACATTCTTGGCTCCCTCTGCCACAGCAGACTCAATCTTGGCGTGGTGACACAGCTCCTCCACCCGAAGGTCCAACGGGCTAATGATGGGCTTGTCTGGAGGACAGGGAAGGACACGATACTTTAATTTAGACATAATTGTTCATAAGACCTTGTGTGCACCCGCAGAGGCATTATCTCTTTAGGAGTCACGCTGGCTAATTCTAAATCGATCACTGAGTTCAAGTGAAGGCTCACCCATCACGTCATTGCTCTCGAAGCTCAGCTCGCTGGCCTGGCTGGCCTTGAGGATCTGCATCCTGATGAACTCTATCTTCGTCTTGCTGTCCTGAAGCATCTGCTGGGCAGTCGCTAGCAACTTACGATCCTGTGGGAAAAAATTAGAAACAATACGATCACTGTCTGTTGGTGGGGAAATATCGCCATACATCAACACACTTTAATAAACATTAATGTTTGAATCAAAAGATTTTAATAATGTTTTGTCTTTCAAGCAAAATAACTGGACTTCACAGATGACCCTAATTGCGCACCGTCCCTCGTCACTTATTGTGTTTGGTTGTTGTGAGCATTAAACACAAACACTTCAGTTCATGCCCTTAATTGGAGCCAAAGACCGAGTGACCACATGGAAAATCTTATTCATCAAAAAAGAAAGTTAGCGGAATCTCATTGTGTGTTGTAATTGCTGACCTTCTCATACTTGCCAACACACACATGCACACACACACACAAGAGTGAAGTAAGCAAACTCCACCCAGAATTCCTCTGAAGTTAAAATCCTGGTTGTTGATGGCGCCGCGCGCAGGAAAGACCTCTGTCCAGCAGGCATTTCCTCTCTGACATCAGGACAGGACTATTTCCAGCTGGAAGGTGCCTCCGTCTGTCTGTCTGTCTGACTGACCGGGGAGGTCACAGTGTTTTGTAAGCGACCTCCCCTGGACACACAGAGGAACCTTCCAGTCAGTGGGGAACATGAGGCCGTTTTCATTCAGGTTTACTGTACTACAGCTACACACTGAAGCTCTGCAGGTTCCTCTCGTTTCCAAACCAAACACAAGATTCAAAGACCTTTTATATTATAAAGTAAAATTGATTTCCTTGAAAATGAAGGCTCGATTTACGGCAGAGAGGAAGTGAGTCAACCATAGTGTAACTAAAACAGGAGGAGGATAGCGCTTTGTTTTCCCCAGCAACTATCAGTAGCTATTAGAGGTCCACTGACTCATCGGTTGCGCTGATTAATCAGCGCAGATAGGACTTTATATAACTACCGTTAATGGCGAAACAGGGCTCCGATACTGGCCAATGGCTGTACCCTCCACGGGTCACATAAGCACAACCATAAGGCTTTTGCACAGAGCACCCCACAACCAAAGTGAAGGTTATGCGTGCTTTAGATACTTTGTATGATTGAAATGACAGTGAACCAATGTAGGACAACTTTACTTCTTTATTAGGGGCGTAACAAGTTTGCTTGTTATAGAATAGCATTACGTGCTATCTCTGTTTTGCTAACCAGCATGGTCGGTATAATTTCGCTAGAATTAAGTAGCAAGCCTCCCACTAGCAATATGTGTGAAATTAATTTCTGATAATCTGAACGACTATTAACTCATCATTTGCTTCAAGACCGGGAGGGGCCAGCACTCAGTACGCTCCAGCCACAAATGCAAATAAAACATAAAAAGTTGTCTGTTTCCACTTTCAGAAAAAGTAATGCCTACACACTTACTCCACACCACAAAAATGTAAGATGTTTTGAATTTGATTTTTTTTAAGGGTGTTTAGACCCAATTTCTGTACTTGTTGACTGATAAACGGAATGATGAATTTGATGTAATGTTTTATAGTTTCATATAACTAATTTTTGAAGTATGGCTTTTGTATTACTATTTCTTTTTTTGTATTTTTTATGTACTTGTACTGAATTGTTTCTTATTTTTTTTGGTTACTAGTTTTATCACCCCAGGGTGTTTCAGCACACCTGCCATTATAGATCTCGTCAGCCTATTGGAGTGCATTATGTATAAATGCAGGTGTGGTTTCCACTTCTCAAACATTTTGACCTGACAAACATCCAAGTACGTTCGAAATGTTGAGTGTTTTTATAGACTCTCTTCTAAGTGTAAAATATTAACTGATGACATGTTTATATACATAATACTTGAGGAACCTTTGTAAGTCCTATGAAAGTTTTTCCTGTCTTTTATACACTTTATAAATATTTCAACTTTATATATACATTATGACTTTGTTGTCCGCTCACACATATTGTTTTTGTCCTTTTCTCCATACATATCTTAATTCTGTCATTTTCTGCCACTTTATGTGCAGGTTTGTCACAATATATAACAATTCCTATTTCATTTCACTGTCGTTTCCTTTCTATTTATTTGGCATTGAACCTTTTTTCTTGTTGCTAAATATTTTCATTATTTACAGCGTACATTTATGTCATTTTCTTTTGCAGTTTCTGTCGATGTGGTTTTTTGTCCAGTAGGGCTACACCAATATATCATGTGACTGTGTCACATGACCGTCACATGAGCTCATAAATTGCACACCTGTTTCCAATGCATTTTTCACTGTGATGAAGACACTAGTTGAAACGCGTTGGTTTATCCATGAATCAATAAAAAGATTTCTTAACTACAGTCAGAGTGCCTCGGATGCATTTTTGGACAGCCTGCCTGTACTATGGACTTTTACACTGAGTGAGCTGGCCAGTCGTTTTTTATCTTTAGGATCGAGATGTTGTCTTTATCAAACATTTGTGGCATGGAGGAAGTGTGCAGGCTAGACTTAATCAAGATTCAAGACTTCAGAACTTTATTATCATTACACAAACATAACAAAATTGCTGTATGTGTACTGTTTACTGATAGCCTAAAACCTACATGATGTGCTTATAATTATTCTCCTTCGACCTGTTTCCACATTAATCCAAGTTAAGACATACCAAATTGTCAATCTAAAATTGACCTTGCCGGGATTTACGGCTACGTCATGGCCAAGACAGACGTTTAAATATCCTGCTCCACCAGATGAATTCTAGAATGCATGACAAACTCTCGAATACAATAAGCTTGAGTCAGAAAATAAACAAGAAGGACATCAAATCAGGAGAACACAATGAAATAAAGGTCAGGACAAAGCAGCTAACACTAGCAGCAATGACGTGAAACAATTGGGGAGTCAGAGATGCTGGGGAGTTGAGGAAACTCCAACAGAAAAAATAGTGACTCTTTCCAGGACACCACAGTGTCACTTAAAACTGACCTCACCCAGACATCTTTGTAAAATCGTTCTTGTTAAGATTCAAAACTGGTCACACAAACACAAATTTTCATTACACATTTTTTAGAGCATGTTGCAGATTTTGTTTTTGCATTTGCACAGAGCAAGACTGGCTGTTTCCCTCTGTTTCCACACAGACATAAGAGTGGTATCAATCCTCTCATCTCTCACTGAGAAATCCAACAAGCATATCTCCCCAAATGTCAAACTAATTCTTTAAAAGGATTCTCAGGCATGAGAAATTTGATCAATCCATGCTATATCAAAAAACACTTGACATATCTACACACACACATCCTGTGAAGAGCAGAAATACAACACTGGCAAAGCAGAGACTCACAGCTGAAACCCTACACTACACTAAACCGTCTACTACAAAGTGGCTTCAATTACTAGTGAGGGACGCGAGAGCCAAGATGAGCACAAGCGGCTCTCAGTGCTCCAGCTGTTATCAGTTCTACCTCCCAACTAAATTATAGTTTGTCTCACTCTGAGCATTAGAGGAGCCACAAAGAGCTTTGTGAATAAACAGCAGTGCATATGACACACAGTATGTGTCAGCGCCTTCTCATGTTTCCTCCTCCCCTACAGTGAGGCCGTAAAAGCAGACCCAACATGTATCATTCTACCACCCGCAGACTGGTTCTCAAACTGGGAATGAGCCTGTTCCCTCCAGTTTTCATGAGATTGTGACTACAGTGCCTTTCTATAAAAGCTATCATGTTACCTTAAGTACAAAATAAATAAGCAAACACTTTACAACCTGATGATGGCGACTAAAATCAATCAGTGTAATGGTCACTTCTGTTACTCCTTACTGGCAAAAGATCATTTAAAATGTCATTAAGGTATCAGGCTGGGTGATTTAACAATCTCTGTAGAGGACTGCCAGAAAATTTATGTTGATAATGATGATAAACTTTGGACATTTTTACTCAATATGGATAGATCTAACATCCTATATCACCCAGCAGAAACACGACAACAGCCATTCAGTCTGCTGCCTCTCTTCTCTAACTTGCTGCCTGTTTGCAGGAGGGTGGGGCTATACTACACACACACAGACAGCAGAGCGTAACATCAGAGCAGAGCCCACAGTGAAGGGACTTTAGGATATATTTTACTGGAATCAATGGCAACAATGCTCATTAGCCTTAAGTGCAACAAAAGGGAGACAGTTTGACGAGTTTATCAAACAACTGTTGAACAAGCAGTACAAAAACTTGCAGAAATATGACATTTTCCGTCATTCTGCCTGCAGTAACTGTCTACCTCCTCTTAATCCACACCTGGTTGGTTTCAAACAGCCAATGAGCTAGTTATGATAAAGTACTGAAACTCGATCTATCCTCCAAAGCTAAAGAAATCGTGGAAGTGGTTGGATATCTCAAAAACAACAAAGCGCAGATTAAGATGGTCTGCTAAATATGCTGCCAGACAAGACGGGAAACAAAAAAACCCACAACTCCACTTTTGCTAGGTTAATGGTGCAAAGTCTGAGGGCAAAATAATTGCAAGTTTAAAATACCAACTACCAGGTTAAACCCCACCCACTTCAATCCCAAGTCCTGCCCCTTAGCACCATAAATTAGTTGGTTGCATAGCTACAGATACAGATAATAGGGTACTGGCTCATCCCTAATAATGAATATTTTCCTCACCGATGATGTATTATTTACCCCACCTGCGACAAATCTGCTTGTCCCTGTGTGTATAACAATCAGAGCGTACTCATGTTGCGAACCCGCCTGTGTAAGCATATCTGACCATCTGAATAATGTGCCCTTCAAATAGCAGGAAAATACTGCGGCACTCTGAGTTGAGACCAGGTTTTTGTTTGTCAATGGCGCACTCACTTTCTGCTGCCTCAAAATAGCAATACACCAACAATGCACCTGACCACACCTCATTTTAAGACCTATATGTACATTTGCATCTTACACAACATGAGTGCTGGCGGTAAAAATGACAACTGTATGGAGTGAAACTAGCAAAGACAGTTGCACTGGGCACTGCTTTGCACTGGGTGTAAAACTGGTCCCTGTGTGCACACTATGGCAAGTATAATAATTTTAAGTCAAACCAGAAAGTTGAAAAGTTAAGTTTACCGTTCACCCTCATTTTCTCCCCCCAAAAAGTTTGACTAACGAAAGACTTTGTTTAAAACCTTAATGACTGTCTAAGTGCTCACGTTTGGGGTTTTTTGGTGAGGTCACAATGTCGCCAGATGTCACTCGATGAGTACAATGTTATATTATTGCCAAAATGAATGATGCCCAAACCTACAGAAGTAAGACCCAGCTCATACGAAACTGAAATTTTACACTTTTACACACTTGGCAGCGTGACAGGAACCAGCTCCAACCTGAATGTCAGGTGCACCCTCCCCTTCTCCTGCTGAATCTTACCTTGGAGGGCCCGTTGGAGTACATCAGAATCATGTTCTCGGCGCCCTGTTTGACCTTGAGCTCGATGTCATTCTGTCTTTTAAGGGCGGCCAGGCGGCTGCTGCTGGTGCACGTTCTCGCCTCACTGTTGGGAGTATCTGGGGTCAAAGGGTATTCTGGGGAGAGACAAAAAAAGAGCACAAGTTACCACCTTATAGCCATTTGGATACAACCACAGATATGTGACTCTGCATGTGCAACTGGAGTTGGTCACAAATATACACTGACTGTAAAGAGTAACTCAGCATGCATGTGCTATTTTTGGCTGCCAGCCATTTTGAAGTTAGCTAAACAGTGCTGCAGCACAGTAAAATGACCTATAACTTTGCTCACAATGACACAGCCGGGGGCAACTACAGTAGTCACTGAGTGTTTCCAGAAAGGTCTGCTCTTTATAATCTGATGAGGTTTTAGAGTCAAGTTGACTCAAAAAAACTGCACAAGACAACAACATTAAGATTACGGATGCACATTTTAATTTAGAAAGTATGGAGAGCAGTGTTTAAGTCCGACCTGATGTGACCTTACACATTATCCAAGTCATTTCCGCACATTGAGGTATAAAGCGTATTAAATAAACACTGGTATGGGATCTGTACTCAGTATTGGGCGATACACAAAGCTTAGGTATCTGTACTGGGACTGAAAAAGTGAATTTACCTCAGGAGTCTGACATTAAGAAGAATTTCAGATTAATAAATGGTGTCAGAGTGAGACTTTCAATTGGATGTGTTTTGCAAAACTTTTTTTGCTCCATTATGTAGAAAGAAACAATAGAAACATGATTACAGCACATCAAAGGTGAATCCAAAGCACACTAATTTTCAGCATGATTTGTAATGATGTAGGGCCCTCAATGAATTTTCAAAATATAATATAATAATAGAGCGCTGCAGGGATAATGTTCTTCTGTAGGCCGACGCAGATGTTAGCGTCATCCTGGTTCCCTCCTTAAAAAAGCCTATGGGATTTTTCCATTGGGTTTTGGATTATTACAGAAAATAAGCTCTACTGCAAAGAAAGGTTGATGATACTTACAAATATACATCGCTTTTATGATTTCTGAAGCACAAAGGTAATTGCAAGAAGTAAAAAGCTAACGTTAGGCTACAAATAAACTACACAACGGTCACGACATAACAATGATGCATTCTGTAGTCTCATTAAGCCACTTGTTAGCAACTGCCGTTTTTAAGACACATAAAAGCTTCAAAATTCACAAGTGGGATATTTAATGACGTATTTTAAGTCATAGAACAAAACATGAAAATATCTTAAGCTTGTGTTAACAACAGACCTTATTTCAGGCATTGTACCAAAAAACTCATTCAAAAAAACCCCACTGACTTTGAGACGAGGAAACTGGGAGTAGTAAAATGTTGACTCATTTCCGGGTTTTAGGATTCATTCCTGGGGCACTATATTCGACTACATGATAGAACTTTTAAGGGAAAAAAAAACATTTGATTTTGAAAACTAATGCTCAACTGTGGAAAAAAAAAATACCGCCAACGGCTGACAGCTAATCAATTAATTGTTGTGGCTCTAACCACAGCCGTCTGCCTGACGAGTTCTTGCATAGGCCTTAAAAATGTAGGCTATTGATTAACATATCAATTACAAATCATTTTGTCTGATCTCACTCAGAGACAGAACACTCTCGGTTCTCTAGCACCAAGTAGAGTTTTACTGTAGACATTATTTTATTTACTTTGTAATGTGTCAGTGTGTAGATCTTTTAAAAAGCATGATTATGTAGAATTAAATATAACAATATAAATTGTATTGGTTTGCTCTCTGGATATAATGTGCAAAAATAGATATTCAAATGGTTCAAACCCATGTGGGCTTGTTTTTTTGTTAGACAGAATAATTGTTCACCATTTTTTGCCAGTTTTGACAGCCCTATCAAAATGCTTTGGTATTCAAAGACTATAATACAAAAGACAACCACTACTATTTCAAACGGATCTTCTGTCATCTCATTGGCTGTTTCCTGAAGCCTGTTTAAACTTTAACAGCCGTGGAAAACCCTGCGGCCATCTCTATTCTGAGCAACTGAATATACACACACACACACAAAAACAAGTGTGAACTTGCAGACAACCAGCAATACTACAGTGTCATTACTGCGCATGCAAATATGGTGTAAACACTCATGACCATGTTATATCAGCAAATATTAACTTTACACATACGCCACACAGACACACTAAGTGAAAACGAAAACAAGTGTCTTCTATTCCCCAAGCAGGACCACAGTTCTGGCCGATGAGCTCATTGTTTTGTAGTGTTTTTTTGGTCATGCCTGGACTCGAAAAGGTGCAGAGAAAACCCCTCCCCAGGCTGATTGCTGCAGCACAGAGCCAGACATTCACACAGGTGAGGTGGGCAAAAAAACCTGCCTGACTTCTCCTGACTTGACTTGCAAGTTCAGTTTCAGCGTCTATGGTTTCATAAAGCAATTCGTCTCAGAGAGGACCCAAAGGGTACACTTAGAAAAGACGCGAGACATCTGAAATACAAACAACGTCGCGGTCTCACATAACAGTGACCCATTACGTTTACAACCCAAGTACTTTAGCTCAAATCTTTCCTTTTAGATTTTTAAAGTCCAATGATATAAAGTGCTGTACGTTAAAAAAAAATAAAAAAAATAAATTTTTAAAAAAAAAACGCGATTTCCCTGAAGGTGTCTTGAGTTCATCTGAGTGTGCCCGACTGACATTACCTGAAATAACAGCAGGGAGGAAAATCAGTTATTCTGGAAGATGTTGCCAAACACAGATAACAATAACCAGCAGGCGGGTCTGTGATTCATTCACTCTGAATGTCTCATGAAGACAGTGTCTAAAGACTCCTTTGAACACCTGCGGGATACGGGCAAAAAAGGAAGCATGTGACTCCAAACTGAAAGTCTAAATGATTCATCTAATGACCTTTAATGAGCTGAGAGAGCATCGCTGTGGAGGTTTCTGTGCAGGAGGGGAGGGTATTAGCCTTCCCGGGGCAATCCTCTTTTACACACACACACACACACACACACACACACACACACATACTGTCTGTCTCTTGATCTGCTTTTTGTGTCTGTGGTGGTGGCATAGGTGGCGGGCAATACGAAAATGCAAAGAGCAGCCTGTAATTCAGGAAACAGCCAAGGAGAGCGAGTGAAATTTCATTGACGCAAAGAAGCAAAATGGCACAAGCGGCTTCAGCTGTATCACTTTTCTATATTTGACTTGATAAAGGACATGTTAGGACACATTAATCTGAGTATGCACGGCTGCATGTAAACGGGAATATTCATTTCTATGAGCCATGTAAACGGCTTAGTGGGAATATTGTCTTTTTCATATGCATGTAAAAATTAGGCCTGTCAAGACCATTATGTTACTTAGGTCAGCAAAAATCACAAAGGCCATGTCCATATATCGTATGATACTGCCCTTGAGTTCACACGCCTGTCTGTTTACATAACGATGTCACCAACATTTTTGCCAACATGACTCCATGATAAACTGCAGGATATTCCCGACCATTGTAAGATGCGGGTGCAACACCTAACCCTAATGAACGGAAATAAGAGTGCTGAGTCGTTTTTCTTTCATTTCTGGTTGCACTGCTTCTGTCCTGTTCTGCTCTCTGTCCAAGTCTCACCATGGGTGGAACTCAGCTCCTCCACACACACACACACACACACACACACACACACACACATAAAAGATATATTAGAGATAATATTTTTTCACTTTCCAATTCAAATGTCTCAATATTCTTAAGAAATAAAAGTCCATTGCTCTTTGAAAAGGTATACTTGCATTATTATGCTATTATATTATCATATCAGAGGCACAAAATGGTCTCATAATGACAAACAAAATGTTTATCACAGATATTTCTGAGATACTATATCGTCCACTGAAAGCAGTTATTGTGAAAGGCCTACATGTAAACGTAGACACTGAGAGAGGCAGGGCTAGGCGGGAAACAGAGTGGGCATGTGCAGATTCTCATCCAAACCGCATGTGTGTGGAAAAGCCTGTGAAGCAAGGTGAGAATTTAAAAGGGGCTTGGGGCAAAACTGACTTCAGCCTTCTTAAAAATCCATATTGCATAATAAGAGCCTGTAGCGTCACAGTGATACATTAAGATCATGTTTAGTCAGTGTTATGAAGAGGCTGTTTATGAAAGTGAAAAAGCCACGCTGAGTAGCACACGTGCAAAAGTGCTGCGTCCATGTGTCATTCAGTCTACGTTTGGGGCTTTCCTCGCTGCGTGGGGGGGGGTGGGGGGTTTGGTCAAGGTCGCATTGAGCCAAGAATTCAACAACCCCCCCCCCTCCTCAGTGGTTCAGCCCACGCTGGGCTGGAGGACAAGATACTGAGCTACTGAATAGCTGCAGGGCTGATGTCACTGCTGGACAGCTGACAAGGGGAACCCTCCCTCAGATTAACCCCATCTGTGTCTAATGAGAACGAGCAACACACTAACAATACTCTATAAACGATTACATCATAACTTGGAGGACTGGACCTAAAACTGGCGTGGGTGGTTCGTCACTTGAGACGTGATACAATGACTGGAAGGGAAACAGACTGGACTTGTATTCGAGGACTAAACTGCTGATCTCGGGGGCAAGTCTCCTTATGAATGAGATCATATGTGACAAAGGGACCTGACTGGTGACCCAGTGTCACTGCTGTAGCTCAGAGACAGCGCCTGACAGCGAGTCGGTCCATTTCTGGCCTCAGCTGAGTGGCGGAGAATAACCAGAGCCCCCTCAACTTTCCCCTGGAACAAAAACACATTCTGGCTGCTCGTAGAGGCAGAGCAACTCCTTCCTACTAATTCAGGAAACAAGTGCTGTCTCTTGCGGATTTTCGAGAGCTAAACGTATTTCAACAAGTCGTCTCATGACCGTGGAGCTGAGCTGACCTCAGTCCCTCTCCATCATTTTGCGATAGCCAGCGACATTCCCCTGCCGTCACGTCACTTAAAAAGAAGCCCTCGTTCATCAGATTGAGAGTCACCGAGTCAGGCTAAATTTGTTCCCACTTAAGATAACCATTTACCAAGATGACCTCCCTTCCCTCCCCCTCCTCATCTACTTCCTAATGTCAACTGAACGCGGGGGGATGTGATGGTAACAGGCAGACAGATACCATTCCTTCTCTTCCTGAATTCACCCAGACCCTCACCACCAACAAATGCCGCATTAGGCAACTACTGTAACAAAACTATACTGAACACTGCTGCTGTGGGTAACTCTCTCCGAATTCCATTGTTGTCGACAAACGCACAGGAGCAGGCTTTCAACAGCCTCGGAGGGGAACAATCGACGGCTCATTGTAACTGTCGGTGGAATGTGGAATGTAACAATGTCAGCCTCTGGAGAGTGAGTCACCTCCAAACACTCAATGTGCTCTGTGTGTTCATATAGCTGTTGTTCTGACACGACACTGACAAAATTATTTACTCAGCGTTACTTTGCCTTTGCAGTAAACCAGCATATTTGAGAGAGTAATAAAGAAAAATAATACCAAAGAGATAATGACAATATTAGGAGGAGAAGTTACTTTTTTGGTACAATACACCTGGGAAAAATCCCAGATCAACCTATGACTCACAATGAAACTTTCTCTACAAAAGCAAGAAACCCATCACACAGAGATGGTCTGGCTTAGGTGGTAACCCCAGGTTGAGAAAGCTCCTTTGAGATTTCATGTTCCACGTTTTAAGTAGACATGCTATGACACCATATTTTCCTTCCCGATACCAAAACAAATACCTGAACTTGCATATCAACTGATACCAAGTACTGATGCGATACTACTGATTGCTATTATTGTTGTACTGCAAAGCTCAGGTTAAATCCTTTGTAAAAAAGTACAAATACATACAGAGAATAAATGCAAAAGAAATTACAAAATTGCTCCCATTTTGCTAACGGCTAACGTTACACTATTTACCGGAAATTAATTCTTTGCTTTATAACAGTAGATGCCAGTGGCTCCACAGCGCAACTTGCTGTGTAGGCTATTGTTTTAGAGCAGTGAAGAAGAATTGATTTCCTGGAAAACTGCCATTTCAAGTTTATCAATAAATTGCGTGGTATCAGATTGGTATATAGACTTGTGCACTTACTGATACCTGATCCCAGCGTTTTAGGCAGTATTAGAAGAACTCTAGTTTTAAGTAATCATTTTAACCCAAACATTATCTCTTCCTGCCACAGCATTGTCAGCAGGGTTGTAACCTGGTGCCAATTTGCCACTGGTTCCTTTACAACCAATACCAACCGATTGCCAGATTGCGTGCATAGCCAGTGTGCAGTCAAAAGAGAGATAAAAGAGCGTGTGTGTTTGTGACGCTGACACATGACAGTGAGGCTGCAGAGACCGGAGCAGAGAGTTAAATGTAGCAGTGCTGTGTGTGAACATTTTTGACTATTTGTCAGTAAATAAATGCTACAACTCCTCAAGACCCAAGACAATTTCCCATGTCTTGCTTGCCAGCACCTGATTAAAGTGAAGTACCAACGTTAGCAAGCGAAGCTAGCCTCCCATTGGAACCTGACCAGGCTCACGTAAGGTAGACTGTTAAGGTGGACCAGCTATTCTCATTGTAGTGACAATTTCAGCTGCTCCTATACAGGTAACAGAGCAATATCTGGCTGTTAAGTCTCTCCTGAGTTAGGGATACAATTACTGATGTTAAATCATTTTTTATTTTATTCTATTTTAGTTCTGTAACTGTTATTTAGTGTTACATAATTGTAATTGTGGCTAACCCAGTGAGTAGGATTTAGGGGGATGTATTGGCAGAAATTGATGATTTAATTGTATAATTGCGGGTCCTAGGGACATTAACATTTTCGCATCTGCCACCATAGTACTCCAAGCACTACAAGCTTTGCATACAGGAAAAGTTTCAGTTGGTTGCAATCTGCTAACTCAGTCACTAAATGCCACTAAATCCTACACTATAGACCTTTAAACTGTTCAGAGTTAATATACTGTTCAAATTCAAGTTCAAATTTGCCTTTTCATTTCAATTTAAGTTGTTGACTGTACTTTATTTTACTTTAAGTATCGATTCAGGTATCGTCTAGGCATAGGTAGCGTTTATAAAGTGTCATTTTGGCACCAGTATCAGGAAAACCACAGACAACCTGTGTGGTCACACCATAAAACAGAGAGACAAGAATATTTTAAAGCGGCTTGCAAGAGTTTTGCATATCTAGGGTTACCATCTAGGCACAACCCACAGAAATAGCTGCAGGTAAACTCTCCAACCACGACAACTGGATTACAACTGTCAATTAAATAAACTGTATCAACCCACTTGTTTTGACTGAAAATATAAAATAAAAATGCAAAAATAATTTAAGCTTTAATTTGAGCAACATATAACTAACCCCAACGATCAAATGCTTAGATTAAAGGAATATGGAGCTGATGTAAAAGCACACAACGACAACAATGAGCATTAGCTTGTGTCAACTGTCTTTACTACGTGGTTAATGTTTACTAAATCCTCTAGGGCGACTTTGCTGTGGTGTGTCTGTTGTTACCTAGCAGTTCTTCAGGGTCTTTGACCACGATATGGGCGTTGAGCTCCTGCAGCTCCTGGTGAAGCTCCTCAACCTTCTTGTTCGATTTTTTCAGCATGTTGTCAACAAAGGCCAGGCTCTTCTTGTCTGTGGTGACCTGAGGAGAGGAGAGCAGAGGAGACATGAGAAGGTTTTATAATGTATCTAACAGCAAAGATTTACGAGGAAACAAAATGTCTTCGATTTTGGCCTTTTTGACCTTTGATATGTCTCTTTCAACTTTATAAAAGTGAATATTAAAAAGGGACAGTTCACCCTACAATTAAAAATAATTATTTTTCTTCATACTTGTAGTTTTATTTATCAGTCTAGATAGTTTTGGTGTGAGTTGCCGAGAGCTGGAGATAACGGCCGTAGAGATGCCTTCTTTCAAATATAATGGAACTCGACTTGTTTAAGAAATTAACATCAATGTAAATAGTAAATGGACTTGCACTTGAATGGTGCCTTTTAGTCTTTCAACCACTCAAAGCGCTTTGACACTACTTGTCACATCCACCCATTCACACACACATTCATACATTGGTGACCGAGGCTACCATACAAGGTGCCATCTACTCAGTCAGACATCAAGCAAATTGTAGTTCAGTTTATCGCCCAAGGATATTTCAACATGCAGAATGGAGGAGATGGGGATCGAACTGCTGATCTTCCTATTGGTGGACGACCCGCTCTGCCTTCTGAGCCACAGCTGCCTCATGTCTCTTCCCAAAAGTCATAATAATCCGCACAAAATTGTCCTTGCTATAAACAGCTTCATGTAGGAACTATTTTCTTTCTATCAAACGACATCTACCAACTGGGCTCAGAAGGAAGCGTGCATCTATTGCTAACTCATCTAGCACCACTGAGCTAGCTAATGTTACAGCTCCGTCAAGGAGGACGCCATTAACGTTTACATCTCGCGCTGTAACAAGCATGAGCCTCTTGTCCATGAGTAGATGCACAAATGCAAAATACATATTATTGATTTCTGGTGAACTGTCCCTTTAAATTGGCAAAGTAGGCCTTTGAGAGAAAACCAAAAACATATTCAGTAATTTTACCTTTCGCAGGTTCTCGGCGCCTGCTTTGATCTTCAGCTCCTTGCGGATCTCGCGGCGGATCTGCTCCTTGATCTCATCCAGCTTCTGCTGAACCATGGTGTCAGACAGGTCCAGGTTGTGTCCCAGACCCAGTCGCTCCGCCACCTGCTGGCCCCTGGCATCCCCCTGAAGGAGGACAGCAGAGGAGGAGGAGGACAACGAGGAGAGGAGAGGGAGTTGTGGAATGTAATTTAGAGGAGGTCAGCGAGGGAGGAGAAGAGGGAAGAGGAAAATAGGATAATAGAGAAAAAGGAGGAGAGGACAAACAGAGGTCAGTGACTCGGTCAACAAGTAGATTGGCAGTATTTGAGCAGCGTTTAACCAACAGGACTTATCAATATAAACAGAAAGCAGCACCGACTTGCTGTTTGTTTTAAAACAGCTGAAGTTATTGCCCCATAAAACAAATGCATTTCCATTTTATCGTGAGTGGCAGCACATCAAAGCAGTAGGGATGTTTCTAACGACTTGTTTTTTGGATGTTTAAATGGAAGATTAAACCCCAGTCAACTAGTCTAAAATAAGAAAACATTTAGAAAGCAGTCAAAATTGAGCACTGCATATAAGGGCCATTTGAAATCATTTTAAATGCTGCTGCAATGTGTGGCACTTTGCACCATGCATTATGAATATTACACATTATCCTACAAAACAAAACAACTCACTAAATAAAAGCTAACAAATAACGTTTATTAAAAACAATATTCTTCGGGAAATAAATCTTTAGGAAACTGCAGGAAAAAATCATTGCAACAGCATTTTCATTGGGTGAACGCAATCACATAAAATATTCATTTTTAATAATAAGTTGAACCAGCTAGTGTTTCTAGTGCCAGCTAGCAAGCGCAGCCATGTTTAATCAACTTGTCGAATAATTGCACACATCCCCAGAAAGCAGTAAGGATGCAATAAAAACAGAGGAGCTCCAGACGTAGTTTCATCCCAGCAGTCACTGAGTTTCTCATTGAACCACCAATCTAAGTGAAATACGTGTGATTTGATCTTGAGCATCAGGTGACGATATATAATAATTTACCTATTTACAGTTCTACAATGAGTGTATGTCAGATGAAGGAAGTTATTGTGACTTAAATGCACTGACTATATCTTCTGACCAAACATGAGATTCAACACAGGAAGGCCAACCTGAGTACGGCGAGGTCAACCCAGTGTCGTGGTGTGTTTTGAACTTGAGCTAGCCTCTCTCTGTCTGTACGTGGTGTTTTCACTGCCTCTGTCAGTCACCATTTATCTGTATCCTTAAAGCCGTCACCTTAACTAAGGAGGGATTAGCGGTCACTTCCTGAATGGCTTCAGCTCTTAAGTTCATCATGAACACAGTGGCGCACCGGTTACGTTACAGTAGTTGATCAAAGAATACGTCTGTGATTATGAAGGGACTGTGAATAATCAGTTTTAGAGCTACAACAATTAATCGATTAATAGCTTATTAGTCATTGATTATTAAAATTAATCGCCAACTAATCGGATAAGGAATCGTTTAAATATTTTTTAAGAAAAAAAAGTCCTATTTTCTGATTCCAGCTTCTTAAATGGGGCTATTTTCCAGTTCCTTTCCTCCTCTGTGACAGTAAACTGAATATCTTTGGGCTGTGGACAAAACAAAACATTTGAGGACGTCATCTTGGGCTTTGTGGAAACACATTTTCCACCATTTTCTTGCTTTTCATAGACAGATCTAATCAATTAATCGAGAAAATAAAAGACGGATTAATCGACAATTCAAGTTGAGCCCTCATCAGTTTATTCCTTTTTATTACACAGCTTATTAATTCTTTGGCCTGAAAATATCTTCCAGTTTTGAATGTGTTGTTGGACCATAACGTTTTAATTGTGTTACATGCTCACAACTATGAAACCAAAGCTCTTCAATCTATGAGTCATCATGGCTCAGACAGGACAAATAAAAACCGAAAGCCTGTCATCACTTTGGTGCAAATCATTGCGCAATTAGCTATGCATATGCACATCTGTGACCTTTGGTGTTTGGAAAAAATCATCATGGTAAAGTGCACACACACAAGTCAAACTGAGTGCGACTCCAGATAACAGAAACAACACGTAAATTGTAAAGGTGAACCACAACTTGCTGCGCTCAGAGAAAGTGAAACCATGCCAGAGTTTAAATGTGAACAAATTAACTTGCACCATAAAATAAGGGCATAATGAGATGTGAAAAACAGCACATCGCCACTCTGTGACAACCATGAGATCCAAGTCTTGTTGCACTCATCATAACTTTACTATAAAAGGAAGCAGTCAAACCAAACACTGAGTAACATTTAGGCGTAAATGCCATTAGCTTCAATTTAGTGTGCCGCTGTTAAAATCACAACTGCCTGAGAAGACGATGTAAAGGATGGATCAAGTCAACAAAACAAAACATCAAGGCTTTATGAATCTTTTACCTGAACTTCGTCGGTTTCAGCCAGCTCCATCTCTATATCAATTGAACCAACCCGTCCTCGCATGTTCTGCTGAGCAGCACTAACAATCATGACATGAAGTACTGAAGTTCTGTTAGGAGAAATGATATCCTCCGCCACAAAGGTTAGGCTACACGATAGCTGGCAGAGGCTCCGTCCAAAGCCACACTCATTCACTCCGCTGGTATCCGATTTTCTCCAGCTCTCTCCTTCTCACACAGACCATTGACATCAACAGGGAAGATAAACCGTCTGAGCAGCGACAGCCAAATCCCTCTTAGCTTCTAACTCTGTGAGGTCAGAGCAGCCCAGAATGGGACCTAATCTCACTCCATGGAGAACTGTGGCTAAAATTAACCCAAGTTAAAAACATAACACTGGCTGTCCATTGTGGCCTTCCCCCCTGCAAAGCAACTTGGAGGAGAAAGTTGTGAAGCGACACCCCAACAACTGACAGAGGGTTTAAAACACGGCAACTGATTAGGAATTAACTCTGCAAGGTTGTCACTGGAAGACACAAGACACTTAAGTACCAAGTAGGCTGTATTATCTTGACGCTATGTTTTCAGTTCAGTTTGTTCGTCAGCAGGATTACACAAAAACTACGGGGCCTATTTTCATGAAACTTGGTGGAGGGGTGTAGCATGGACCAAGGTAGGACAAATTCAAATTTGGAGTGGATCTAAATCATGGGGCAGATACGCAAACTATTTTCTGCTTTCACTGAATCACTGAGGCATTTACCTTGGCGGAATTCTGCGCACTCACCAGTTTATCCATGCTACAGTTTCATACAAAATGCAGTGTTTCCCAAGCCTAGGAACCAGACGAATCTGCAAGCGCGTGTTTTATTTGCTGGTCCCCCTACATCGTCTAGAGTGGGCTAATCACAACCATTTATCTAATATAGGGCCTGTGTGATCTGATTACTGACAACTTGCAGAACATTTGTGCAAAATACGTGATGACTTCATTCTTAGCTTGTGCAGCTTTGCTCCAGGGACCCTACGGTGAGCGCAAACCTAGCTTCGTAAAGAGGAGCAACATTGAGGCATTAACAAGATGGCGGCAGCTGCTGTGGAACTCTCTGTTTAAGTACTATTGTCAATTTCTGATTCTGGCAACTCTTGTTCACAGACATATTGATGCTTCACCATCACAGCCCACCTCTGCTCACTAGTCTTGTTACCGCCATCTGTCGCTAGGCGCTATGTCACACGTAGGTCTATCCAATTGCTACCAGAGGCATTTTGATCCACGGCTGTTGCTAAGGCCTCTTTAATCGAAAGTGAACCGAGAGGTTTCAGACTAAAGCTGCTTTCACACTGCCGCGTGGTACCGCCTACCTGCGATGGCTTTTCCCCAAAAAGCAAAGTGTTTTTCAAAGCGCCCCTCTACCATCAGGTACCACCAAATATAGAATGTATTTTGAAACACTGTCTTATAAGTTGCTAGCGCTGTGTTGTACAGCTCACAGTATTCAGACACCAACATTATCAGCTCCTGCATCTTGTCTTTATTCTGCTTTTGCGATGCCCCCACCTTCTATTTGATCGGCCAAACCAAGGCGATTTAAGCCAGGCACCAACACAATGAACTTTGCCTTGCAGCGCAAAATCCAGCGGCGGCAACTGCTTCATACCCCTACTGCCATGTTTGAAACCGCTTCCCCTCTGCTGCCTTCTTCTCATTAAAATAACTGGAGGCGGCAAGTTACCGTACGGAAGTGTGCAAGCCCCATAACTCCCATTTGGGCATTGGTCTGGTAGTGCTCGGCTAGGGTTTTCCACAGTGTTTTATTTTGGCGGTTGGCCATCTTGTCTCAAACAAAGTCCACATCCACCTTCTCTTCAAGAGGAAAGGCGATATTTTACACCGCAAAGGCCATCATATTTAGTAGCTTTCATTTAGGCCATCATCTCCTAACTCCAGGATTTGGGTGCTTTAGCTAAACAGTTACCTGGGCTAAATGCTACTCTACTCCTGACTGATAGATTAAAGTAGGGGGAAAAATCCTGTTTGGTACAATAAGGGATTTCCATGTGCTCAATCATACTCTCGCCCAGCTCTTGTAAAACCCCCCTCTCCTCTATAGGTGCTCACTTTAAAGGAAGCTATAGTTTGCACATATCCTGGTCCAGAGGTTTCTTGATGACTCATAGGTAAAATGGAGGTCACAACTCCTGGAAGTGGAAGAACAGTGTGCGGGGGGAAAAGCAGCTCTCTTCTTCAGCTCACTGCGCTGCAAAACTTGTTTGTACTGTAGCTGTGTTTGCCCAACGCAGTATGAGGACAGCATGAGGACACCCTAAAGGGCCTATTTTACTGCGCAACAATGCAAGGAAATCCATGAAAGGCCGATCAGATAAGGTGGAAATAAATCAGCTAGTAGACCCACAAGGTCTGCGTTTTAATTTGAGATCAAACGGAGCAACTATATCCAAAGAAAGAGAGCAGGAGCTCATTTGCAGAATTAGTTTCACCTCTTATTTCTTGTCAACTGCAATACTTCCTTGAGTTGCTCTTTTACCTGTAAAGCCCTTATCATTCCTTGCTGCTGAAATGTATTGCCTTGTCAGGGGTATGACGCCACACCGAGAGCTCGAGACTTATTAGGTTCAAAGACAAGTGAAGCAGGAATTGTAAGCAAATGTTTCCACTCATAGCACAATGCACACAGTTTGTGATGGATGGAGGGAACTTGTTCTTGTCAGTGTGGCTCTGCTGGCTGCTCTGTGAAATGTTCAAGGCTCAACACAGATGAAAAGACTTTATCTAAAGCCTTTTAGCCACATGTTTTGTTCAACATTACAAAAATGGATAGCTGCTTAATTTATTAGATGAATAAAACAGAAGCTGTTCATCCCCACAAAAAATAAAAACAATAAATGAATAGCCATAGATAGGAACTGTATTAAAAAAACTGTTGATAATATTCTCACAAAGGTAAGGCAGCAGTTACCTTCACATGTTGAACTTGTTAAAGAGCTCTTTTAGTACCTAAGACATGAAAGGAAACTGTGAAGTAAAAGCAAACATTAGGTCTGAGCCTCAAGTGTAAGCAGGTTAACTTGCTCTTTAAGCCTGAAAGCTCCAAGTCCAAAAACAAGAGCTCCATTCACACAATAGGACAACGGAAAAGTTGAGGCCACTATCCAGGCTCATGCTTAAAAAGCCAAGCTCTTGCCATTTCTGCGAGAGGCCTATCTCAACCTACAACCTGACACCCAGCCGTCTTACCCCCACAGCTGGCTGCAGTGCCCTGGCCACAGCCTGGTGCTCTGCTGCGACCAGAAATAGCAGCACAGGCTAATAAACACAGATCCTACAAATGCAGCCTTCACATGAGCCTTAGACATATCCCGTGTCAAGTCGAACTGTAGGTAATGTCACGCACTTCAGGTCAGTGTTAATGGTCATTTCTAAGCAGGACAGACAGTAGATTTATTGTGTCCAGAACACTGACGCTGTAATGTCATAAAGGAGAACAAACGGTAAAGTGCACTGACGCACCTGTTGCTCGGCTGAGTTGATCTGGTTCCACTCGACATAAAACACCAGGGCGATATATGTTAAAGTTTAGCTGGCTTAGTTGAATGCAGCTAAACATAGATGCATCTTTTAATAGGGAGCGTATGACTTCCAGATGACGCTTTTTAAGTCCTAATATGCAAGATGCTGATGCACAGGGCTGGGCTTGTGTTATGTTAGTCATCATACTGGCAACAAACATAATCCTTACAGTCCAAACACAGAGTCAGATTTTTCTACAATTATCTAGTAAGTATTGAGTATGCCAGGTCAGATTAACTTTCCACTTCTATCCAGTCCAAATGGATGGATGTTAATTGTACAAACATTTTATTTTTATTTTTCACTTTAAACAAAAGCCCATCTGGGCATTAGCACTGCACGTTAGTTCATACTAGAAATGCTAAGAGTAATACTAGTCTAATGTGATGCCAACTTTTATCAGCCAGCCCCGAGGGTAACATATTTTCATTTTACAGCACCTAGCCTGGCATAATGATTAGCTTAATTACAGCATAATCCTTACAAATAATATAATTGAATCTGAAATACAAGACGACTTAATTTGGGTTGCATGATATGAAAAAAAAAAAAAAAAAAAATCATATTGCGATTATTTTGAGATATTGAAGTTGCAATACATGTTGCGATTTTAGTGAATATGGAAATGTTTGCATTTTATTTTGACAAAAAAAAGAAAAAGTAAATAAAACAAAAATGATGATGTCTTTTTAGCTGGGGTCAGTACCAAACAAGCATGCTTTTTTACATTTGGAATATGATATGCTGGCCAGGGCGTCTCTATAGCATCACGATGCTTCATTTATATTGGTATGTTGCGACACATTTTACATTTTATTAAAATATTTCAGCTCCTGCGAATTGGATATCGTACTTGGCCATAGTGCAACTGTTTTGCCACCATCTTATGGCTCGGACGGCTTGGACATACTTTCGCGCCCCCTCCCAGCAGTAAACGATAGGACCAATAGATGAGTTTACCATTCTCCTATTGCCAACGTCAGGTGAAATTGAAACTAGGTAAGCACTGCTGGGTCGGGAATTAATGTCTGTCAAATATCCAACTTAAAACAAACTTCACCATGCAGCAGCTGCAGCTGGCTTGCCTGCAGTGTTTTGGAATGGACAAGAGATTGGAGCATGCTCTTTCTGTGCGCTTGCTATGTGCGCAGTCTGTGTGATGACAAAAAATGGGTTACATGCGGACATCCACATAGGGTCCATGCGAACACATGGACATGGCTGGATGACGACCCTCACCCCCACCTGCTCCCTTGCACAGGTGTGGATGCAGAAACTATGAAATGGCTCTTACTGTTTTCAGACTATTTCAAATAGGCTTACTGTGCCAATTGAAATTTTATAAACCCATGGTGGAAAATATTGTTTATCAGGTTGAGCCATCTGTGCATGTTACCAATAAAGCAACTGAAAAAACACCTGTGCTGAGTGACTAAAATAAACGTTAACACAGGGCTGGGCCATACGGAGAAAATCAAACGTCATAATTTTGACCTCAATATTGCGACAATACTGTAGCGATGACTACTGGTGCTTTTACTTAATGTTTCACGGTGAGATTTTAAATAAATAAACCCAAGTAATGTGGATATAATGACTAAGTGGGTAAAGGTAAATAACATAACTAGAAATGGTTAATTCAGAATGCATCACTTTACTGTAATGCAACCTTTAAAACCAGGAAAAGGCAACAATTAGGCCTACAACCAGGTAGGGATGCACAATATCAGATTTTTTGCAGATATCCGATATGCCAATATATAACAACTAATTTGGCCGATAACAGATACCGATATAGCCACTTTTTCCCAACCCAATTTTAGTGAATTATACCCGTAAGATATATATGTATAATATGATGAATTAACATCACATTATGCATGCTCTTAGTGATGGCCCACCAGCAGGTGAAGACATGAAATAAAATGTGATTCTAACAGTTCATTGTGCTTCTAATAGTTCACTTTAAAGCTGATACTATCAGCATGTTGGCCAATTCCAATGACTGACTGATATTATCGTGCATCCCTACAGTCAGGGATGGAAATAAGCACCAGCCACCTGCCAAATGCCGATAAAAATGCAACTGGCTGCTAGATTTGCATCACTCACAAACAGAAAAACAATGGTAAACTACTGAGTGACTGATAGATTTTGGAATCCACCAACCACAGTGGCAGGTGGATGAAAAAATAATTCCCAATCCTGGTTATGACAGGAAGATATCCAAAATCTAAGACGATTCCTAGTCTCATATTGCAATGTAGATATATATTCTCACGCCTTAGGTTAACATTATGATTAAACCAGTCCAGCAACAGCATCACTGACATGACAGCAGGTCACCACCACCTGTTGCCTCAGTCTGCACCAGCCCTGGTACATCAAATTAATAATAAGAAACATTTGAACTAAAACTTCTTGCACATACTTATCTGTGGTTCCCATTTTCCCTCCAGTACTCCCAGTAAAGATGAGTAATAGTGTATGAGTAATCAGACAGGTCTTTGCTGTAACAGGACAGGAGCACAGTTTTGGTAGGGCAGTGCTACAAAAAGCTGATGCTTGACTGCACTTTAAGCATGATAAGATAAGTTGTGGATGAATTGTAGCTGTTGGACAATGTTTTTGTGAGAAAGACTTATTTCAAGTCTTACGTCACTCAAGTGAAACCACATTAATCAGTGAGTCATGACTGTTTATTGGGAATAATGCGACATGACTGTAACACTTTAATGCTTTTGTTTTAATATAAAAATGTTAACTTGTGTGTTATAATAGACATTTTCTGGTTTATTTACACAGCTAGAGTTTTAAGTTTATCCGGTCTGTGTTCAAAAAAACTTAACGTAAAGCAGTCACCATCACTTTACGTTACTTTATATAAAAGTTGGAGCCATTTTAACTGTATTTATATCACGAATAAGGATATTAAACATGAAAAACATGTGGTTACCGGTGTTTGAATGCATGCAGGACACTGTTTATTTCCCAAAAGTAACGCAGGTTAACGTGAGGCTACAAAGCTCTTAGTTCACGTTCAACAACCTTTATTTGTCTTAAATTACAGCGACATTAACAAAGGTTTTTATCAAAAAATAACCGTTACGTTAATTAACACGGCAGCTTCCGCACCAAACCACCGGTTATAAACTTGGATATTTCAGGAAAAGTAACTTTGGATAATTGTTTCCCAGGCCTCAATCCATGGATAATTCCCAGACAACCCTTTGGGGTCTAACAGAGGCCCTTAACTTAAATTTAACAGCACCGACTCACAGCGACTCAACTTTAATGAAATAAAACTGTTAGCTAGCTTAAAGTTGAACACGTAGAGCAAAGTTTGCGCACTTTTCGCAACAGTTGTCAACTTTTCCTACCTGCACGGAATCGGCGGCCATCTTGGTTTTCGCCTTTGAATCAAATCCTACGGGGAGAGAGGAGGGGAGGTGGAACTCCAAAAAACAAGCCTTGTTTTAAGTTTCCCTCTCTGGCGACAAAAAGAAGCGATTATTCGGACCAAACCGTCGGTCATCTCGGGTACACGGGGCTTCCCATGCCGTCTTCACGCTTCATTGACGCGGTCACACCGTCCTAGTGGGGTCCCGGAGGGTGGACTGGAGCTCATAAATGAGAAAAGCTGGAGCATAAATCTCTCCCAGTGCAGTTGGAGAAAGAGGCGGTGGTTAGAGTGGAAGCGTCCGCCCAGAGGAGCTGCACTGCTGCCTGCTGCTGCTGCTGTTACAGAGGCTGCTGCTGCTCTCTGCCCGGACAGTTAGCACCACACACGTGATCCCAAAGTTCATATAGGCTGGCCTCACCTCATGGTTATAACCTGAAATCATCCTGGGGTAAACACCAAACACTAAGATGGAAAAACATGTCTCTCAGGTCAGAGTGATTCACACTGTGGTTAAAATTCATCTGCAGACAAAGGAAACCCTTTGTTAGAGACACTAACTTCTTACAGTAGTGGAATAAGTATTGAGATCCTCTAATAAAGGTACCAGTACCTCTATAAAAGTCCTAAGTCCTAACATCATACAGGGGTATGTAGCCAGTAACTAAGTATGTTTATCTATGTAAAGAAATTGAGGTACTTTACTTGAGTATTTTCTTTACATGCCACTTTCTGTAAGGTTATGTTTATTTATTAATTTTAAATTATAATTTTATAATTTAAGCATACATTTATGATAGATAATAACAACAGAGAGTTACAAGTGTTATTCTCCCTCTGTGTACATAGTCTGGCTGTAAGTAAACTTTCAGAGAGAAAGAAGGGTAGATAAATGGAATAATTAAAAATCAAAGCAGAAAAATAGTAAGTAATAATGAATAGTAAATAATTAATTAAAAAATAATAAATATAATATAATATAATGTAATATAATACTGTCCCTTGGGGTCACTGTTACTCCACCATACCGTATAAAATGTAAATTGAGGGAGGTTTTTCCGAAATGACCACAGCCACAGTCATGTGACAGGAGACTTAAGAAAAAGAAAAAGTAAAATTAACCAAGAACATGTGTTTTTTGCTGTTATTTCCAAACAGCTTATATTTCCTTTGGATGTATAAATAATAAGAAAAATTTTATATTGTGTATTTTGTGCATATTTAATGCTAATACTAAAATGAACATTAACAAGCTAACATAGGCTATCTTTTTTTTCCCCCATTAAATGTGACAAAATGTCATGTCCAAGATAGTGATTTTTTTTTTTTTTATCATTTTGTTGCAAAATGCATATGGTAATCAAAAAGTCAATGCCACTGTACCACAGTTATATTTTTAAAAATATTGAACCAATACATTTTTTCTATGTTAGAGCTTGTAAAAGTTTACAGAAAAAAAAATGGACCCACAGAATCACCCACATTTGCCAATTCAATTTAATATATTTACTTATTTATTTTATTTTTGGGGAAAAAATCTTTAAAATTAGCTTTTCTATACTGTTCCAATCTCAAAATACAATCAAAAGCATGTCAAAAGCATTGACACAACAACATACTGTATGTATAATCTTATATGGCTCAATAAAATATCTAAGATACCTTAGCAGTGCAGTATCAAAAGTAAAAGTACTTATTATACTGAGTGGCTCCAGCAGTGATGGAGGGAGTAGCACTCAGATTTCCCAATAAATATAAAATAAATATACTCAAAAGTACTCAGAATGGCCCCTTCCAAAATGCTATATATTTATAAATATTTTATAATTTTATTAGTCTTTATAATGTATCAACACAAAGGCAGCATATGTCACTAGCAAAGGAGTTATTCTTTAATAATGCATCATATTTTCTAATTATGTAAACTCTTAATTTGCAAAATTAACAACCAATGATAATTGTCAGAGCTATAGTGAGGTAAAAACTACTTTATTTCCCTACAATATGAAATATAGTGGAGTAGAAACATAAAGTAGCATAAAAGAGAAGTACAGTACTCAAAATACATGTACCCAAGTGTAAGAGTATACAGTCACCTGTTTAATACTGATCATCAAACTATAATTAGAATCAAAAGGATCATGCAGAAGCTGAACAAACTGTCTGACGAGCAGAGCTGCAGTGCAAACAAAAGCCTCTACATTAAAATACTGTGAGAGTCACAGTTTACTTTTGACTCGCCAGGCCTGATGGATGAGGAGGAGCTGCTATGAAGAAACCACAGGAGGACAAACACTGACGTCCTCTCCACTGGGGCCAGTACATGACATGTCACACCTCAGTGAGAAGACTTACTGCTGCCTTACATAACCCTCAGGGACACAGTCATCACAAGCCATATGTCTCAGAGACTGGGCATTCTCTGTGCTTATGGTGCCGTGCCTCAGATATTTATTGGTGTGGACAACAACGTTGGATCCTCTCTCATAAACTGAGTATTGTCCACATCATAAAAACAGCAGAGGCCTTGTTGGGTTGACTTATGAAATATGGGCTCCGGTTAAAATCCGTCCATGGTGACACTCTCCAGAGGTTGACTGAGGACGGGACATGATGGTTTTGTCTTGTCATGTAATGGATCAATATCAGCAATACCCACAGCTGACAGTTAATGAGTGCAGTGTGGGAGGAAGGACTGGGGATAATGCTGTTTTTGTGCTCGGGTTAATTAATATCTGCCTTTATCAGAAACATAGTGTTGTTCCATCTTTCTCCAGCTGTTACTCCAGCTCTGTGTTCACAGTTGAATGGACGCTATACCCATCTGTGGGCGTGTTATTATTACCCATAATAAACATGATGATTAGTGCTCTGATTAATGGGATGATGACTAAGTTTTACTGGGCAGGCAGGTATTAGGTGCTTCTGCCATGAGGTTGTAAAAAGCAATCCTAATGCCTGTTTTAAATCCAGTGTTAAACAAATATCTGTGACCTGATGAGAAATTTCAGTCACACGTTGCCACTGCACATTTGGGTCATACTTTATCACAATATACACTGCTCAAAAACATTAAGTGTTGCAGTGTAATACCAAGTCAGTTAAACTTTGAAAGTGACAACAGGTGCAATAGAGAAGCAAAAGCAAGACAACCTTCAAAAAGGAAATGGTTTTACATGTGGTGGCCACAGACAGTTGCTCTCTCCTTATCCTTCCTGCAGCCCAATCAGGATGCACAGGTAGTCCAGCTCCTCCAGGATGGCACATTCATACGTGCAATCACAAGAAGGTTTGCTGTGTCTCCCAACACAGTCTGAAGAGCATGGAGGAGACACCAGGAGATAGGCTGTTACATGAGAGACAGGGCCATAGAAGGGCATCAACCCAGCAGCAGGACCGGTATCTGCTCCTTTGTGTAAGGAGAAACAGGAGGAGCACTGCCACAGCCCTACAAAATAACATCCAGCAGGCTACTGGTGTGCTTGTTTCTGACAACACTGTCAGAAACAGACTCCATGAGGGTGGCATGAGGGTCTGACGTTCTCTAGTGGGACTCACAGCCCAGCACCATGCAGCTCGATTGGCATTCACCAGGGAACATCTGAATTGGCAGGTCCGTCATTGGTGCCCTGTACTCTCCACAGATGAAAGCAGGTCACACTGAGCACATGTGACAGGTGTGAAAGAGTCTGGAGACGCCATGGGGAAAGTTATGCTGCCTGTGACATCATCCAGCATGACCAGGTTGGCGGTGGTTCCAGATGGACTGGGGAGGCATATCCTTGGAGGGTCACACAGGCCGTACCCTGACTGCTGTTAGGTACCGGGATGAAATCCTCAAAGCAATTGTCAGACCTTATGCTGGTGCAGCAGGCCCTGGGTTCCTCCTGGTGCGGTGGGCCCTGGGTTCCTCTCGGTGCAGCGGGCCCTGGGTTCCTCCTGGTGCGGTGGGCCCTGGGTTCCTCTCGGTGCAGCGGGCCCTGGGTTCCTCCTGGTGCAGCAGGCCCTGTGTTCCTCCTGTTGCAGTGGGCCCTGGGTTCCTCCTGGTGCAGTGGGCCCTGGGTTCCTCCTGGTGCAGCGGGCCCTGGGTTCCTCCTGGTGCAGGACAATGCCCGGCCTCAAGTGGCCAGAGTGTGTAGGCAGTTCCTGGATGACAAAGGCATTGATGCCATTGACTGGCCCTCTCGTTCCCCTGACCTAAATCCAATTGAGCACCTATGGGACATTATGTATCTGTGCATCCAATGCTGCAAAGTACCACCACAGACAGTCCAGGAGCTCACTGATGCCCTGATAGGAGGAGATCCCCCAGGACACCATCCACTGACTCATCAGGAGCATGCCCAGAAGTTGTGGGGAGTGCATACAGGCACTCAGGGGCAATACACACCACTAAGTCACATTATGAGTTGCAGTGATAAAATTCATGCAAGTTGGATCAGCTTGTGATTAAAATTTTTTACTTTGATTTTCAGTGTGATTTTGAGCCCTCAGTCGGTTGATGAGCGACATGGGTTTGAGCAGTGTATATACTTCACTGAAAAGGCCTTTCTCAGTGTTTCCACATCACATTTGTATAAGTTGCATTTTAGACCACGACTGGCTCCGAGCTAATTATGATGTCACAAAATCATGCTCTTCAGTGCACATGTTGAACTTCCGCCCCTCCGGCACATGGATGTGAAAACAGCCTTGTGTGTCAAACTCTGCACATGCATCGTTCTGCAAAGTGAAGCTCAGACATGCATGTGAGGGAACAGTAGCAAAACAAGTTGAGTGGTGGGCCACTAGTTGAATTTGACTCGGCCTATTTAAAATCCTGACATTCCCATACAAATGGAAAAGATCCACAGTCTTATACTGGTTTTATACACTCTGAAAGAATCAGACTCTTCTCAGATTTTATATATGGAGAAGGTTGATCTCAGTGGGCTGTGGAAAATACTTTGGAGGTTTATGAAATCCAACACTTCAACACAATCAGGAGCACTGCCTATCACAGACATAACATTTTCAACCTGACCACAAATGACACAGTGGTGGCCACATATTGGACAAATCATCTTGAAAAGACTAAACAGTTAACAAATAACTGCTGCAGCAAGGTGTGTTTACATACACTTTTTTACAGCAGTCACCTCTGAGAAAGGACTCAAAAGAGGTTAAAGGGACAGTTCACTCCCAAATCAAAAATACATATTATGTTCTCTTACCTGTTGTGCTATTTATCAGTCAAGATTGTTTAAGTGTGAGTTGCTGAGTGTTGGAGATATCAGCCATAGAGATGTCTGCCTTCTCTCCAATATAATGGAAGTAGATGGCACTCAGCTTGTGGTGCTCAAAGTGCCAAAAAATACATTTGAAAAACTCAATAGCAATGTCTCTTTCCAGAAATCATGACCCGGTTACTCAAGATAATCCACAGACCTTGTCAACAGTCAGCCATTGGTCAATGTTGCACACCCTAGTTTTTGCAGTGTGTCCTGCAGTGCTTGCACTAGTCGGCCCTTGACAACTGCCTTTTGGCCGATTTGGCTTGTTGAATAGGCAATGAAGACAGTGAAGCCAATCGGTGAGAGAAATCCCTTTGACTGGCAGTTCAGCTCAGCGCATGAGAAGAGAAACAGAAGTGAGGAAAGTAAACAAACCGGGTTCAAGAGGGCATGAGATCGAAACAAACGTTTAAATAGGTTAGATCAGTGGTCCTGTACTGCTGTCACTTTTGTCCCTTGTCAGCTGCCATCTAGTTCTATTATATTATATATATGTTGGCACTTTTTGTATGACTGAGTGACTATGTATGTGTATGGTTGTGTGTGTAGTATGTATGTATGTATTTTATCTTTTTTTTTTTTTTTTTACTATTTATTACTTTTTAAATGAGCTCCATTCTCTGCCTTGGGTTTTGAATTTTGTTGTATTCTATACAATGACAATAAAGGAATCTATCTATCTATCAGAACGGGGTGTCGGTGACTTAGCGGACAGCGCAGGCGTCCCATGTACAAGGCTGTTGCCGCAGCGGCCCGGGTTTGACTCCAGCCTGTGGCCCTTTGCTGCATGTCACTCCCTCTCTCTCTCCCTCTTTCACGCTTGACTGTCCTATCAATTAAAGGCTAAAATGCCCCAAAATATATCTTTAAAAAAAAAAAAAAAAAAAAAGATTACAACCAGAACTGAACCGACCTGTGTGACATGAAGCCCGAAAGTGGCCCGTCTGGGATCATCAAGTACCACACTGAGTCTGAGCCCAACCAAGCCAGACCCCCCAAAAAACGCCTGGCTGTGTGGCGGCACAAGCTACTCTCCAGCAGAAAATGGACCAGTACGGTGGATCTCCGACTCTCCACACCATATTTCCCTGCCAAAAAAGTGCCTTGATTTTTTTTCCCCCCACGGTCCAAGCCCTATCCGATGTGACCAATCAGCACACATTTTTGGCACAAACCTGGTCCAGGCTCAAATTGAGATTGAGAACTCTGTCAATATAGATTATTAAATTAATTATTATTATTTAAAAAGAAAAATGTGTTTTTGATTTTGGGGTGAACTCTCCCTTTAATGCTGAGTCCTTAACTTAATGTAAAATGCTCTCGGTCAGCTTTAACTGAGGCTCCAACGGAGGGGGGAGACACCCTCCATGTTTATCTGGGTCAGAGGGCCAAAACCAGGAAGCTGTAACTGGAAAATGATCTGAGATTAATGGGGATGAGTCCAATAGTTGATGACTGTCCAGGGATTATCTGAGAGCAGGGATGAGTAACACTGAGCGGCAGCACTGGGTCATTCAAACTTTCTCTGGCCTCTAGTGACCTCACACAAACATATTCCTCTGCCAGTGCTCTTGTGTTATTTTCTTCAGCAGCAAGATAGCGGCTTCCACAGAGAGAATATTGAATATATAGATCCAGGTTGGCATGACAACCCTCTGTGCTTTAAGAATAAATTGTAATAGTGCCAACATATTTAACTCTCTGCAATCACCATATCAAATACTGAGAAAAAAAAAAAACTCTAGGAGGAGATGGAAAGGATGTTAAAATGGATAAACACACAGTGAGAGGCAGCAGCAGACCTGGCAGCTCTTTATCTCCCTCTGCAGGATTCCAGCCCTGAAATAATCCAGCTTTAATTTTCACAGCAGCAGCTTTATCTGTCTTTACCACTCCCCTGCTCTGTTGTACCTGACGATGAGGATGATGCACAAACATTTACATCAAGTCAAAGAACACACACGCACCGCTGGTAGTTTTTAAAAAATGTTCCATGTATTTCTTTTGGCAATCAAAAGATGGAAACAGCCATGACAGCCATATTGTCTTTATGTTCCATCTGACAAAAGCTGCAACACAAGGAGAGCCGGGTGCAGAGAAGGCACACAAAAACTGAGCGGCAAACTACAGTATGTCCTCAGATAACAATGAGTACCTATTCATCTGTGTATCTGAATACCTCAGGAGCTGTGATGTGGCAGTACCACCAGTAGAAAAAGTCTGTGCAGCTCCTCCAGGTGGATTAGCTGAGGGTAGGGGGGTAGGGCAACATTATGTCACGTTAAACTCTTCCAACTGTTAGTTAGCAATTTATGAAGGGGAGACAGAGACTTTAATCGGCCAGTAAAAGGCAATTAAAACCGCAATAAACTCAACCTCCAAGAAAACGAGAGATGACATCTACACAAGCAATTTAGCAAAGTTATTACGGTCTTTTATGTGGAGAACTGCAAAGAAAACAGCAGAGGTTTAAAGGAACAGTTGGACATTTTGGGGAATTTGCCTTCTTGCCACTCTGTCATCAGTTCATTTAACGTAATGCTGCAGCCACGTTAGCTTAGCATAAAGACTATAGGGCTTGCTAATTAACTAGGTACATGTTGTTAGTTTAATATGTACAAAAACTGATGTGAAAAAACAAGTTTGCAGTGGTGAAGAGGGGGCATGGGAAAATGACAGGCTAGCTGTTTACCCCTGTTAAGCTAAGCTAAGTGCTAATGGCTGTAGCTTTATATCTAGGACAGTGGTTCCCAACCTTTTCTTTCAGGGACTCCTTTTCTATCAGAGTAAACTGATGACCCTTGACTAAACGACAAATTTGATGGATATTTTAAATGATATTCAATGAATATCAAAACAGTGCAGAACAACTGATAAACTCTACAATTAACTGGATGAATGGACACAACAACTGCATTATTTCCTGTCAATGTTACATCAGAGATGATTGTTACTGATATGTTAGGAACTTTTTATATAATTTGCTGTCTGTTTTATTCATTTTTTTTTAAATTTACATTTTTAACAATCAAATGTAATTAGTAGGCTTCTTTTTTTTTTTAACAAATTCAGTCTTTTCTTCACCTCGATGCTTGCCCACTTTTCTATGAGCTTTCGTTGTTTTAACGGTGTAGTTTTCTAATGCAGGATGAGGCTGTTAAGCCGACAGTAAATGCTCTGTTCTGGGCTCTCATTTATAAAACAGTGCGTTGGATCCATGCTAAAAATGTACGTATGGACAAAAGCCTAAAATGGCGTGCGGTAAAAAATAATCGACAATTTCTACTATCAGGCTTCCACCTCACCATCTGCACCGCCATTTTCCCATCACCAAAATGTTTGTAAGCATGGGTCAAAGTTTCTCCCATCAAGTCTGTTTTTATAGATCACAATGTTTCCACAGGAAGTGGCGTACACCTCTTTCAGGCCTCGTTTTGTGCGTACGCAATGTTTATAAATGACGCCAGGCCTTAACTGTGCCCTTACCCTGTAAAGTTTAAAGCTTGAATATTAATCTAAACTTAAAGATAGTAGTTTTATTTAGTTTTCTTTACAGAAATAAATGAAATATATATAGAAAGAATTTTCTTATACCCCTTGGAACAGGATGTGCTCATGCACAGTTTACACGTTCTTTTGTAGGAAGTATGCAAAAATAATTCATACATATTCCGTGTAATCATGAGCCAGTAATTCGTGAGTAAACCAAGTATTTTGGAAAGCTGTGATCATGTGACCAATGCGCTGGTGGGAGTAAAGCGGTCCAGAGCAGTTTCCATAAGGAGGCAGCTTGGCACATGACTTTCCTCAGGAGACAGGTGTTAAGAACCTTGAATAATTTGAGTTATCTGCGAGTCATCTTAAGGTGCGTTTTCATGATGTTTGTTTTCTTAAACTGAACCACAATAACTTGAGTAAACCTCACCCCTGTAACTTTACGCTAATGACACAACTTAATGTTAGGTATGAACGTAATTCGCGGGGCACTAATTCGCAAGTACATAACATCATTGATGGGGCACATTATGTCATTTGTAGGGCACTAATTTGAACCACAAAAACTTGACTAAACTTAACCCCAGCAACTTTACATTAATAACGTAACTTTATGTAAAGTACATGACGTCATTCCTGCACCACAAGAACAACTGTATGTTGATACTCTGCTTAAAATCAAGAAGGCCTCACGACCCACCCGTGAACCCCTTGTGGGGGTCGGGACTCCCAGGTTGGGAACCAGTGATCTAAGGGGCCGATATTACAGTGGTTATCTCCTGATTTCACTCCTGGCAAGAAAGCAAATAAACACACTTCCCAAAAATGTCGGCACATTACAGACATATTAGTGGACATACATGTTCACCTGGTTTTACAATGAAAAGAAAATGATTAAAAGAAATTAAATGCAGCCTAAAAAGTAATAAAAGAGATGAAAGAAATGTACAAACTGATAAAATGCACACTGTAACTTTAAAAGGTTAACAGTATAAATGGGTTAATATTATACTATAGCAAATCTGTGAATGAATCGGGCTGAAAAAGTAGTAAATATTTACAGCAGCAGCAGCAGCAGCAGCATCTCCACCTTAGTGTTCGTACACACTTCAATAATTTCATGTGTTTCTTCATAACGGAGGAAAAGCCTCTGGGCAAAGCTGCACATTTACATCCAACGAAATACATCAAGTACAGTATAAAACGTACGCACTTGTCCCAGGAAATAGTCCATGGTCACAGGATTTTTATTTCATAAAAACCTCAAAAGTTCTCATTGGAGTCCAATAATACAGCACAGTAGTCAGTTTCGTACACTTAAAATCTCTTTAAGTTAGTAGTAGTAGTGGTGAGGCATGGGGATGTTGTGTCACCATGGAAAATGCCATCGTCTTTACATACAAAAGACAACCATAGTAAAGAGTTAAAATACAATCAAACACAACCAAACAGTACAGAGCCAATGAAATGTTTTGTCTGGATCGGGAGCTGAGGTCTGACCGGCTGTTGGACAGGCCGTCTCCGTACATGTGCCAGCAGAAGTCCTCTGCACTGACGACATTTGACATGGAAGTGAAGGGGAGTGGAGGCCCGGCGCTGCTGGGAACACAACCTGCTGACGAAACATGAGCTCCCTGTCCAGTTGGCTGGCACAGACGTGTATAACAGAGCTGCGACCAGATTGTTCTGCAGCTCCACGTCATGTCCTTAATCACACGTACCAAGCAGCCACACAGTCACCTGTCGTCTTTAAGTCCTCCTCTCTTCCTCATCTCAGACTGGGCACACACAAGCCTGCACAAAGCATTCTCTCCAATCCCTTCCACAGACGTGCCTCTTTAGTTTTTAGGGTAGATTTTCTCATAGAAGAAGTTTTGTGCCAACAGGTAGAGCTCCCCGTCCTTTTCTCTGACAGCATGCGCCCTGACAAACTGGAACTGCTCCAGTGCAAACTCGTAGAACTCGTTCTCCATCTTCCAGATGGCCGACTGCTGCAGCTTGGTGATCGACTCCTTGGTGGGCGGCTTCTTCTCACTGGTCTTCCTCAGGTGGGATTTCTTCCCTGTGATAAAAAGAGAGGAGGATTAAAAAAATCCAGGCGCATAAACTCAGTGATTCACAAGATCTATTATGTTTAAAGACGACCTATTATGCTCATTTTCAGGTTCATATTTGTATTTTGGGTTTTTACCAGAACATTTACATGCTTTAACGTAAAAAATCCCCACTTTATTCTCCTCATACTGTCTGTGCTGGAGCACCTGTATTCACTCTCTGTCTGAAACACTAGGTTTTAGTGCCTGTATCTTTAATACCCCCCCCCAAAAAAGACAAGTCTGCTCTGATTGGTCAGGGTCTCCAAGTCTTTTGCATCTCGGTTAAGGAGGTTAAAAAGAGGACAAGTCATGTAAAACACTTGTGCTGTTAAGTCTTGTCTGCACTTGCCAAAAGGCTCAATAGCCAGCGCACTACCATAGAACATGGGGATTACTGATTTGTTTCATTAGGGCGTCCACAGTTGGCCTTGTGTTGGAATTCACATGAAACATAAAGATATGAATGGGAAGAGAATTACGATTCTACAATTACTGAAAAGATCTCCTTTTTTATTTTTTATTTTTTGGGGTGTTTTTGCTGTTTTATTGATAGTACATTTAAAAACAAACAGGAAAGGTGGGAGAGAGATGGAGGATGACACGCAGCAAAGGGCTGTGGGTCAGAATCGAACCCATCAAAAGGTCTGTCAATCAATCAATTTTATTTATAAAGCCCACTTTCACAAATCACAATTTGCCTCAGAGGGCTTTACAGCATACGACATTCCTCTGTCCTGACCCTCGCAGCGGACCTCTGTCAGGTCGAGCGCACCCAAAGAGAACCTGAGTGGACACCATCCCTTTATTCTTAGCACCGCCTCCTGTAACCCTCAAACACTGCACCTCCAGTTACATTATGCATGTTATTACAAGTAACTTAAAATAATGTTGGACTTACAGGGTGTCTACAGGTATAATTAATAATTAATTAATTTATTGCTTTTCAAGACCCGCTCAAGACACCTTTAAATCAAATTTAATACTTTTTTTTTTTGGACAAATCATGTTTTACTTATTTACGCACTGCAGCTAAGCATTGCAGGCAGGTAGTATACATGTGGTCTTGTGCAGAGGTAAGTGTTATGTAGGAATATGGTTATTAGAGTGAGTTGAGTTAATCTACATTTTGCCAACAGGTAAGTACAGGTATTTAGTAAACTGACAGTATTATAGTTGTTAAAAGATTTGTAACATTAGAAATGTGGACTTTTACATTGAAAGGCTTTGCTTATTTTCAAAAAAAGAAATGAAAAGATGTTGTTTTTCCTCACAAATTCAAGACTATTTAATGACTTTCAAGACCTTATTGTTATAACATAGAATTTAAAACATTTTACTTTTAAAGGACCTTTAGACACCCTGACTTAAGCTGGAGTCCTGAACAGTAACACAGTATGTTTTCCTCACATTAACTGCAGTATCAGCAACAGTATTGCATTATTTGTTGGACTATTTTTGGCCTGGAGCAGCAACTAATGCAATTAGTGAGCTTTATAAGTGCTCGTAGGCAGATTTTGTTACCTTTGTATGGAGCCAGGCTATCCCCCCCACCCGCCCCCATTTCCAATTATGCTAAGCTAAGCTAACAGACCTGAGAGTGGTATCAATCTTCTCATTTAACTCTCAGCAAGAAAGCAGGTAAGTGTATTTCCACATGTACATGAGTCAGCAAAAAACAAGTCCAAATACAAAGATCTTTTTTTTTTTTAAATATAGTTTTTGTTTGGGGTTAGGAAAGACACCACATGTCTTCTGACACATGTCACCACATGTCTTCTGACAGACTTCAAATTCATTAAATAAATACCTGATTAGCTTGAGTACTTGGGTGTTTCTGCTGCTCAAAATGATGAACCATACATTTGAGTCATAGTACATCTATATCACTGTCAGATTTAATTGTTCTGTGCTCTCCATTATTCATTCTGGCTGCACTCGTTGTAACTAATCTGTACCTACATCAGCGAGAGGCATGAGTGCATATTGATCACAATTCAATTCTCAGAGGAGCAATTCAGGCTGCTAATATGCAACCGCAGCACACTTTAGCATTGCAACGTGAGAGAGCCAATATTAGTGAGGGAAAGAAAAATATGCAAGGGAACAGCAAATGGGTTCTGACTATTTAGCAGACACGGCACCTGTTTTGTACAGCTCAGTAGCTCCTTTGAAGAAGCGTGGCAGCGCCGCCTCCAGCATCATGACAAAGTCCTCCAGCTCCTCTGTTACTCCAACCAGCATGTATTCATTCACCAGGTTGTATTTCGCCTGCTCCAGAGCCCACTGGCTGCCCACGTTCCTGCACAGAGATCATGTTCATTGTATGCGGTTGGGTTTTATTTGTATTCTGATGGAATAGCAGCGATTCTGCTGGATGTAAAACGATCACAACATCTGCAAAGGATAGAAACGCGGGGGAGGAGGAGAGTGAGCAGAGAGGAACAAAGACAGTGACAGGAGAAGATTGAGTGAGATGTGAATGGAGTCCAGGGAGGATGAGAAAGGCAGGAAGGATTGGAAATAAAAATGAAGTCGGTGGCAGGGGTTGTCATGTACAGGAAATTAAATAATAAGGGAGGAAGTGGATTGTTTAAACCTATAAAGTAACTTTTTGGCAAAGCCTCTTTAAACACAGCATCAGAGGACTGGCAGCGATTCACCTTTTTGTCTTCAGTATTTATTTAATGTTTCCAAGGTGCCTTCCACTACTTTAATATGCTGCTAGTGCACCACAGTAAGCTCGGTCTTACAGACCCTCAGCTGGTACCCTGCTTCAGGAGGGTAGATGGTTAAAAGATGGAGGGCAGAGTCAAGGAGAGATTAAGGAGGGTAAGAGGGATAAGTGAGGGCAGAGCCAGAGAGATTGATACAGATCATCAAGTAGAGAAAACGGATCAAGGCTGAAAGAGCTATCAGAGACCTTGAGATGATGAGTGGAGCAGAAGTGATGGAAAAGGACTATGAGGTTTAGTGCGGTGCATTATGAAACAAAACTGATACAGCAGCCTTCCTGAACTATCAGAGCTGCTGGGGATAATAAAAGGATAAGGATGGCAATATTCTATGTTTTGTTATTTTCAACAAATCCCACTGAAAAGACCAAAACTTACAATGAGTTTGTCTCACTCTGCCCTATCAGTGGTAATAAACCCCTTTAGCCTCATCATTTATACTTAAAGGGACAGTTTGCTCCACAATCAAAAGGACATATTTCTCCTCTTAACTGTAGTGCTATTTATCAGAATCAGAATCAGAAATACTTTATTGATCCCCAGGGGAAAACTGTGGATCTAGATTGCTTTGGTGTGAGTTGCAGAATGTTGGAGATATCAGCCATAGAGATGTCTGTCTTCTTTTCAGTATATTGGAACTAGATGCTACTCGGCTTGTGGTGCTCAAAGTGCCAAAAAAGTACATTTGAAAAACTCAACATCAATGTCTCTTTCCAGAAATCATGACCCAGTTACCTACGATAATCCACAGACCTTGTTGTGAGCAGTTTCATGTAGGAATTATTTTTGTTTTTACTTAACTACACCCGCCAACCAGATCATTGCCAGGAGGAAGCATGCAAAAATCTTTCTGGGCCATGTGGCATCACTTGACAGATGTAATTTTACTGTTTGGCTGCTACAAAAATTAGCTTCAAAACCCGACACAATTCCTGTAGTCCTGGTATCACCCTGCAGGCGGAAGCATGCATCTACTATGGACAAGAGGCTCGTGCACAAGATGCAAACAATAGCATCCGCCTCGGCTGAGCTGTAACGTTACCCAGCTAAGTGGTGCTGGGTGAGCTAGCAGTAGATACACTCTTCCTTCTGCAAGTGATACAGTTGGCAAGTGTAGTTCAGTAGAAAGAAAACAGTTCCTACATGAAGCTGCTCACAACAAGGTCTGTGCGTAACCTTGAGTAACCAGGTCATGATTTCTGGAAAGAGACATTGCTGTTAAGAATTTTAAATATTTGTTTTTGGGCACTTTAAACACCACAAGCTGAGTGCCATCTAGTTCCATTACACTGAAGAGAAGGCAGACATCTCTACGGCTGATATCTCCAACACTCGGCAACTCGCATCAAAACAATCTAGGTTTATACATAGCTACAGGTAAGAGTGAGTGCTCTAGTGAGTGACTGATGCACCAGAATGGTGGATGCAGGACTGACTACAATAAACTTCTGCGCCCATTCTAATGAAGGAGAATGTCACTAAGTGCATCGGTTTGGCTTACTGATATGTTTTACTTTTTGGACAACACAGAGCTCTATGGCACAGAGGGATATGTTAATCAGGCTTTGGCTACACCGGCAGTACTTGTTAGGGTTCAATCCATCATTGGTTTCGGTCTTTAGTATGGGATTTGTTGACTGTTAGAAAATATAGATCATCACCAGCGTTGAGAAAAAACAGTAAAACATGACTAAAGACGAGCTTAATCAAGCCTTCTTCCTGTCGTCTCAAAATATCAGTACAAAAATACAAGAGAACATTGAGATTATAATTCTGACTCAGTCTCATCTCAACAGGGTACAGCGTTAGGTGTTTGAACACTTACCAGCATTCAGAGTAGTGTCCACAGAAAAAAGGAATCTGGAGCCAGAGCTTCTCAGGGGCACAGTCTGAGCCGCCGGCTGATACACATTCATCGAACGTCTGAAACACAGAGTCAGTGCAAGGATTTAAATATGTCTTACATACGATACTCGGAAGATACCACTTGATTTCACTAACTCAGACTGCTGAAGCCTCCTATTAACTTATAATACATCGCTTAATTATTGGTTCAGTGTTCATATGGGCACCTGACTATATCTTAAAGACAGACTGAGGTTACTGTGAACCTGTCCTTTAAATGTAAGAGAGAGATTATTGACGTGTTTTAACCTTCTTGTCTCCTTGTTTCCTGCGTCTTAAGCCCGGCCGGTAGTCATCCCCGAAACGCAGAAAGTAATAGTACGACACCAGCCTTTCAATGGGGTCACGGATCACATTTATGTAGATGGGTTTCCTCTTCACTCCAAACCTGAGAGAAATGACAGTAGATGAGTTGAGGCACTCAACAGGCAGTCCAACTATTGAGATTAAATCTTGAGACAGACACAGTGCTGTTTTTGGTTGGAACATACTGAGCTCAGAGGATCAGTAATCTTTGTGCTACATTCAGATCATTACACTACACTGCGTAAGTGAAAAGCTGTAAATGACCACAAGGTGGAGTCACCTGCACAAAGCCACAGCAGGGTGAACAAACTGTTTTTACAGTATTGACATTATATTACAAGAAAATGCATTTACTTGGTGAAGTCCAGGAAGGAGACATGTCCGTGGTAGAAAGCCGGCTTCATTTCCCTCCACTCAGTCACATTCTTAACAAACCGCACCTGAACCAAATAATCAGTATTATTACAATGAATGAAATGCTCATAGTGACAACAATGTAGGAACATCAAGAGAGCAGCTCTGACCTGGTCCTGTATGGACATGACCGGGTTGTTCTTGGTGGTGTTGATGTGCAGGACATGGTAGTGGTTCTTCCCGCACAGGTCGTAGGCGATGTTGGTGAAGGAGGTGCTGGCCGTCTTGGGCACGCGGTTGTAGATGATGACAAGGTCGTCTTCGCCCTCTGATGGCGACGAGGCCGATGAATCCCGTTCCCTCAAGCCGTCTTGCGTGTGTCGCTGCTCAATCTCTCGTACCTCGTGTCTAGCGATGGCTCGTTCTGGAAAGGGACGACAGAAAGTTGGATACAGTTTAATACTGCACAATAGTAGCAGTGAAGCAAAAAAAAAAAGTCCATCGGTGAGTTCTAGAGAAAAATGTTGGCATTTACGTTTCCGCAAACCACAGATATGTAACATTTGTGTGTTTTCTATTATGTACGTTTCTGAGGTGACAAAGTTCAGATTACATGTAAATGAACTGATTTAGTAATCTTGAGGTGGATGGGATGGTGGATGGCGTGACACCTAAGCCACCTACCAAGCTGCAGACCACTGTTAGAGACCAACACTGGCTGTTTTTTAGTGAGACATTGCTGCCTTTTTAGCTGCAATAGGTCACTGAAAGTGGGTGTTTGAGGTAAGTCGTTGCTGCAATTCCAGCTGCGATTGTGCCGCTGAACAGGGGTGTTTTAAGCGAGTAATTTTTATGTTTCCAGCTGTGATTGTGCCACCACACATGGGTGTTTTTGATAAGTTGTTGCTGCCTTTCCAGCTGTGATTGTGCTGCTGAATGTGGGTGGTTTTCGTGAGTCAATGCTGCATTTCCAGCTGTGATTGTGCCACCAAAAGTGGGTGTTTTTAGCAATTTACTGCTGCCTTTCCAGCTGTGATTGGTCACTTAAAGTGGGTGTATTAAGCAAGTTGTTGCAATTCCAGCTGCGATTGTGCCGCTGAACATGGGTGTTTTAAGCAAGTCATTGCTGCGTTCCCAGCTGCATTTGTGCCACTGACTGTGGCTATTTTTCAGCGAGTCATTGCTGCCTTTTCAGCTGTGATTGTGCAACCAAAAGTGGGTGTTTTTTTTTTAGCAAATTATTGCTGCATTTCCAGCTGTGATTGTGCAACCAAAATTGGTGATCTTTTCTTAACCATAACCAATTGGATTTTGTGCAGAAACATGACCACAGCCTTGCTGAAATGAAAAGAAACATAAGGTGTCAATGTATCTGCTACATAACAACATACAACATACAAATACATATACATATCTATGGTTTGCAAAAATGTACAGTGCAAATATTTTGTCCAACAACTGATTTGCACAAACTCCAACCACATCAAGGAATTTTTCTCCAGCGCTTCTCTGAATCTGACCTCTCTTTGGAGCAGAATAAGTGAATAAAAAACAATTGTAAACACATGCACAGTGCAGACAGGGAGCAAGAAGGAAAAATACAAGGAGTTAAACATGTGGGTGTCTAAGCAAAACCACCACCATCTCCAACTCCCACACATCCCGAGATCTTTGTTTACATATGGGTCAATGTTTAACACATCTCATGACTATGTTCAAACAGCACCCAGCTGATGCATATTTGACATCTCTGCTACAAATCTAGAATTAAATGTAAACCTGATCCACTTAAGATGAGCTACAACCTAAATATATTGTACTGTGCTTTTCAGAAGAGACTGAACTGTAACTTCATTAAAAATGGATTTCATTCGAACATCTTTCTGAGAGCAGATAGCTAAAAACTCTTTTCCTGTTTCACACCGAGGATCAAGAATAATGTCAAACAGGAATATTAGTTAATAATTTTGTGAGCAGCCTATTTCACGCTGCGCTACAGATTCCACTTTAATATCAGTCCCCTACCTTTACTTTCACTCACCTTATTTAACCACAGAGTGAAGTGTCTGTGTGCTCCCGTTTTAGATCAAATAAATGTACCATCTTACGGCCAAGTACATCTCCGGGTGTTTCAGACAGACTCTAGATGGTGTGAATTGATTTCTCCAACATGGTTTCCTCTTCTACTGAGGGAGGCATCATGTAACGAGGGTGAAAAGGTGAAGAGCGAGGGGTGACGGGCTTAGAGGTTAGAGGTTGGTTGTTAGACGGTATGGCTACAGTTATTTGATAGCTAACTGGACATTTACAGGACATCAATACACTATAAATAAGGAGGGCGGAGGGATCTTTATTCAAACACTGCATGAAGCGGCAGAAAAGCCAGACCTCAGTGCCTCGGTGTGAATGGGTTCAACACAAAGAAGCCCAGGGCCTTTGTTGCCCTCGGGCTTTTCTTAGTCTGAATTCGCCTCAGATTGACTGGTGTTGACAATGCCTCAGAGTGCTCCGCAGGAAGGATGGAGCGAGAAGAAGAAGGGTGTTTATGTGAGTGTGTGTGAGTGAGGAGAGGGGAGGCCGCACAACACTGGAGCACCTAATACCCGTGGGAGCACTGAGTGGAGCCAGTGGGCTCCTAAAGCCCTGCCTAAAGCCCTGCCTGGCTGCTGAGACACTGTTACAGCCTGGCCTGGCCTGGCCAGCTTTAAAGGCTGGCATCTGGCACCGACGGCCAATTAAGATGTCAACTGTGATTCCGCCGCCCTCTCCTTCATCTGTGTGAACACACGTGGGCATGCACACAACAACACACACACACAGAAATACTCTCACTGCACCCTCTCTTACACCCTCCTCCTGAGCAGCTGTTAATGTTCCACTCATCAAAGCTGGATCTGGTTACGGACGGAGCCGTGCCGCAACTGCTGCTCTGTGGCCGATGGTGTGGAGAAGCGCCAGGTGGCCGTAATGGCCGAAGGCTGTCAGCATGCAGGACAACTGTAATAGAGACATTCATTCACGCGTCCTTCCAAAGCACGCATTAGCCAACAACAACAGCAATAACAGTTGCTATGTTGGAACTTTATCACCTGGGCTCAAATTTCCTTTTAGGATTATTTTTATGACGGTGTACAGTGAACGGAGACAGAGCAAGACAGTGACAAAAAATAGAGTGGGAGTGCAACCCGTGACAATGCAAGTCATAAATATTAGGTGCCTTTAGTATGATGCGTAGATCTTAAGGCCCTGAACACATATTTTCTCAATCCACATCTTCCTATGACTGATAGGGTCTTATAGGAACAGAACACTTTCTGCCAAAGTTTGAAAAGCTGTGCTGATTAATCAATTTATCAAGTAGTTATCAACTTTTCTTTGAAAAGAAAAAGTCAAAATTATCTGGTTCCAGCTTCTTAAATGTGAATATTTTCTGGTTTCTTCACTCCTCTATGAGAGTAAATGTCTATGAATCTCTATGAGATAAAACAAGACCTTTGAGGGCATCATCTTGGGCTTTGGGAAACACTGATCATCACTTTCCATTTTCTGACATTTAATAGACCAAAAATATACAACTAATTGAGTAATTAAGAAAATAACAGATTTATTGACCGTGAAAGTAATCTAGCGAAGTTCACATGATTTGTGAACTTTGTGAACTGTGCTATTCACACTGTTTTTTTTAAAAAAAGGTGATGTGATGTATCTCTGTGCACCAATCAGGATTTAGCAACATTTGAATCTAAATCTGACAACTAGGGATGCACAATAATATCGGCACATCATCGGTATTGCCTGATGTTGGCCTTAAAAGAACTATCGCAATCGCCCAACATGCTGATGATATCCGTACATCATCAGTATCGGCCAATGTCGGCTCTAAAATGAACTATTAGAGTCAGCCAACATGCTTTTTCTTATTTTGCACATTGAATAAACATTACATACATTGAAAAGTATTGTATTTCATGTCTCCATCTGCTGGTGGGCCATCACAATAAGAGTATACACGCATAACATGATATTAATTCCACAACTGAAGCGATCTGATAATCACAAAAACTAGATAGCGAAAAAAAGGGATATATAGATATCGGTATCAGTAATAGGCCAAATAAGTAGATAAAAATCGGCATATCGGATATCTGCAAAAAGTCCATTATCATGCACCCCTACTGATGACAGTTGCTGGATTGCTTGTGTTGGCAAACCACTGTCAATCAAATTTGATCAAACCACTTCTGCATAGTCCTGATGAACTTAATGAATATGCAATACTTCCATCTATTTTTCTTCCTTACTTACCAAAAGCTTCTCTTAATCAATATTTTGTCACTCACTAATGGGGCAAATGACCAGGTGTAATGTAAATTGGGGTGATCATAGTGACAACACACCCCAAAAAACTACAACTCGACCCACAAATTTCATGTTTTTGTTGACTCTAAAGGCGGGATGTCTGGATTAACTTGTTTTGCCATAACCTCAGTTACATTATGTCACAGTTTCATAACCATAAGAATTACAGAAGCTATGATATCTATGGTATCCTGATTCTTGCACTGTTGCGCTGTGAAACCAATCTCACGAGTCACATTGTTTGTGTTAGCAGTTAAATTCTCCTGTCGCAAGTCCAAACAAGGTGTGTGTGCGTCGGTTTGTTTTATGTGATAGAGAGTTGTACCATTTATCAGAAATATTGAAAAATATAACTGTAAAAATGTCAGAGGGCAGTTATACTCCAGCCTTGTACTCGCCAAAAAAGAGGCTTAAATTGGCAGAGTGGGAGCATTTTTAATATCTACAAAATGAGAAGAAAGTTATTGAAGATTTGACAACGAGTGTCGTCAAAAAGTGGCTGCAAAGGGGTCAAACATTTTGAATATGTTTCATCAGCTTCAATATAATCATCAATTGCTGTATGCTTGAGTCAGGGTAAAAAAAAAAAAAAACTTGAATGGATACTGTAGTGAGCTGGAAATGAACCAACTGGACCGACTTCAAAATGAATGTTAATGTTAGTCCGTATCGACTGGATGTATAAACAGACAACTATTTGCTAACCCTTTAACCATATCGACTTCTGTCAATGTGCAGCATGTTTTAGTACCCCAAAGAAAATCTGTTAATGCAGGTTTAACTTTTGAATGTTGCCTTTTTAGTCATGGGTTATGTTTTATATGAATACTTTGGATTCAGACTGAGTTTCAGGGGCTTTAACTGGTTAAAAAGAAAACTGTTGCAGTATTTTCTCACTTGGCTCTAATGGTTTGCCCAGGTTTTTTGACATCTGAGGCGAATGGAGTTTCAGTTGACATTTTCCACTGCCATGAGCAACACATAAAACATAAAAATAAATCAACAGCAGTGTGTTTTTTTTTTTCAGAGAGAGAGTCCCTGTTACTCTGGATAATCCACAGACCT